TAGAACTTAACTATAGCGGCGTGGGGTATTATTAGACTGATAGCATCTTATAGACTTATAATTTTATTTGATCGACTTTAATAATGTACCATACGTATTCGTTTAAGTTTTTGTCAACATATAATTATATTTCAATTAACACATTAGTTTCCTTTAGTCTTTAAATAATAGTTAAACATGTAATTACATATTATATGCATGTTAAATATATGCAGATGTGTGTTTCTAAATATTTCTCTTCTGTATGATAATGATACAAGACAATTAAGTGTTTCTTACCGAAATGGCCTATAATGCTTTCTAAGTCTGCGGCCCGTGGTGGTACAACAGATTCGTCGAAACCTGAATTGTAGTTATTTAAATATTTTTAATATTTTTAATATTTTTTGTTTCAAAATTGTTGTGAAACAAACAACATTAACAAGTGATTTCGTTGGTAATAGTGTGAACTGACGCTCGTAGTGTGAATGTGGAATTATTGTCATATCTCCGGATCCCGATGGGCGATGGCACCATCAATGCTCCCGTCCCAAATCTTACACCTTTCGTGAAGAGGAGGACTAAGGAGGGGGAGGAGGATGAGGAAGAGGACTGAGGAGGAGGAGGATGATGAGGACTGAGGAGGACGGAGGAGAAGGACTGAAGAGGAGGATGATCACCCTGAACCTTTCAGGATATGCTCTAGGGATCATTTAGAAGAGAAGTATCGAGCCGAATTTTGAGAAAGGCCTCAGAAAATTTTTAATTCGATTTTGAAAATCTTGGACCTCATTTTTTTGACGATTTTTCCAGGACTGAAACTGGTTTGTGTATGTACATGAACTGTTGACTACAATTAATATTTTAAATAATTTTGGGGAATTTTGGCGAATTATGTATCAATTAATTATGGCCAAAATTCGCTTTGGCTTCCCCCCACAATACAAGGAATACAAATTTCAAATCTTAAGTTACAGCAGTACCTGTCATGACACTAAATATAATAGTGTTATAACTCGTCCCTCTCCGCAATAATAATTTTAATATTGGGATCATAAAAAGAAATACAAACTTCTTAGGGTCATTTAAAAATAATGTATAGTTTAAAGGTTATACTAATAGATGTGGATACTGGCGGGGAGGTGATACTTGTTTGTTTACTTTAATAGTAAGTACCTGTTCAGCAGGTTGAAGAGGTGATACTTGTTTGTTTACATTTTATGGTAAGTACCTGTTCAGCAGGTTGAAGGGGTGGTACTTGTTTGTTTACATTTTAGGGTAAGTACCTGTTCAGCAAGTTGAAGAGACGCTTGTAACGCCTTCTTGTTATCCCCCTCTGATGCTTTTCTAGCTGTTTCAATTTCAACCTCATTGATTATTTTAGCAGTGAAGTTACGTAGCTCAACTATCGCTGCAGGTATGTCAAGTTCTGCAGGACACCTCAATGCCAATTTACCATAGGTAGTATTCTGGACAGCTTTGTATTTCTCAGATAAGAACCACCCTAAAATATCATCATTTGACCAATCTATCTTCATTATTTCCATGTCGGTAAGGCTCATGGTAGTCGGGTGCCGCGCACGAGCGATAAGACTTATCGCTCGGTCAACCAAGCGATAAGTAGCTCCTTATGGCTCGTGCGCGTCATCACATTTAGTCCAGTTGCGCGTGCTGTCACGGTGGATGCTAGCCATAGATGTTATGGCTAACATGTTTTCGCGCGTAACAAATACAACAAGATTTAATGTGACACCGTGTATGGCACTGTTTTTTGCCGCGTTTCTTACAAAACCTCGTGTATTGAAATGAAAGTTTGAAATTTAATTGCTTATAATTGAAATGGAGTATTTATTGGGGTCACAATTTATCAATTTGTATTGTCTTAAAAGTTAAAGCTTCAGCGATGATTGATCATCAAAATGAATGATCTCGAAGATGGTAGATGAGCGATGACCGCTGAGGCTTTTTTGGCTTTGAGAATTGCATACAGTAGAGATTATCATATCAGAATAAATGATAATTTATTATCACGCAGTCGAATCAATGAAAAGCGAATGTTAGGTTGAAGTATATAAAAATATACTATAAAGTATAATGATGAATGATTCTCTTCCAAATAAAAGAATATACAAATTAGAATTTAGACAATCAAAAAGGGGAAGTTGACTAATCTCTCAGTATAAAACAAAAACACTAATCTCTCAGTATAAAACAAAAACCACAGGAACATCTCGAAGTGGTTGGGGTAGGGGTAAGGTTATGGTTATGGTTCAGGCGGATTCGCTGGTCAGACTTCTTTGATACTGGCAAAACACTAAAATTAAGGTGGGCCTGGGCTGTGGTAAAAAGCGAGTTATCATCTCCATAAACGTGTCCACGGTTGCAACAAACAACGACAGAAACGCATGTGACAGCTGACGCTTGAATAATGTATCTGGTGGTGTGAAGGTCTGGAGGGTAAGTTGAACTTTTGCAACTTTTGGTGGACTAGCAGGGCAGAGATCAACAATTTCAGTCGCTGAGCTGGTAGACTCTTCATTCAACGAAACAATATGGGACGTCTTTCGGGTATTTTCTGCCCTTTTCCTTTTACGCACGATAGTTGCTTGTAATAATAGGCTCTCTTCGTGAGATTCGAGGACTTTCTTCATGACAAGCACCATTTCTGACGCAAAAAACGTTGTATATGTTTTGGTATTGGGCCTGATATTTTGGTAATCCGTTTTTTACCATTACCTCTTCGATATCCTTCATTTTTAGTGACAATGAGGAGTTCTTTTCTCGTATCTGTGCAGAAAACTGGTCGATGAGGACCCTACCAGCTTCTATTTGCTTCGAGATTTCTTCTCGTCTTAACTTTGGTCGTCCTTTGGGGTTCTTGATCACCTGCATTGATTTGGGGGGCTCTCGTGGCGGAGGTTTTCTTTTCAAAGGTCTTTTTAGGGGATTCGTAGAACTGCTTGTTGCTGATTTCTTGGTTTTTGCAGAGATCTTCAAAATACCCTCATTAGGCGATGATGAATCTTCCTTCGAAGAGTCTGGAGTAGCTTTCTTGGTTTTTGCAGAGCTCTTTAAAATACCCTGTTCAAGATTCATGCGAGATTGTGAGTCAGACTCATCGCTCAGCAAGTTCTCCCTACAGTTCCAGGTACAGACACGAACAGTTAATTTCTCGTTGTTTGTAAAACATAGTTATTACTCAATTCCATATTAAGAGAAAAGTTCAATTTATACCTTTTTGTCCAAATATTCCCGCTTGACTCTCTAAAACTAAATAACCCGCAGAAGAAGAAGTTGACGGTAGCGGACTACTACAACACAGTCCAGATCATGCATCAGACCATGATAACGGTGGGAACCCACATAGGGAATCCGTACACCAACCCTCATCATGTTCACCAAGTGATGCAGGATTATTCAAGGAGTTCGTCAAGGCATGCCAGCAGCCATATCCTGTTGGTCATCCTGAATATGACAACATGACTCTGGCATGCCGAAACGTAGCGAATGGGACTGCCACTGCTCGTGTGAGCCGCAGAAACCCCGATGGTAGAGAGTCCTTACATCGTGGATCACAGCAGGAAAGGATGGCAAACACCGCCCCAGTAAACCTCGGGAAACAGGCAGGGAAGTACAGAGGCACAGGGCCACAGGAACAAGCAGAGACAGGAGGGCTAACACAGCCTTTAAGGTATCAAAGGGACAGGTAAACGTAGTTAAAACTGCTAGTGGTGGGTACCAAAAGGTACCTTACTACAAACCAGCTAGGCTCCAAACTCAAACCCAGGGTAAGGATCCGAGAGGAAAGGAGCCAGCCTCCAAACCCAGTAACCCCCCAGTATACAATATCCAGGACCTTCAACACCAAGTACACGCCACGTACGCCAGGATGACAGGAAAAGACGCTGACAAGTATGAAGTCAGAGTCGTTAGGAGTGATAAAGCGGAGATGACGCGTGAGGACCAATGGACAATACAGTTCGGTGTTGCAGAACACATAGCACAGGCAGCAAAATCAGGTCAGACAGGCGAGCACTTAGCTCATGGAGGTACCAAGCTGAAACACAGGGAAATGGTAATTTTCTGCAACCAAGCAGCATGAGCAGGTTCATTCTACAAAAGTCAAAAGTGGAATCATTAAAATTAAAGGTTATGAAGCTTATCTTCCAGGAGAAAAACCACCAGGTACAGAAATTTATACAACACTTCCAGGAGTGGCAGCACCTCTACTGCCCAAGTTACACGAGCACTTCGTAGCAGGGACCTTCGGGTCACTAACACAAAACCAGGTTCAAATTTCTAGGAAGGCATGGAGACCAGAAGGGGACAAGGAGACAAGCTGGCATGTCTACCTGGAACTTGATGAGGAAGCTATCCAGTGGCTCAAGAACAAAAACTGGCTGTCTCCAATAGGTTTGTATGTCCCGATGTGGGGACATCCCAAAGTACCAGGAATCTCAGGATTCGTAGCCCCGGACGCCAACATCAAAGCGTTGAAGGCAACCCTGAGACAGGAAGAGGAGGAGAACACATCAACAGGAGATAAAACGATAACCCAGGATAAACCCGAACAGGCAGAAATTTCTTCCCCACAGGTCACACCCCAGGTCCCGGCGCTAAACAACATCCCATTGCCGGTGACAGGAGGTAGTAAGGACGAGGAAAACATGGGAGGTTAGTACGCCGTGCTAGTCCAGCATGCTACATGTTCAAAAGTTTTCATGAAATCATTTAATGAAGTATGATTTGGCCAATAATAATGCCCTGTATTTAGATAATGAAGCCCCAGAAATTTGTAATTTAACTGCAACCGTTCCACAGCGCCATTCGAAAGATGTCGATGACGTCCTGCAGGAAATGCAGGCTGTCATCAATACGCTCTCCGAGAACATGGTGTCATACTGGTTCGATAACCCTGACACACGCTGGAGCACAGATGCGGAAGGTGTGGTGCAAAGCTTCAAAATACTTTCAATTTTACATTTATGCTAGATAATTCCAATCTGTGTTCTATGTTTAAAATCACATCTAGCCAAGTCGCAGTCATACACATTTATCCAGGAATCATAAAAGCTATAGCAGCTTTACTGAACGAGACGAAGCGTGCTGCCGGGTTTTTTGGGGATCCTCCACACCATCCCTCTAAATTTTTAGACTCCAAGTGGAGGTGCAAGAGTTGCAAAGTGGACAGTGCTACGAAGAAGCACCCTGCAGGATCAGGACCACCATGCAGAGGGACAATGCTGACCCTCACAAACATTGCTGCTGGATTTACCCTTGACACAGACTTGTCGGATATTCAAAGGTGTGTTTTTTGAAATTTTATCTTATTAGGCAGTATCGGCTTGCAACTTTTATTGGGATTGCAAGGGCAGAGTGAAACTACAATAATCAATCCTCAGGTTGGCTTGATACGCTGATCATGACGAGAGGCCAAGGATTACTGTGGCCCACTTCAACACCTTCCGGGACCAGGTAATATGGTCGGGTGCAATAAAAGAGAGGAATATAAATACATTTCCACTCTAATCAAGGTATAACACATTTTAAGAGCCCCTCTTGATTTTTGCAGAGCTCTTCAAAATACCCTTGTTAGGCGATGATGAATCTTCCTTTGAAGAGTCTGGAGTAGCTTTCTTGGTTTTTGCAAATCTCTTTAAAATGCTCTTCTTATGCGATAATGTATCTTCCCTTGGTGCTGCTTTCGTTATACCATAGATCTTTATAATACTATTGTTCGCTGTTTCTGAGGTTCGTCCTCCGGACGGAAATTCTTGACACAGCCTGCATCTTGTTTTCTTTTCTTCATCCTGCCTTTCCTTCTCGACTCCCTTCCCATATCTCCCTCTCCCTATTCCCGTGTTATCCTCCGTTTCTGTCCCGTCTCCCTCTAAAAGTTAACAACAAAAAATGTTATCCCCCCCCCCCCCTATTCAGCTTCATATCTAATTCAATTTACTGTACGCACATTCATTGAGGCTGTTAGTTCTTAATTTGGAGATAGCTGTCCATGTCATGTGGTGTTCCTTTGTAAAAACAGCAACAGATATATTTTTCAGGAAAATGCGAAGCATCATTCAACTCTTCCGCTACATTGTATTTTTCCAGACAAACAGTTCATGATACCCTATTCCCTGTCAGTAAAACGGCTGCCAGTACAACGGTGGCAACAAGTACCTGGTGAGCTATTTTTATTAGTTGAACTGCCGATAAGACTAGTATGGTTTTGCTGTTGATTTAATGGTGCAGGTTTAAGCTTCTCCTGATAAATTTTCTCTTGAATGAGGAGAGCACTACCGATATTTTAAAAAATCGGTTATTTCTTCCTCATTTATTTGAAGTTAATAGCGTACATTTTTGGAATTTAACTTAATCTTTATTTAATTTTCTGATAACCTCAGATCGACACAGCGTTCGCTACTGTTCAATTACCTGTCACCTCAACACCACCCACCCTCCAACTCCAACCTACAGTGGCACTACAGCTGCTGTGGTACCTATTGCTCCAAGACCCGTAACAAGCGCTACGGCTAACATTGCTTTATCAACCAGTGGTGCAGCAACTATAAGTTCGTCTTCCAGTGGTACTTCATTCAGTGGTACAAGACCTAGAAGTGCGGTTGTCAGTGATCCAGCATCGAATGCTTCAGCGACCACTCTTGCTCATCATGCAACAGCTGCTCCCCCTTGACGACATACAAATCCTGCTACAAGACCAGGAGCACATCAACAACCAGTTCCTGCAGCCGGACCCACGCTACAACTCCCCATCACAACTGTTGCAGAAATCTGTTCGAGTACTTTAACTGAAATATGCAATCTGCCATTCCCTGCTTATTTTTCCCTGAGATTCAGTCTGGGAAAGTCAGGTGCAGCTGCTGCCTCAATGACGGGTGGAAGGTACCGCAGTCCACCTTTCACCTTAATCATCCGGGAAGAAAGTAGAGTTCATGGAACAAGATGGTGTGGCACATGAGGACACATCTTAACGATGCACGGGTGGAATGTGGATCATTATAGAAAAGCGTCTGCCTGGTACACGTCGATTAACACCACATTCGACAGGTTCGAAGTCCAGATTGGAGAGACTTTGGTAGATGGTGCTCTGACATTTATTGAAGGGGACATTCCATACAGGCGCTGGCCGAATCACTGCGTCTCGTTAAACAATAGAAACATCTATATTGGAGACCGGCAACATCACGAGAAGGTCCCGGCACTAGTGTCAAGAGTGGCGTACGAGTGCCTGCAGGAGGCATTCATAGCGTCTGTCAAGGACGTGACGAAGGATCGTGCAGGCTTTATCCTTTACCAATCTACGTCCTTGCTGACAAAGATAAATTCAAATTCAGGGAAAGACTTGTGACAGTCTTGAGAGTGGCATCCCTTGATAATGACATGAATGTACCACTCTTTTCAACGTGCTACCTCGGACACCCGGCCTATGTCAACCAGTCCGGTATGGGGATAGCAACAGACCCAATCAGTTTATTAATAAGGTTTAGATTTAGTGAGGCTGAGCTACAATTACATCTGAAAGGAGCAACATAATATGATGGACAGTTGCGCCACAATAATGTACTGAGGCACATCTACCAACAGATTGCTGTGGTCAGAGGTATGGAGCGGGAAAGTTTACAGATGTGGGATGGCAGCCACCTATTGGAGCTTGTGTTGCTGCACGCTCTGGAGCCTCCTCAGTTCCGAGGTATTAGCGACACCAGAGTTCTGATTCAGAACGTGACAACATTCTTTAGAGAGAAGAGGGAGTATGAGATATTGCTGAACACATACACAGTCATGGGGAGGCGACTCTACTCACCTAAGTACGTAAAGACTGATTGATGAAAGACTTTATATGGAACATGGAGGCATACGTACAAACACTGTACGAGATCAAGCACGACAGTTCCATGAAGGAAGACACACGGGCTAAGCGTGAAGGTTATTTGGACAAAATCACCAACCCATTGTTCAAATTAAACCTGTACTTACTGAAGTCTTTATGTGGTCTCCTAAAAACGTTTTCATTTCAATTACAGAAGTCAGATACCTGTATAAATGATTACGTTAACAAAGTAGGATGCTTAAAGCAGATAGTCAGCTCTATTAACATCTCTGGAGCTAGTATATCTGCTGAGACCCAATTCTAGTATTATACTTCAAAGAATATCTGGAGCCACATACCCGCATGCCTTTCTATCTTCAGGTGCGGTCATCTCGGTCTAACCCAAACCTTGGAACTTTAGCTAGCCAGCAACTCCGCCAACAACAGATTGATGACGCCGTCAACATTCACCAGCAATTGTTCCAGTGTCTCCTTGAACAATGCCGTCAGTATTGGTGGCAGAACAGCAGGTGGTGGAGTTCTACACAAAATATCGCTGAGAGTGCTAGTGGGTTGCTGAACCATCTTGAATCTAGTTTATGACTGTCAAGCTTCAGGGCTCTGACAAAACCACAGGAAGGTAAATGCTCTGTATGTTCAGTACTTGTGATGCCAGACAATCCAGCTCCTTATGGAGATAAACATTGAACCGCACATAAAGGTCGTCCCGCTCCAAATGATCAATGCAGAACAGCGAGTCTCGTTGCAATAGCTGGACTCGGATCAGGATTCGTCTGCAGCACAACGTTTAATATTCGGCACCTGGCACCTTTGAGTTTCATGTCAACTCATTGTGATGATGGCAAGATAAAGAATGTTGAAGGTCAGCTCGGCTTGACACTGGCAAAGCTGCAGTATGCCAACTACAATGTAATTGTAACTTCAGCTGCAACAGTGGTCAAGTGCCTGTTGACAGACCAAGACCTCTGTCTACGAGTTAAGCCAGGTATGCAGCACCTTCTTCTTGTCCTTTTCACGCTGCCGCACTCTGAGGCTATCTGTGAATCGTTTGGATCGGTAGTGGAGGTCTACCACAAACGGAGATTCATAAACTGTGGCCCTTTAAACGATGACGGAGCTCTTCAGAGGGAGATGTTTGTACGGCTGAACAAACCCCCAGTCGCCCATCAGCAACGTCTTGTTAAAAGGGTTGTCGCAAAACTTATGAGTGGGGACTACAAACTGGACAATGGAACACGGGGTGGGTGCACAACTTCTTTCGCCAGCAAGCAGTACCTGGGCTGGTGGCTTCAGGCAAATATTAACCAGTGCCACTGTGAAGCGCCTGAGAGGATTGCTGGTCGGAAGAAGGGGTTTCCATGATAAGTTATCAATACTTTTGTAACAATAGTTAATATTAGTTTTTGTCTCAGCGTTTTAGTTGATTGGATTTTCATGGGACATTCTTATATTTTACTGTCTCCATTACTTATTTTAGAATTATTAGTTTTTTGCTTTTCGTGAAATACAGCTTTAAATCCAGTGCTTAGCATCGGATGGATGTGGAGCGTCTATGAGCAGTAATTCTTTATTAAATGGAGATTCCTTCATTGCGCAGTCAGCGTTTGTTTTTGTTTTGGGGCCATCTACTTAGGACGTCCGCCACAATCGCAGATTTTCAGACCACCTCCCCCTGTCCGGGTGTGTCCAAATTTTCAAAACCAACCCCTCCCCCGGACGTCTGGATTTCCAGTACAAATAAAACCAACCCAAATTCATTCTTAATAAAAATTCAAAGAGTTGAAATAAATGGGACTTTTTCGTTAATTCTGCCAAAATTTCCGGATTTTCTGAAACCACTACACCCCCTCCCTGTCCGGATTTGTCCGAAATTCCAAAACCACCCCCTCCCTATTTGCCGGACGTCCTAAGTAGATGGCCCCTTTATGAACAGTTATTATTCATTAACAATTAAATGGAGATTCCTTTATTGCGCTAATCAGCTTTTGTTTTTAATTTTGTTTTATGTTCACCAGAGTGTGTGGTTGGTTTTACCTGATTGTGCCATATCAGAAAGGAGTACAAATTTCAAAAAAAGTGCAGTGTGGTGGGTATTAGTTTTGGCTCTTACTAATTCGCTCGCCCAAAAATTTCACGTGACTTTGGTTTTTATGGTTTTGCAGCCGTACAAAACGGTTTTTACAAAAACCAAATCCTAACCATAACCCTTAGCACAACCCTAACCCGAGCCCTAAACAATCGAATTCCTGTTTTACTAGCCTGTCACGTGACCAAAACGGTTTTTTGCCCATAACTCTCCAGGGAAACATTTTTACCGTACGTCATAGGGGGTGATTCGGAGTCAGCGTCCAAAAATACACAATTCCACAATCAAAGGGCCTTTGGGCGAGCGATTTAGTAGGAGCGATTAGTTTTTGTTCATAAACGGGGGGACCAAGGTGTCTCCCTGCATCACTCCTGCTAGAATAAAGAATGCTTCACTCAGACCATCCTCGGTAATCACACGAGCAAAAGTATCTGCATACATTCTTTGTATCAAGCCTACAATCTCCTTGGGAATGCCATATGCCAGGAGGATCTTCAAGTTAAGTGTTATACCTTACTGGGCGGCGCTCAGACTGTCATTCCGCCTAATCTCTATGCTCTAGCCTATTATTATGAACATAAATATAATGTCCTCGGCCCATGAAACCTCACTGGGCCGAGGTTTCCGCGGTTTCTTGCAAAATTTTCGCCTCGTATAAATAATTCCCCCCCCCCCCCCCCCCCCCAGGAGAAAATTATTGTCAACAAAGATTTTGTTGATGGTTGACACACGCTGCAACCCCTTTTGATCGGCCGGCGTGCACGAGAGGTATACAACGTGTAGCAAAGATTTTGAGTTAGGGGTCGTTCACATCACACATATTACGTAATCAGCCGAGGGGGAAGCCGGAATAGAAGGGTTTCAAATGCTTACGGTTGATTACGGGGGGGGGGGAGGGGGGTTTGGTCGTTTATAACCTAATCAACATTTAAATTTTTTGCCGATTTTCGAAATACTAATTGGACAATTTTCGTTAATTATGTTTAAATCAAAATTTTGTAAACCAATTTTCGTTTAGTAAGTGCTTTACGATTATTTCATTCATTAATATAGGAGGGGGTTGGGTCTTGATTACGGGGGGAGGGGGTTCGGTCTTGATTACGGTTGATTACGGAGGGGGTAAAAATTGCCAAAATATTGATAACGTAATATGTGAACGACCCCTTATCTCAAAATCTCCAGAAAAGTCTGATTTTGGGTTGACGGATGTTACTCGTCTAAATTTCTTCGAAGCTGAAGTAGCGCGCGCCGGGCCAGACCATTAACAATGGTCAAATTTTGGACTGATAAAAAGTTTGCAACTTTAACTTTGCAGATATCATATTTCTGTACTCTGGTTAGCTGAATTGTGTCACGTGCTAGCTGCTTGGACATTGGAATGCGCTACGCGTGCAAACCACTTATTTGTTAATGTCGGATCGCGCACGAGCTCAAGCTTGACGGATGTTACTCGTCTAAATTACTTCGAAGTAGCGCGCGCTGCTTTCTTCTCGAAAGAAGTAGCGCGAGCCGGGCCAGATCATTAACAATGGTCAAGCTCAAGCCGTCTGTTTAAACATTAAATTAAACCAACTGGCCTAGCTCTAGTAACACTGAACACGGCCAGCCAGTATAGTATAGTAAGGTTTGCTGGGTCCCCAAGGTAAGTTATACCGAGTACTTTGCAGCTGTCTGTGAGACAGATTGTAGATGGTGTTTCCACATATATAAATAGATCAACGGATTTGGGAACAGCCGAAGCATTTTGGCCGCATTGAAAAGAAATCTTAGCCGCGTTTTCAGTTTTCATAAAAAAGGATTCGATTTATGAAAACAGATTTTTTATTTACCACAACACAATTTGTCATACGTTGCATAACCCGCCGCGCACGAGTGCTCGGCTCCCTCTAAGCTATTGGTATCATAGAAACGCTTAAGCATAAAGTAAAACTTAGTGAAACGACAATGGGGGTCACGACGTGATAAAAAACAATCAATAAATATTATATTATATTTATAAATAAATTCAAATTTGAAATTCAACCATATACATTGACCATTGTTAATGATTTGGGCCGGCGCGCGCTACTTCGTAGCACTTGCTAACATTTCGAGAAGAAAGTGGCGCGCGCTACTTCGAAGAAATTTAGACGAGTAACATCCGTCAACCATATACACAGCCCGCTGCGCACACAGCCATACATTGTTAAGAAATCTTTAGGTGCAGCTGTAAGCGCCGCGCGCAGGATTTATTCAATTGTTATTTAACAATTACATGTGACGTTTATAAATTACTAGAGCCAAAATTTCAGAAGCAGAAACATTTTTAGGAAAATTGGTAACGGAAATGGTCCATCGCTACCAATATTTCTGAACGTTAAACAATCAAATATATACACACAATTTCAAAACACATCATCCACATTCCACTCCATCATCAGGGCAGCTTTGGGCCCAACAACTGAAGTTATACATAAATGCAGACACGGCTAAATCCTTTCACAGTCGTAAATTACTGCTTCTTCAGTAAAGGGCTTATGCTTATTCAGGACGTCATGTTCTTTTAGATTGTTAGTTCTACTCCTGAATTAAGGACAAATGTAACTTCCATCCCCAAAACATTACCAATTACCGACCCAGCGAGTGTGTTCTCCAACTTTGGAAACTACAAACTTTACCATCACAGATACAATGTAAATTGCCATGTGCTCACCTGGGGACCTCAGGCTATTATATTTATGTTCATTAGAGATTAGGCGGAATGACAGGCTGAGCGCTGCCCAGTAAGCTATGTGCATGAGCCGTCACCAAATGTGTATCAGAATATGAAATAGCTTCCCTTGCACTTGAGGAGACAACTCCATTTATCGACATATAATATGTATAAAATTATTAATGCGTGTGTACTTCCAAGTTCGATCATTTGTAAGTAAATTTGCCCATGTATCTGGAGGCTCACGTGATGCTGACAGGTGCAACCTTTATATCATATATATACACCCAAATCTAGAACACATAAAAGCTTTTTGTATTTGGGAGCAAAATGTTGGAATTCAATCCCAGTGAACATAAGAAATATAGAATGTACTGTCAAATTTTCACAATTTATATAATCCTCATTTTTGTTGGATGTAATAAAAATGGTGTCTCATCATAAAAAATAACAATAGCTTTGACTATTTCTACACTCCAGCTCTGTGACAACAATAAGGTGTTTCGGAATTTTTGCTAAGATAGCAGGGTCGCCTGTGTATACGTGTATTTCTGGCAAAACCAAATAAACCACAATCTTTTTTATTTAAACTTTATTAAAAGAATTATAGAACTGTATGCCTCTCTTACTTTTTTGTTTTTTTCTTTCGTACTTCTCAAAATTTGTAACCCTGTAAATAATTAGAGAAGTGGGTATCTGATATTTATGTAATTTTCGTAATAATTAAATGGTTACCTTCATGCCCACAGTTCAATGTTTTAACCCACCATACCAGTGGCGTAACGAATCTTAGGGGGCGCAAAATCGTTGTTTGGATTTAGGACAATTTTGAAAAACTTAACTGAGGTACTAGTAAAACTGGGAGTTTTGCTTAAGAAACACACTTTTTCAGAGATTTTACCGGCGTATCCTCTAAAATCACCCAATTTGTTCAATTTTAGGGAGGGGTGCCAACAGAGGGGGGGGGGGGGGGGGGGGGCATTTTCGGCGGGAGGAGCCAACAGGTAACGTTACGCCACTGTACCATACCATACTTTATACTCATTATTTATATATTATTATTTAGAATTAGAATTAGAATCAAATTTACACAGCAATACAATAAGAACAAAAAATAATTTAAGAAGCTTCAATCTGCTGTGCAGGACATTCAAGTCAGTCAAAAACTGTTAGTAGAATACCCTTCTAAGGACATAAAGATATAGCATGTAAAACATAATAAGTAATAAATTAATGAGTGATAAAATAAGATATGATTTAACAGTGAACTGTGGGCATGAAGGTAACAATTTATGTTGAAAATTACATAGATGCTCACTTAGGAATTTCGTTAGTAATATATTATATGTTTTGATTCTTAGTCCTTAGAGGGGCATTATATTAACAGTTATTGACTGATTTGAATGTCCTGCACAGCAAATCGAAGCATCTTTAAATTATTTACTATTTTTATTGTATTGCTGTGTAAATTTGATTATAATTCTATTTGTAATTCTAATACAATTTCGATTTATTTCTATACTAGCATAATATTTCTTAAATATTCCTACTTGTAAATAATTAGAATTGTATATTTCTATGGTTAATTATTTCAGGATTACGAATATTGTGTACTCAACAAAAGTAATTTTACAATATACATAAGATGTGCTTTAATTATCATTTTGCATCCTTGTAATCGTTTATTGTATTTAATTTATAAATTAACTTACAGCTTCGAGGGTGTCTAACCTTATTTATATAATATATTGTTTGATGAGTTTGCAACTGGATAGTGAAACAACTATCAAAAGTTAGGTTTGAGATGTTTGCGGAATTGTGTTGTTGTATTTATTATAATAAATTATATTATTATATCGTGTATTGCCGGGAAGGCTGTTAATTTAGGATAGAGTTTTTGTGGCACTTATCTTTTTGTTCTTTTGTAGTTTTTCTCACACAGTTGAGTAAAAGTTTTTCAACTTAAAAGCAGTGTTTGTAATTCAATTTATTATTATTATAATGGTATTTTTAAAAGATTTAATGATAACTTTAAAATGCTAGTGCCTTGGCAGATTTCCAAATGTCCACTATTTAAATCTAATAATATTTCCTCATATCGTGAGTTATTCTTATCCCAGGATAAAAACATTGCTTTAGTTTTGGCCCATGATAATGGTTGAGGCAAGATTGAAGGCAGTGGTTCTAGTTTAAAATATTTTAATTCTTGTTGTGTCTAATTCTGGTTCTTAAAATTTGAATATTGAGTATATCAGAACTATATAGCTGTAGAATATGTTTTCAGTATTTAAATCCATGTCATTGATCAACAATAATTGACTAATTGATATTCATGCTAAGTGAGAATGTGTATCATTGATGGTTACAATTTTTCAGGTCACATGGACATGTAGTAAAGTATAATGATCTCTGAAGGTGATTGGAATTATGACGAAACTGTTGTGAAAAACCTGGGACAAAAGTATCTGAAGAGTTATGCAGAGTTTATTGAAGCTTTTGATGCCAAACTTGGAAAGAAGATTCCCAATGATCTTAATTATTTATGGGATTTTACCCTTAAGCCACTTTATTTGCAAGTGGCACCTTATGAGAGTATAGACCTCATGGACCTTGTGAAAACAGACAACAAAAGCCTAAACAAAGTTATCCTGGTGTTATCATCACTTTGCCTTGAGGTATCACATCTCAAACAGCAACTTTTTGAGAACTTTATACCTTCGTTGCTTATGTATGGTGAAAGGACTGATTGTGATTCTCTTGCAAAGGGAGAAGCTCAGCTTATGATAGGTCGGATACTACCATTGTTACAAGAAATTCGATGTTTCATTTCCAGATCAAAGGAAGTTGCCAAAAACATTGTGTGCCAGCTTGATATCCTGTATGGTCAAGAGAAGGTTGCCCAATCTATAGTCACCAAGGATGTTCATTTTCTGACTGTATTTGAATCACTGGGAACACTCTTTACCCTTCAGGTTGTCTTAGATGAAATCATTGAAAATAGCCACTTATTAAATGAACATTGGACACTTTATAGGTCGATCCTACGGTCTGTGCATAAGTCTGAGCAATTTAACTTTGAAGAAAAGAAGTTAAGGACTTTTGAGAGGTTACTTTCAGCATTAGAGATAGAATTGTTTGATGGCCACATATTCCAGAATTGTATGAAGCAGAAGCTGCCCCAGTTGTCCAATGGGTTTCAAACTGAGCTGTCATATGCAACAGCAAACCTCCTGTCAACTTATGATGCTGCAACGGCTTCTTCAAAAGATGAAGAGATACAGTTGGCTTTATTATCTCCAGTGACTCTTTTTATTTTTCATAGCTCTATTTTCCATGTTCAAGACAGAAAAACTTTCCGGCAAATATGGGATTTGCACAAAAGAATACCATTCATTCAAGTAGCTGGGCCAGTTATGCTTCCTCTTACCAGTTTTTTGAAGAGAAGTCTACCATTTTCAGGTAAATTTGTCGACAAGAAGATGGATGCCGCTGTTGTAACATCTCGTCAGGGATTCCTACAAAACACGACACAAAATCTTTTAAAAGATGTTGAAACTTATAAAAGTCAGGTTTCTGCCTGGTGCTCTGAGGTTGTCGACAGCTCTGTGAGCAGTGGCAGTGGAACTGTTCAGGCTGGCCTAGAAAAAGTGTGTGGCTTGATAATAAATGGTTTGGTCATTGCAAAAAATGTTTCCTCTCTTGTAACAATGATAATGAACATGCACTACACCTTATCAAAGCCGATAACAAAGAATTCTGTCCTCTGCTGTATTGAGTTGATCCAGCTCCTCAAGACTATTGAATGTATGTTCCACGAAAAAGAGGAAGTTTTTGCCATGACCTCTTCACATTTGATACAGCAGTTTTCCTTAAAAATTCTCAATTGCATTGACACTTTGAAGAAGAAGCTCACACAAGATAAGCGATATTCTGACTCAAGCCTTGATATAATTGCTTCATTCAATCTGATTGCACACTGTATGAATGGTTGTTGCAATGGTCCTCGAAAAACCATTTGCAAACTTGCTATAGAGGTGGCAAGGCAAGGCAAAGCATTGAACTCTGATGATAACATGATGTTCGTGAATATATTCAGGAGGATTGAAGTTGTAACAGAGTATCAGTCCAAAGTTAGAGCAGCCTGTGACACCTCTTTTGTGTACTGGCATAGATCCATTGCACCAGTGTACTTTTCCCATGTGTTCAACAATCCAACCCTTGCACCCAATTTGCAGTACTTTTTTGCAGGACTGGCAGATTGTCATCACCAAATATCTCTAATGAAACATCTTAGTGCTGAAACTGATAATCTTGCATTGTTGGAAAAAGATATAAAAGACCACTTTGAACAAGAAATTCTGTTGCCACTCTGCACCGAAATCGAGACAGATCTCAGACTATCTACTCACTCTCATTTGCAATTAGATGACAGAAACCCTCTGAAGTATGGCAAAAAGAACATTTCATCATTATTGGCTACTCCACCTATAAGGTTTTTTGATTCTTACATGGACATAAAGAAGCACGTCACTCATTATTTGGACTCAACATTTTACAACTTGACTACTGTAGCACTGCATGACTGGCGATCTTATGCTGTGATGAGAAACCTTGCTCATCAGAAATATGGATTACAAATGATTGAAGCTCACCTTCCAAGCCAAACTATAGAACAAGGTATTGATGTTCTAGAGATAATGAGAAACATCCACGTGTTTGTCTCTCGCTATTCGTACAACTTAAACAACCAACTATTTGTAGAGCAGTCCAGTAACAACAAGCACCTCAACACCATTAACATCAGACACATTGCCAACTCTATTCGTACTCACGGAACAGGTATCATGAACACCACGATCAATTTCACTTTTCAGTATTTGAGGAAAAAGTTCTTCGTGTTCTCTCAGTTTCTGTACGATGACCACATCTATTCGAGACTTGTTAAAGATGCTCGTTTCTTTAAAGAACAGAAAGAGGACCTTGACCAGTGTTATCCATACGAAAGAGCTGATAAGTTTAACAGAGGAATCAGAAAGTTAGGACTAACTCCTGAAGGACTTTCATTCCTGGATCAGTTCAGAATTCTAATTACACACATTGGAAATGCAATGGGTTACATCAGAATGATAAGATCGGGTGGAATTCATTCGTGTGCCAGTGCTATCAGGTACGTTCCTGATCTTGATGACATTGTCAATCTTGAAGAGCTGACCAAAGAGGAAGAGCTGCCATCAGATACAGTTCAAGCTGCTGCAATATTAGACAGTGTCCTTGAAAATCTTACAAAAAACTTTGCGGAGGGGACAGCATATTTCAAGATGCTTGTAGATGTCTTTACAAAGTCGATGAGGGATTCAAAGAACCAACATCTTAAGAATTTCTACATGATCATCCCGCCTCTAACTCTCAACTTTGTGGAGCAAATGATGAATGGCAAGGAAAAGATAAATAAGAAAAATAAGGTTGGGGCCACTTTCACCGATGACGGTTTCAGTATGGGCATTGCTTATATTCTGAAACTCTTGGATCAGTACTCAGCATTCGATTCCCTACACTGGTTTCAAAGTGTCAATGCTAAATTCAGCAGCGAGGAAAAGGCTGTAAAAGATAGTAGACGGAAAGAAACCGACATTAAACTTGATCAAACTAATACTTTAACCATGAAACGTCTTGACCAGTATCGGCAAGAGTTTGAACTTTTGTACTACTCCCTCAGCAGTGCACGGATTTTCTTCCGAACAGACCTTGAAGATTTGCCAATAGAAGTGACTAAAACTCCTGTTGAAGCGACTGTATCTCCAGACACATGAGGAAGTACGACGTGAGAGACCAATGCCTAAAAAATCTCTAGACTAACTTTTTCTATCTGGTGTACTTTTATGTTTTATATTTTGTCTGAGTTGAGATTTATTGTTTTGTGTCGAATAATATAGAAAATAATCAGTTCCATGGGCTTGATTTTTGAATTTATTAATAAATCTGCAGTTTTATGCTCTGTTTTTAGAATTCAGAGCATGATTGATAATATGATATGATTATTTTGATTTTTTAAATTTTGTACTGTTTTAATGTCAAATTGATATGACTGGCGATTGCTTATAAATGTTCATTTTTGTTATTTTCATTGATCTTGTTCTCATATTCTTCTTCAAAAACCTCAACTTGATTATTCCTTTAAAGTGAAAATACTAAATTTGCACTGATAAGAATTTCTTGAATGGTTGCTTTTGATGTTCTGTTGGCTCGTTTACATGTTAATTCAAATTTTCACGTTTACTTAATGTTAATTAATCATCAATCATGGTCAGGTGTAGTAAAATGTGTGATTCAAACCCAATAGAAGAATGTTTCAAAGACCTTATCGAAAAAGAGATCATTAGTATCGAGGACGCCACAACATCTGACTCGATCACTGCAGTTAAATTTCCCCCTTTCAGTGCAAAACTTAGATTCCTTCTCCACAAAACATTACAAAACCACCCAGCTTTTCAGACAGTATCAGTCGGTATTGAACCTAATCGACATCCAATAATATTCAAATCCATTTTACCAGTCACAATATGTGACGTACCAGAGGGCACAACTTTTGAGACCCACCGAAAAGAGTTTGAATTTAGGACGGATTTGCAGGATAAATTCAGATTAACTTCACCGTCTAATGATTTTAACATTTTTGTGAACAGTGTGGAGAAACTGGATCCTGAATTTAGTGATCTGTACCCTTTTGTAACTGTTTCGTCAGATATAAAATACATTGACATCAGAAGAACTTTGCGAGCTTACTACAGAAAATATTTAGTGAACTGTTACGAAGTACGTGAATCAGAGGATAAATCAAATCATATTCTTATAACGGACAGCGAGGAAACAGCTGCTGAGATAATAAAATTATATAAAGAAGAACTCAACCTTTTGTCTTACACGAGACCAATGGTAAGGTGTGTAATGTTCTCAATATCATGGCTAAATGTGACAAACTGAAACCAGCGAAGCCCAGGGTAACAGTGAACAGATCAGCAGCAGCTAATATCATGGCACGACATTTGGGGATCGCCAAAAAGCCAAAAACTAATGATACTAATCACTGTAGCTAGCGCGGTAGAATATCTATGAAACTCAGGATAAATATCAATTTTTGTAGTCCATGGCTTTTAAGTGTTGCTGCTTAAGCTTGATGTAACTTATCGATTTTTATGGAATGTAAGTTCACTGTTCTATTTTCATCCACAGTTTTGACTTTTGGTAATTTTACAAGTCAAAATGTTGCCTAGTAAAATGTTGCCGTAGCGAAACAATGTAATCTATAAATATTTATCTCAGTTTATCTTCAATATGGACAGATCATTGTTCCTGAGAATTCATCAATAATTTTGATTCATATTCGTCAATTACATTTATGTATAATATAATACACAATCATAATGACTAAATTCTCATTTAACAATGGCTCCGTCGTATTGATTGTCTCAAAAATCTCTGTTTTATCTGTTTTGTGCTTTTAAAATTTAAAATGTACTAACAGCCAACATGGGTGTAGGCTCCCCCTCCCCCTAGGCTCCTAGGATGCTCCCCGAGCAGATTAAAGAAGATGGAAACATCAGCTTTCGCATCCTCCTCCCCTCCAGAGTAAGTCCTCAACTATTTCATCAACAACCCACAACTTTCTCATACTAGCTTTGTTCACTATTTTATTACTATTAGCTTAATACGATTTACACATGTATTTTAAAAGCTCCTGCTAAACAAACTTTCCGTATCAATTATATGTTTTAAATAATCCTCTCCAAGCACTATTTATTATATACTATACCTATACTATATCCAAAACAAGATTTGGGAGTTTAAGAATTTAACTTTTAAACTAATCATAGTTTTTTGTAATGATCAACTCCAGGTCTTTAGTACATGAAATTTGACCCGAAATATTAATTTCAGGATATTGGCGCTATTATTGGTAGAAAAGGAGTAACTATTAACTCTATCAGAGAAGATGTAAGTATTTATGTAGGAGTAACAATTAACTCTATCAGAGAAGATGTATGTATTTGTTTGTTTGTTTATAGAACCCGTCCCAATCTAGTATCGGAAAATGACGAAACTCAATTCTGAGTGTGAATACAGGTGGTACCTGCAAGTGTGTTCATTAAGCATTTAGAGTTCTGTAAAACTGCAGGTACAATTGTTCTAGAGTATTTTTATTATTTACGATCGATATCAGATCTGTATCCTTGCATGCTTCCAAAATTTGTAATCTCCAACTTTCTGCACAATGTACTGGAATGGTTTAAAAGAGGAAAAGAAAAGAAAAAAAGAAAAACAAAGTCGGGGAAACATAGTATGTAACGTCGATACCAAACCAATTATTGAGCGATGGTGACTGAGTAGTTGATTCCTGGGTTGCTGAGTCCTCCTCTTAGAGGGTGAGAGGTTCTTTAGTAAGACCAACTGATTAAATGAGGCTCTAAAATGAACGGAAAGCTAACATGGAGAGTGGGAAAAAATAAAAGCGGAATAAAATTCTAACTCTAAGTTAACGATAAACTGGTACAGAAATCATAAGTCCGAACACGAGTCTAGGAATAAGCTGTGAACCAAATAAACAGAATCATGTATGTATTGATGTAAATATTGATGTTATATATATTACGTATTCTATTTGGTTTTCAACAACAACAAAAAAATGTATGTAATGGTAGATAATTGTAATATTCGCTATTGAGTATTTTGCTGTTACAAGTTGATTGGTTAGCAGTTGTTACTATCAGGCATAAAAATAAACGTGTGCCAGTTCCCCACCTGTAGAAGAATCAATATTTCCATTACTGTGTAATTAAATCAGAAAACAAGCCATTAAAACTGCTACTCGACACCCCTCGTAGTAGTGTACTATATAGTACACTATATATTATATATATATAAGTTAGTATATACTATTATATATAGTATATACTATTATATATAATAGCATATACTATATACTATATATTAGTATGTAGTTCACTGTTTACGTAACTTCCAGTTGACACAGCGCCTTAGAGTGTTAATCGAGATTTTAAGCAAGGCTACATACTGCTGTAGGAAAATTCATGTGTTATACTAAGAGCAATATCTTAGTGAAATGTGGAATGTTGAGTAATATAATTTGTAAATCACGTACTATACAGACAAAAAAGCAATTAGAACGCTCTCAAGATATCATTAATGACAGTGATAACGCGTTGCTAGATACAAGACGTGTATATTAAAATTGTACATGATATGCTTGTCCACGCACACACGCACACACACACACACACACACACACACACACACACACACACACACACACACGCGCACACACACACACACACACACACACACACACACACACACACACACACACACACACACACACACACACACACACACACACACACACACACACACACACACACACACACACACACACACACACACACACACACACACACACACACACACACACACACACACACACACACACACACACACACACACACACACACACACACACACACACACACACACACACACACACACACACACACACACACACACACACACACACACACACACACACACACACACACACACACACACACACACACACACACACACACACACACACACACACACACACACACACACACACACACACACACACACACACACACACACACACACACACACACACACACACACACACACACACACACACACACACACACACACACACACACACACACACACACACACACACACACACACACACACACACACACACACACACACACACACACACACACACACACACACACACACACACACACACACACACACACACACACACACACACACACACACACACACACACACACACACACACACACACACACACACACACACACACACATACACACGCACACACACACGCACACACGCACGCACACACGCACACACGCACACACGCACACACACACACACACACACACACACACACACACACACACACACACACACACACACACACATCACTACACAGCAGTGTACAGCTGAGCTTGCAGCAGTGTTATAATAAGCCTGTGTACAGAGAGTGATCCAGGTGCTAGCTGCTAGGTCCCTGCCGCGTAGCAGCGCAATTAGTCCTCACACTTGCTGTGCAGTACATACATTGTACAATGACCCTTTGCAGGGATATATATCGTGTGTTGCTGCTAGGATACAGTATGTGTATTGTGTGTGACCTACTTCAGGCGTTCAGATCTTGGGGAGATCGGAGCTCTCGACACGATCGTTTTCGTCAGAATCTACATGTTATCCGTGTCTAATTAGACTAGTTTACTGGAACAAAACACCAGGAGGAGTCCTGCACCAGTACAACACAGCCCGGGTGTTATTGTTAATTTGCCTCATCAACTGATGTGGTGTAGAATGCTTGTGTAGGAGAACTGTACAAATTGTACACTGAAGCAGCACGCGTGTATTGTCCGTATCAAATGTCGGCCATTTGTAATTCTATATACTCCCTCTGACAAACTCATGACATGTAACGCTGAAAAGCTTAATATACGAGATTTAGCCTTGCTTTCAGTAGGAAGTTTTGAGAGTTTCAGCCGCAGCTCCAAGACAATGGAACTGCTGTAACATTATGTTAAAGTTGAGATTTTAATCTCAAATCGCGTTCTTAAATTACTCAATTAAATGTCAACGTGAAACTTGCAACCCACACAGTCTCTAGATCCACAAAATGTACAGTGTTCTATGTTTGACGATTCCACAAATTTCAGTCAGAAGCTAAAATAAAGATAAGTTCGTCTGACTCTGACAATGGGACGTATTACAGAGAAGTGATCCTCACAGGCTCGATAAAGCAGGTTGTGGACGCTTCACACCTGATCGCATCCCGACTTGAGGTTAGTCCTACTTCTCTTTTCTAAGAATAATTTTACTTGATTCAGTAGGCCTTAATAGCTTGCCATCCCCTTCCCTAGTTCCCATCCCTTAATAGCTTGCCATCCCCTTCCCTAGTTCCCATCCCTTAATAGCTTGCCATCCCCTTCCCTAGTTCCCATCCCTTAATAGCTTGCCATCCCCTTCCCTAGTTCCCATCCCTTAATAGCTTGCCATCCCCTTCCCTAGTTCCCATCCCTTAATAGCTTGCCATCCCCTTCCTTAGTTCCCATCCCTTAATAGCTTGCCATCCCCTTCCCTAGTTCCCATCCCTTAATAGCTTGCCATCCCCTTCCCTAGTTCCCATCCCTTAATAGCTTGTCATCCCCTTCCCTAGTTCCCATCCCTTAATAGCTTGCCATCCCCTTCCCTAGTTCCCATACCTTAATAGCTTGTCATCCCCTTCCCTAGTTCCCATCCCTTAATAGCTTGCCATCCCCTTCCCTAGTTCCCATCCCTTAATAGCTTGCCACCCCCTTCCCTAGTTCCCATCCCTTAATAGCTTGCCATCCCCTTCCCTAGTTCCCATCCCTTAATAGCTTGCCATACCCTTCCCTAGTTCCCATCCCTTAATAGCTTGCCATCCCCTTCCCTAGATCCCATCCCTTAATAGCTTGCCATCCCCTTCCCTAGTTCCCATCCCTTAATAGCTTGCCATCCCCTTCCCTAGTTCCCATCCCTTAATAGCTTGCCATCCCCTTCCCTAGTTACCATCCCTTAATAGCTTGTCATCCCCTTCCCTAGTTCCCATCCCTTAATAGCTTGCCATCCCCTTCCCTAGTTCCCATCCCTTAATAGCTTGCCACCCCCTTCCCTAGTTCCCATCCCTTAATAGCTTGCCATCCCCTTCCCTAGTTCCCATCCCTTAATAGCTTGCCATACCCTTCCCTAGTTCCCATCCCTTAATAGTTTGCCATCCCCTTCCCTAGATCCCATCCCTTAATAGCTTGCCATCCCCTTCCCTAGTTCCCATCCCTTAATAGCTTGCCATCCCCTTCCCTAGTTCCCATCCCTTAATATCTTGCCATCCCCTTCCTAGTTACCATCCCTTAATAGCTTGTCATCCCCTTCCCTAGAAGATTTCAGGTAAATAAAGTTGCAAATAATCTTTAAATTCTCATGATAATCCTGGTGAAGATATAGTCCAAACTCTAGAGCACTAAGTGTCCAGTTTTCTTTATACAATTTCGTGTATCAAACTACATCAAGGAACGCGTTGTACGCAAAGCTCTCCATCGATTGATAGTAATAATTTGTCATTTTCAAATTACCGATGGCTGGCCTCATTTTGCTTGCAGTTCGGACCACGAAACCAATCGCAATTTGAAGCAATCGAATGCGCTAATACGACCGAGCTTTAATTCATTTGTCTGGTTGGTTCAGCACACAGCTGATTAATAATCCTTCCGTGGAATTTCCATTAGGCTCTTGGTCCAAACATACAGGAAATATCAAATATTCAAGCAGTAGACACTAGACAGTCATTTAATATGTTGTGAAAGGGGGAAATAAGTAAGAATTATGCTAAATATGTAGAAATATTCCAAATATGTGAGGCATGTTTTGATAAGGTGAGTATTACAGGAGAACACGGCGGAGGAAGGAGAAGACGTGAGGTTGGAAGTATTATTTCCAAACTCTATTACTGGAGCTGTCATTGGACGAAGTGGTGAAACGATCAAAGAACTTCGCTCCAAAACGAACACTCAAATCTTGGTAAGTTACTCTATTATCCTAGCAACTTGTCCAACGAAAACGATGTATTGATATTGGGAATATTGTATTTATTTGTAATTTGCTACCTCGAGATATATTTGTAGCTGGAGAAAAGAGCGTTTCTACAGAGTGTTTCATTGAATGTGCAAATTTCTCCGCCGTGTTATGGCTTTATGGTCATCACCAACATTTTACAGCAATCATTAGCTTCAGAGAGTAAAACTACAAAGTGGGAAAATTTGATCATTGCACATTCCGATGAAATCCCAATACACTTTTAAATGCCCTTTCAACTCGATTTTTGGAATAGAAAGATGCCGTATCACCTGTTTTTATCCCTCAAAATGTAACATCCAACGTAGACAACAGTTATGGGCCGACGAATATTTTACAGTCCGCATTTTTCGGTAAAACTGATGTAACGTACTAGTTATTTTAATTTCTTACACCCGATCTTAAGAACCTCGCACAAAAAACTTACGTAGGAAACAAAGTTGGCCCCCAAAGTTTTGCCACCCAGTATTATCGATTACATATTTACGAATATATTTGTATAATGACTTTGACATATATGATGTCGACATTAATTTAATGTACTAAATTGTTTATAGCATTTATCAAAGCATTTATCAAAGCATTGTTAACAGAAAACTAAGAATAACTATGTATAGTTATATAAAATAATTTAGTTATATAGACATATCAAAGATGGGGATATATATAATATTATGTGTAAGAGTTTACATATTTTAACTCATGTGGCAAATCAACATAACTTCAAATCAGCTATATCAGATATAGGTCATGTATGTTAAATCTTATCGCGGTTACATTTTACAGTGGGAGTACAAATAGAATTAATTAATAGTTAGGAGATGATCAATAGTTTTGCTGACATCGTTGATTTGATTTGAAACTTTTACAAAATAGAAAGTATACAAATGTACAGCAAATCGAACAAACATATGAAATGGGCCGAAATGTATAAATGCTAAAAAACGTGGGTCAGCGAAACAAGTGCAGACAACTTTCAGAACAGGAGTTTTTTGGCCGCCCAAAGTCTCAATAACATCACCTCCACCTAGTAATAAAATGATGAAATGTGAAAAGTGTGAAACAATCAAATAATAATGTATGTATATAATATATATAATCTTATCGGCAGTGGTCAATCAAATTAATTAATAGTAATATCTCGCTAATATCGCGATATCAATGTACAATAATTGCTCTAATTATTTTAGTGTTTTGGTGTTATCACATATTAGCTAAGGCTTGTTAATGTCAAGGTTATTTTGGATCTCTGTAATTGGTTATACACACCAAATTTATGATATAGAATGTAAGGATCGTAAAAATTAGAGTAATCAAATACATCTTATAGTTGTGTACCACCCACCGACTGGTCGGCTTTTTATTATCGTGTATTTAAATCAAACTACACAAATCCTTGATAACTGACCTTTGATCTCGAGGTAAACACAACATGAATCATTGCAGTTGTTATGCCGCTGGAATGAGCTGTAAAAGCACTTGCTTGCCATTAACCGTTCATTTGTAGCAGCACACATATCATTATTCCATACAAGCTTCATCAACCGTGATATATCAATATTATTAAACTGATGACAGAGAGCATACAATACTACCTGATAGTTGTGTGAAAGTAATGTTCAACTTTTAACACACTGTTTCCCGAGACCTGGCGTGTTTTTACCAGAAATTCCTAAAATTGTGTGTGTGTGTGTGTGTGTGTGTGTGTGTGTGTGTGTGTGTGTGTGTGTGTGTGTGTGTGTGTGTGTGTGTGTGTGTGTGTGTGTGTGTGTGTGTGTGTGTGTGTGTGTGTGTGTGTGTGTGTGTGTGTGTGTGTGTGTGTGTGTGTGTGTGTGTGTGTGTGTGTGTGTGTGTGTGTGTGTGTGTGTGTGTGTGTGTGTGTGTGTGTGTGTGTGTGTGTGTGTGTGTGTGTGTGTGTGTGTGTGTGTGTGTGTGTGTGTGTGTGTGTGTGTGTGTGTGTGTGTGTGTGTGTGTGTGTGTGTGTGTGTGTGTGTGTGTGTGTGTGTGTGTGTGTGTGTGTGTGTGTGTGTGTGTGTGTGTGTGTGTGTGTGTGTGTGTGTGTGTGTGTGTGTGTGTGTGTGTGTGTGTGAGCGCCTAACCACAGGCTTTATCTGTACGTTTAGTAAAATCTGTCGCTCGCTAATGGTATTGTAATATGTAATGTGTTAGATGGAATTGCCCGAATGTTCGGTGTCGTGCTGTGCCTACCGCATAGCACTGTACTTCATGGTAGGGCGGTCTAGAATTACACTACTTTTTGCTGTCTCCTACCTGCGATAAGATAACAGTATGTTCGGTATGCACTTTAACACTCGCAACGCTATTTTTATACATTATAAGCTGAGACAAAATTATACACAAATAACACAACAACAGTTGAGATTACTTACAATTGCTCTCAAAAAGTGTTCAATTGATCAATCAGATGGAATTGTCATGTTCGTCTACCTTAAGATTAACTTGTGGACCAAAGAATTAAGATAGTATCGAGCGTAGTGTGTGACACTAATTATACAACAACATATGGCTATAGCTTTGACGATGACCACCAGTGTAACCCCATATAATTTGATCAATATTGGGACCAGTTAGGTGACGTCATGTGACGTCATTGTGACGTCATGTGACCCTCGCTAGATCGTGTACATTATACGTGTTTAACACTCGCCTTGTTGTCCACCTCATTACGGCACGGCTCACTCTCAAGTAGGACTACTATCAGTCCGGCGACTTCCCAAAATATTAGAACAAAGCATGGTATTTGTAGTTCCCAACTACTATCAGTCCGGCGACTTCCCAAAATATTAGAACAAAGCATGGTATTTACCTCGTTATAATTTGTAATATACACTAACATAGTGTCACATATTAACATTTAACAGTAACAGTAACAATATCATGTGATCTGTGGTTGTGTTATTTGATCAAGCACTCTGAAAGGAAAACAACATTGGAATTCATGTTGGTTCGAGTCTTATAACAAAGTCTCTATTAATATAATTACCCCTACTCGTAATAGGGTAATTTAAGAAAGTGACATGTGAATTTGTGATAATAAGTACACAGTATAACAGAAACTATATAATATAACTATATAATTATATACAGTCTTTTGATTAAAAAAGAACCTATGGAATACATAACTTCACTAAGATATTTTAACGTCTAGATCATATTTAAGAACGAGCGGAGATTTGTCACAGTCAAGTTAAATGCGTGACGGTGTTTTGTCGCGTTAGAGACTGCCAGGAGCATTTTAGATACTTGCGAAATATTTCATTCACACATATTATAATGTACACGGCAAGGCTTGCTTTAGTCAACTATTTAGCCCTTTAAAAGTGAAAAGCTCACTGCGATGATGCGCTCGATGTAATTCACTTGTGCTACATATCCGCCCAATGTATGATAAGTTGTGAATAAAATATTAAAAAAAAAGATCTCAACATGATAAAAATGACCTGCTTTTTTCAGATAAGTCACGAAGTTTTGTTCGGATCTACAGATCGGAGTATTTGTGTGAGTGGAACAGCTTCAGACATCAAGGAGTGTGTTCGTTATCTCGCAGCTATCTTGCATGAGGTAAGCAGCTATCTTGCAAGAGGTAAAATAGACGACCATTTGCATTGTGTAATGCGCTAGTTTTGGTCATGATCCTGTAAACATTTTATGCAAATTAAAAAAATTATATACAGTAATAGAAAGTTGATAACGTAAGTTTGTGATCTTAGAACCCGACGAAGGGGAACAACATTCCATTCCGAGTAAACAGCCCGCACCACATGCACCTGCAGCGTGCTGGGAGGATGATGCACCCTGGATCAAGCCCCCCTAGGGTGAGTTCTTCTCTTTACAGTACACTGTTAACTGTTGATATTATGACGTAGACAGTTTGATTTGACTATGAAGGATGTAAAGATTGTCAGGTATGTGATGCTAATCACACTGAAGATAATTTGGTTGAGTCTGTCATAATTGGCATTGTTACACGAACTATATTATAGCCGTTATACTCACATCGATATGCCGATTTGCAATGTAATATGTTTTTATTTTCAGCGTACTGTACCCAACTCTGGTGGTTTCTCGAAGGGAAATCCCGGACCATCCGCCAATGACACCATGGCAGTGCAGAAAGAAGTGAGTCGACGAGATATTTATCAACCTCCCGTTTGACCGTATTACATTTCACAGCTTTCTACTTTCACTCGAGCGAGTGTTCGGCGCCTTTCGTGTAACGAAATTATGACAACTTGTGTGGAGCGCGCGGTCGACTTGAGCTTATGGATAATTCACTGTCGCGCGTTACGTTTCTGCGTGCGCGCACGATGCGCGCGCTAGTGTAACGACCGTGAGAAAACATGATCCTGGACAAACGTTTTGTACACAACAGTATGTATCGTATAATTATACCGTGCACATTGTACTGCATGTCTGATATTGAGAAGCCGGATTTCTTGAGTGAGGGCCAGGTTGTGGCTAAATCTCTGTAACATGTGTCAGTGACAGTCAATCAAGTGGTTTGGAGACTCTGTGCTCTGATCCGCTGTCGCGTTTAAAACAATTTTACTTCCCAGTATGGGTCCAGCTCATTCGAGCTAGCAATCGATAGGAAAATTGCACTGTCCTTCTAAAACTTTTAAGATTTACTTATTTAATATTATAAAATGTCTGCGATCGGACAGGCACAATACGGTTTAATAAACGTACTTTTATAACAATTAATTTCTCCCTTTCCTCCATTAGAAGTGACGAATGTGGTAAAATTGAATTAAAATATGCAATATACATTGACTTAGTCCACTTCATAACCCGACTGGTTAGAATTCTTCGAGATGAATTCCTTAAAAAACAATTATATGAATATTGCCGGGTAAATTCGGGAATTTGGACGTCAATTTGTATTTCTACGCTGATTCTGGAAATTTTATGCAAATATGTTTAGAAATAGTTTCACTTAACAATTTTAAGTTTGTTGATCTCATGATAATCCGATCTCGTTTTTCAGTTTATTGGATGTGTTATTGGTAAGAATGGAATCAAGATTCGCCAAATTCGAGATCTGTCACAAGCCCAAATCAGAATCAGCAGCCCGAGTGATGAGCCGAACCGAACCATTTCCATCAGTGGAACCCCTGATGCTGTAAGCACAGCCAAATACCTCATCAATTATCAGTGAGTTCTGAGTACCATAATCTTTTGTCGACGTTATTCGAGAATTTTATGTTCCTATCACCGAGCACCGAAATAATTGTTCACCCCTAGGGATACTCCACAAATTACTTAGGCCAAATTTCGGCTCTTTTAGACCCCTCCGTTTGCCTCTTTACAGATAGTTATTGTGAAAAGCTTTTTTATCAACTTCATCTCAGGATTAATAATGAGCTGAAGAAGAGCCCATAATCACCTTGAAGATCAGAAACAAGTGTCGCAAGGGCGTTTTGTTTGCAACTACCTTGCCTCCCGATCAACCCTCTAAGTTGTAGGTTGGAACCAGTGAGTTGCAACTACAGGCAGGACGATTCCTTGTAACGAATATCCCCGAGAACTTTTAGATTTGAGTAGATTTGAACTTAATAGCATATTTTTGGCTAACCTTGCATCAGTTATCCCGGTCAATTCCGAGCCTTTTCGTTCTCTAGCATGAGCCTGCTTAAATGTTTATGTTTATGCATGCTTACATGACATGTGTCATAAGATAGGCAAAAAGACATGGCCAGAAAAAGGGGCCAGCGGAAGAAATATCTTTGGTCCCACCGAAAATAAGTCATAGATTTGATTTTTGGGTTTAATGATTGATATGTCTAACCGACCGCTTTTAGAAGCTTTGTACATACACTTCGTTCTAAAAAAAGATTTGAGCACAATATTTCCACTGTTGAGAGCAAGGTAGAGTTAGGCACTTAAGCGGAATGTTCTGTATAACGACAAGCTTCCCTTGTGCGGCATTTCTATCTTACTTTTAAGTGTTGAAATATGTTATTTTCGGGTAATAATGATCCTTTTTGTTTGTTGAAAACTACTTGATTTTCAAGTAAATCTATCTTAAAGACGACCATGGCATGGCAGCGTTAAGACTTTTTGATGCTGCTCATTGACCCTTCTTAATTAAACCTCAAAGCTGTTGTACATAGATTTTCAAGAAGATTTCCCATGCCCAAGCTCTTCAAAAAGATTTAGGGCAAATTTAGATGCGGTCAATGGTGCGGCTTTCATTTCGGGACTAAAATCCTGACCGTTTCCTTCTCCACCTACCCATCAGAAACCGTTATACAAATATGAGTAATTGATCAAAAAATGGTGGCCTGTTACATTAAAATATCAATTAGCTTTAATGAGGGCAATTACAATCTTAATGATTTAGAAACCAACTGACGCTTATGCATGATGATAGGAGTTAACAGTGTGCAATGTGAATCTTATGTTTGAATAAATTGGTAAAGTAATTCGTAGCCTCTTTCCTGATATAAGATTACCTTGAAACAGCTTTCTTGGGTTTATTGATAAAATAATTTACTGGGTTAATAATTCTTCTGCTAGTTTTATATGAGAGGTACAATACTAGTTTAATAATGGGGATTCCTGTTCATCCATTTTTCTTTGATCACATCGGATATAACTTTGTGCAACTGTAACGTTAGAACTGACATCATATGCCTTGCCTAGTTTTATGACAGAAATATTTTAAGTTTTTAAAGGTTTGAAGAGTGCCTAATAAAAATAAAGGTATTAAATTAAAATAAAAGGCATATGATGTACGTTCGACGACAATTTAGTATACAATTTTCGTGTGTGGAAGCTATTATGATCTTCTTACCTTAAGCAGTACCCGATTTCTAATTTTTATGCCCGCTTCCCTGTTAATTTATTACATCAGTGTAATTTTTGCTTCGACAAAATGAACGAAAAGATATTTAATCAGTGTAATTCCGAAACTTTGGGGATCTTTTGTATATTACTTGGGCATTTTTTGCTATTTTGGACCCACCCCTTCGCCCCTTCAGCATCCGAAAGCATGAAACCACACCAAACAAACAATTTCATTTCAATGCATTACCCCTATTCATATTGCTTAGAAATTATCGAAATCCATTTTTAAACAAAGCTTAAAATCACCCCCCCACTCCCCTAATCTTCCTGTGTAATATTCAGACGATCCCTAGTCACTAGGCTCGAGGCCAATGGGCGAATCAGCAACGTCCAATTTACTTGTAAAGTTTGCATACTTACATATTGTATTTCTAACAGTCATGTTCAAATTGTAATTATCAGTTTCTAAATTTATTCGTAAAAATGGGCTTGTCCCGACTTTATTGTGATTTCAGGCCTTGTTACACTGTGCTGAACATGACTGTTTAAAAAATTTAATTTTCCACGTTATATTAAGAAAAAAAGTGTGGTTTGAAGAATGAGACTGATTTATTAGAGTTTTGATAGAATGCAGTTATTTTGGGAATATTAGAAATGTTGTTGTGATAGTACATTATTTAAATGTTGTTCATGTAACAAAGTGAGAGTTTCCATTTTTCCTTTTAAAGTAAGTAAATAATACGTAGTATAACATTCATATCAATAAAACCTAAACATGCAATAGTTATGACCTGAACATAATTCCCTGTTCAAACCCTGTTCAGACCAAATAAATATCTATTATAATTTTAAAAGTTTCCTATCAGATAAAAGAATGGCCCAGCCACATCATTTCTCATCTAAAAAAATGTCCTAGGATAACAAACATTGGCAAAATAATTTTGGGAACTCCTGGTTCAAACACGATAGTATCTCGTCCACCTATTTTTTACAGAAAACTTCAAAGTAATCCTTAATACAACAGTCTGTTGATAGCTCACAGAGCTAAAAATATCAATCCTACTAAAACATGCCCCTGTCCTCCTAAGCTTTCTTGGCTTCCTTCTTTACTGTGCTCTTGACGTCAGTCTTCACTTTATCAGCTGGTTTCGCCACTGGTTCTTTAATGGAGGCTGCTGCAGGAGCAGGGGTCTCTGTTACAGCTGGTTCCTCTATTAATGGTAGTGGTTTGAAAATAAACTGTTTCCTGTTGTCTCCCGCCGTGAACTCCTCCACCGTCTGCAAATTAAATAAATTATAAAATACTAATTTCTAGACCATTTGTCTGAATAAAACATATAATGTATTATAAAGCAGTAAAATGTATTCCAATAAACTTTTCAATTCAACCGAATGTCCAATGAGGTAACTATTTATTGTAACAAATCCTGATAGACGGCAAATAGCTTGTAAAGACGAACCTGTCCATCACCAACAAGGATCCACTTTGTGGTCAAGAGACCTTGTATTCCAACCGGACCTCGGGCATGAATACGGCTCGTACTGATCCCAACCTGCAAATTGAGGTGTAAAATAATAAGTAACATTTATGATTTACACTTTCAGGTGGGTAGTCTTGTATTGAAAGGGGCGTACTTCAAAACACTATTAAAGCATTTAGTTAAGGTAGTCAAATAAGAAGATAAGTTAATTCTGACGGTTAGTTATAGTTACCTCGGCTCCAAGACCGAATCTGTAACCGTCAGCGAATCTAGTGCTACAGTTGACGAATACACACGCACTGTCAACCGAACTGCGGAACTCCTTAGCTGATTTCTCATCTTCTGTAACTATAACATCTGTGTGGCCACTTCCCCAGGTGTGGATGTGCTGAAAAGGTTATCTATTTTTAGATTTATTTCAAGCATCAGGCTGTTTACAACTTCATCTTAACATGTTAATTGTGAACCGTTTGCTTTACAACAGTTATATTATTAAGGATGATGTTCCAGTTAAGCAGATCTGCTGTTCAATCGAATATTTAAATTTCGCTGATAATACTGAAGATTGCTAATATGTAATTCCAAAAACTCGACAACATTGTTGCAGTCACATTGATTTCTAGGTCAATTATGATTTATATCTAGTATGACAGCGACGTAATTAACATTTGATCTGAGACGACTTATTACACCTGTGTAAAAATTAAAATTAAGCTCTGTCTTGGCAAAAGTCCAGCCAGTACAGCTCAAATAATAATAATTTAATTTATTTGTTTTGATGCGGCGCGCACGACCGTATCTACGTCAAATTGCATCATACAAAATGGATCAGTGCGCGTTCCAAAATATTTTCCAGTAGGACGTTGTCGTTGTTTGTGACATTAGGAATATTCTGGAACTTTTCTTACATCAAGGGCAATAATTGATGATCTAACATCAACGTTGCTGCTTTTCCTCCAAAATGAAATTACTTTATGTCCAGGCTATGCCCTTGGTGGGTCAAAGGGTCTTAATCTTACAGATCTGTACTATCACGTTCCTAAAACGGTGTCGGTAATTGATAATAAATACCTGGACGGCATCTTGCAGAGAATCCACTATTTCTACAGCACATTCCAATGATCCGTACTCAATAGTGAAGTCGTCAAGAGGAGTAGGGGAGACTGGTAGGAGCATTGCTAATCTCGGTCCAATGTGAACCTGTAAAATAACATTATAGTGAAACATCACAATAAGAACATCTATGACCTAAAATAAATATTCCAAAATGAAACCGATGAAAATAAAGTAATTTCAAAAAATTCGCCATTCACGGAAAGTTCACCTTAACGTTGTTCTGTTTGAGATCTTCAATCAGCTCGTTGAAAAGACCACCAGCGAGATGTGATTTATGGATAAGGAGTGTTTCCATCGCGTTGCAGGCGGCTGGGTAGTCACACTGGAATACGAGATTACCAGGGAAACTTTTAAATCAAAGTTTAAATTTTCCATATTAGAAATAGGTAATCTAAACATTATCTTTCAATAAACACCTGTATTGAATACTCACCTTAGCGTCAATAACGATTCTTCTGGCCTTTTTACTGTCACAGTCCTTGTCAACAAAGACATGACAGATTCCTTCAGCATGTCCCATCACAGGTATAGAGCCTGCAGCTTCCTGGATAAATACACTTTTAAGACACTCCAACGCAATCATGCTAATTTTATGATTTCGATTTTGGTTCTCATTATCATGAACAATTCTCACAGCTCCAAAGTGAGTATAAGGAGTGTTTTAAACTCAACTGACATTTAAAGTAATATATTTATGTAAGTATTACTACAGACTATAGTAATTATAACATGATTAACTCTGAAAAACTAGGGACAACTGGGGAATGATCCCAGAACCTCGAGATTTCGCGTCTCTTGCTCGAAGTGATAATAATAATTAAATGTTTCGCAGATTGGCAATTGATCGGTGTAGTTGGTGTTGTACACACTGCACTGATAACGATATCACGTTGCACGTGTAATGTAAATATAGTGTGGATAAAATGCGAATATATATTCTAAATAACTGATAAAATGATATTCCACACAAAGCATGAAATTGTGCTGTATATGAGTGGTGATTTCGCTCTGAGAATCAGGGTCAGTAGCTCAATTGGTAGAGCAAGAGACGCGAAATCTCGAGGTTCTGGGATCATTCCCCAGTTGTCCCTAGTTTTTCAGAGTTAATCATCACATATAGACAGCATGAGAGTAGGCCTGGCTATCTCGAAGTGATAATAATAATTAAATGTTTCGCAGATTGGCAATTGATCGGTGTAGTTGGTGTTGTACACACTGCACTGATAACGATATCACGTTGTACGTGTAATGTAAATATAGTGTGGATAAAATGCGAATATATATTCTAAATAACTAATTATAACATGAGTACAATATTATATAGGTCTAACCTGAATATCCTTGACAAGTTGCGAACTGCCGCGTGGTATAATAAGATCAATAAACTGGTTCATCTTCAGCAAATCTGCTACCTGAAACACAATGTTAGAATGCCAATCATTACTATTTATAATCATACTGCTCTTCTTACGCCAGTCGCTTACGTAAAGTATTATTTGATATACAATGGTTCCAAAAGAGATGATACGTATGAAAGTTCAAAAGTTACTCATTAAGAAAGAAAAACCCTACCTCTTCCCTTGATGCAATCAATTGAATAGCAGTAGGTGGACAGAACTCCTCCAGCGCGCGCTGCACCAGGTTGAACAAAACTCGGTTAGTGTGCCAGGCTTCCTTGCCTCCCTTCAACAGGAGTCCGTTACCACTGGCAATGGAGAGGGCTGCTACCTGAGGTAGCGCATCCGGGCGGGACTCGAATATCACCAGCAACACTCCTGAATATATTTCAGTGAAATTACCTTAATATGGGCTATCCAATTCGTCATTTTACAATCTTTCACAATACTGTTTAGATAAATTTTGTGGCTGGCAGGCACAAACATCCCTACAAACATTTCACAAACCAATGGGGACAGTGCGTAGTTCGAGGGTCATGCCTTCAGCAATGAGCATTCTGCGCAGCACCTGATCAGTAGTTGAATGGGCCGACTCAGCTATCAACTTCAAACCAGCTGCCAAAGTGTTGATCTTATCTTGTGTTAACTTGAGTCGGGCGATGTTGTGATCAGACAAATTGCCCTTTGCAGCCTCCAGATCCAGAGTGTTAGCGTTCAGTATAGAATGGACTTCCTTGACCAACAAATCAGCCAGGTTGTTGATGACTGAAGCTCTGTCGGCAGCTGGAAGTGCTGCGAGTGCCCGACCCCCAAGTCTACACATGTGTGCCTGTGTTTCTACTGACGGGCCATCGTTTGTCTCCAGCGAGAAGAAAGTCCCCACCTTTTTACCATCTACAATGTCTGTGATGGTTGAGCTACGACTCATGCCGTTGGCTATGACTACAGAAACTTTGTTCTCAACAGCCCACATTGCAGCAGCACACTTTGAGCCCATCCCTCCTCGGCCTACACTGGACTTTTCTCCGAACTTTACCTGCGGATTGGGAATTTATTTTCTATTACAGCAAAATGATGTATTCGTTGGTGAGTAATGACAAAATGCTCCTAAAAAATCTGATTTGACACTTGCGCGGTACTATTACTATTTGCCCATCATGACAGAAAATGATTATGGTGGATTCGAAAAATTTCCAATGAAATAAGTGTATGTGAACGTTTTAATCGTACTTGCACGAAAATATCTGCGTTCTTTTTGATTGAGCGAATGAAGCAAACATACAAATTACCTTAATAATCACTTAAAAACAAAAAATATTTTTTACAACTGATCATATTATTTTGTCAATAATGGCACGAATTATTCGAAATAAATGAAACCGAAAAGTAAATTCATCAGATTTCAAGTTTCCATAAATTTGGTGATTTGAAAAGTTGTCATGGCTGGCAATAGCCCTTGGCGATACTAAAGTACAAAATAAGTTTTTAATCTTGGCGATACTATAAAAGTACAAACTAAGTTTTTAATCACACTAGTTATTGTAAATATCTGGACTATAACTTCTCCTCTACTGGGACGAGACCCTGCCTGTCATCTCCCCTGGTAACGGTCCTCACCAACCCTGAAGTTGCTCGGAACATCCTCCTCAGAGCAACTCTCACCTGTCTACTCTGTACTATTATTACACTATTCAAAAAGTTTATTGTCATGTTACAGACTTGTTCAATAGCAATCATGTAGACACAAAATGTCTTATTATTCTGCCAATACGGCAAGACATTTACAGCACCACTGAGGTTTATCAGCTGGTTAATGCTGATAACAAACATAAAACCGAAACCCACTATGTACACAATCCCAAAAGCTCGGAGTAATCGGAGGTCACTCTCTATCTGCTGCGAAGCTAGGGCAGAGGGTTGAGGAGGTTGCGCGTTTTCACAATCAGCAATCCTATCAAAGAGTCGTCTCGCTTTAAAAGCTGTCAGCATCAGTAGAACCAAAACTATGGGCACAGGCAAAGCAAAGAAGAACACCATGACATTCCCAACAACAAGTCCAGCTGTTGTAGCAATGTTCTCATTTATGAAGAACCATGGAGACCTTGAGGAGAGGAGATACCAGAATGTTCCGAGTAAGATGCTGTACGACCATAACATTGCGATAAGGATATTTGTTGTGCAGATGGAGTAGCCTTGTTTTCCACTTATTATCCTATATCTGTTAGTTGTCAGGCACAGGACAGACAAATACCAAACTGACCTAGGAAATTAGATACTTTTAGTGGCTTCAAAACTTTTATGATCGACTAATAGTTATGAAGTAAAAACGTTTTCATTTTGAAAGTTGAATGCCATTCGTTGAACTCTACGGAAGCTTACAAAAGAACATAATCTATTAAGAATTAAGATAAGACATACCTCAAGACTAACAGAACCAAAGCAATATTTTTATATCCAAGCCATCCAGATATCGGATTTACAATAATACAAACTCCGATGAAGGCCATAATAGCATCAGCAACGGTCAAGTTCAAGTAAAACATGGCGCAAGAGGACTTGTAACATTTTGACGAAACTAGACCCATCAGGATGAGCCCAGATAAAAAGAGTGTGGATATACATATAACCAGTGAAGGTATGGTCAGGTCGTTTCTAAGGTTTACACCTAGAGCGTTCGTCGTATTGGAGGATTTAAAAAACAAACAACTGCTTAACATGATTGATCTACTGCAAACGTACGATTAACGCTACCCACTTGCTGTATTCCAACTTATGGTTACTCCCATAAGAAAGCGTCGTATTCTACTGGTCGACTAAAATAGATTTGTGTGTACAGACCCACGTACAGACCCACGCACAGACCTACTCAGTACTCAGTGTTCGGTTATAGGCGTGAGAGTATTTAGTTTCAGCTCTGAATGTACACAGTTGTGACGGCATAGTATAGAGCAGAAAGTTAGGTTACCGAAAGTCTGCACTTCCAGGAAGGTGAGGAATTGTGGAACTAAAAATAACACTATCATCACCATTCACCACCTTATTATTGAGCTGAACCATAATTTTAGTCGAAAATTATTATATTCGACGGTTTATAAAGTACAAATTAATTTAGTTAAATTAAATTCTATGGATACAAACGATCGACAGGAAATTCAGATTTCAGAGTTAATAGAATTCTTCTTACCTCCATCATACTCTGAGGGTTGAAAGTTTGAATGAGACGAGATGAAGAATCCTCAGGCGGGCCCGTGAATATACCATCTACATTGCTCAACAGTATCAACAGTTCAACATCTAACTCAACACTGAGCGCTGCAGCGAAGCTGTCGTTGTCATTCAGATTGATTCGACCATATCTGGAATATAAAAACATACAATAACTTGCAGTATCCAAGAAACCCGACACATCTCGTAGTAGAATTCCACTATGAAATTTAATGATCAACTTTTTGGATACTGCCAAATAACCTTCTATCAAAACATCGAAAACTGCTTCAGCGCATGAAATTTTTCAAACAAAAACAGAACCTAAAATTTAGATCCGAAAAGTTTATAATCTTACTTTGTTGAGTCAGAGTCATTTCCTACAACATCATTTTCATTGAGAATAGGAACAATGTTCATAGAGAGTAAGTCATTGAGGGTGTTTTGAAGCATTTTTCTGCTCTCCGGTTGAGTGAAATCCGGCTTTGTGATCAGTACCTGAAATAAACTGAATAAACAGGTGGGATCTGTGTAAAAACTGATCTGTCCTACTCAATTGTAGTGATCTACAAATCGTATAATATCTGTATAATGGACATACTATCACTTCAGCCACAATTTTAAAACGAACCTGAGCACAAGGAATGCCATACTGAGCGAACATAGCCTCATAAAGGCTCATAAGTCCGCTCTGTCCGGCGCCTGCGCACGCGCGCGGGTTGATCACCAGCTGGTGTTTGTTGATGTCTCGTAAAGTTTGTTTTACACTTTGTCCCATCAACAGCTGGTTCATTAGACGCTGTCTCCCAAACGCTACAGCTCCAGAGGACACCAGAATTACTTGTTTACCTGAATCATTGATCAGGTTACGATTACTGATGACATTCAGTGGGTGGCAATTGCTCAGATATACAGCATATACTAGAATAACAACAACAAGTGTAGTTTAATGTAGTATTAAACCTGTGTAATATTCAGGAATATTTATCGGTTATGATCTGTTGATTATAATCTTACCCTGGTAATGAAGCTCAGATATCTGCTCGATAACACTGGCCAGCCTCCCCAGTGCAAGCCCATCCTTGTTCTCTCTGGTGACAACTGCACTGCCTAGTTTCACTATTATACGTTCACATTTCGCTAGATCTCCTCGTTGTCTACCCCTCCCACTTGAGACGGAGGAGGAAAGGGAGGAGGAGAGGAGAGGAGGGGAGGAGGAGATGGCAGGGAAACGGGGTGATATGAGCTGGTGAGGAAGTGTTTGAGGATTCAGGAATTAAAATGAATTTGTCACTATTTCAACCATTATTTTGACAAACATTGCTATGCAAAGTTTTGATGTGGTACATTTGTGTAAATGTTTATAATAGTTATGTATGATTATGATGGTACGCAGGAGCGCAAGCCAGCTCAAATTTCAAAAATGCAAACAGCTTTCATCTCGCTGTGTGATAATCTCAGCCATGAGTTCCATGTGAAATAGTATTACATCATCAAGCATGATCTCATGTCTACACTGGTTACAGTATGAGATCACCACACAAGGCATTGTGGGGCGAGGAGAAACAGTGAAATATTCAGACCTACCGTAATGAATCATGTGTATTATGTAATGAATCATGTGTATTATAGTATTATGTAAATGTAATGCTCCCTCGTGGTTGAGAAAGGTAATTCTGTAGTGTTATGATAACTAATGATGCTCACCAGAACAAACCACACAGGAAGTCACAGCTTCGTGTGCTTGATAAGTGGCGGAATGGGAATCGTGTTACAAAGCAAAGCCTCAGATCACCACACATTTAGTTTGACAGCAAAAGTGTGAAGTATGACAGATGGAGTGATCAAAATTGTGATTAAACTTATAATGCAAATAAGTTTTATAATCACAATCAAGGGTTACCTTTATAAATCTCATTGAATAAGTTTGGTTTGATGAGAAAATAACGAACCTGTTTAGCAACATGTCTAAATGCTGATCTATACAACATGACAGAGAACAAGCAGCAAGGAATGCAGGTAGCGAGGAATGTACTCAGATATACACTTTAGAGGGGGAGTATGGTAGTTTCACTGAAGATCTGTTAGTCTAGCTCATAAACTGGGAAATAGTGGGTAACTGCGTACACTAATTGTAAAGAATGCAGAGTGAAGAGTAATTCCTAGTGAGCTGCCTTTCAAACCTATTCACTTCTCACCTGACTAATTAACACGCAAAACTACACAAATCTAAGCGATAACTACAAAATATACAATTTATGTCAAAGTCGCAAACTCTATAACAAACAGCGGTTCAGTTGGGATACAGAAATTAAATGAAATAGATTAAAACCGGATAACTCTACACGGTGACAAAGTTAGCGATAAAATTATCTATCAAGATCATGCGATTACAATCAACGGGTAGATTAGGTTTCAAATCAATACAAATCCGGCTCTACAATTAGTGAGATCCTAACTACACGTATAACGTATCTCAAGGAGTCCAAAATAAGGCAACACATCACACCCTATAAACTAATAAAATCGGGTAAATATAATGACGTGTCTCTAATTTGCCGGTCTAAAACACATAATAATGTAATATTCAGATCATGCAACCTCATTACATCCTGTATTGTGGGACAGTAGTTTAGAGGGCGAGAAGTTTTAAGATTTTATGTGATGCTTGTTCTAAGTTCAAGTCGATATGTTATATAACAGTCTAGTTCAAGTGCCAAACGAAAATACGGTATAGATGCAGGTGATACAGTGAAAAGCAGCTGAAGATAACAAACATGGTACCAACAAACTAATACCCAAACATAGGGAGACAAGATCTATCTTGATAAATGAAGTAAAAAAAGCTGACCATCAAAAATTGTCAGGTTAACGAAATGAGACCCTACAGGGTAAGATAGTTGTAAATACAAGCCACGTGTACAGTTCTGCAGACTGCAATTATACAGAGCGCATATTATCACAACGTACTAGAAATAATAATGAGATACAATGAAAGTGACACTATACACAGCACTGTATTGTGTATAATGTGCAGTGAGAGAACGTGTAAGGGAGTCAGGGAGTGAGTTGTCAGTTGACAGCGGTGATGACATCGTACACACTTACAAGTACCAAATACCACAAACTATACATTACAGCATGATTCGTTTGAATAATACGCTTAACTAACAATTTATCGGCTATTTATCTTAGCCACAGGAACCAAGTCACTTTACACGCTGCATGATACACAGATTAATTTGGCTGGCGGGATGACCGTCATTATAAACCCGGGGTTTCATGACTTCCAGGTTAGATATTTTTTCTGCATATATTTAGCTAAGGCTAGAGGGGGTACGATTTTTTTTTCTAGTTTTAACATTATTATATGTGATAGAGCTGCTGGAGATGAACAAGTAGGAAAAAACCGCATAAGGGTCTGACCTTGCTTTGCTGAGATATTGCGCACCAAAGTTTGAGGTTTACATGTAATTACAATTATATTACATGTTAAACTTAATATAAACTTAAAAAAGGGAAAACTCAACTTTTGGAAAAGACTGGCCACTCCCAGGACCTGAGACGTGGCACAAGTGTTCCTTAGGTTGTTAGCCACAAACGATATGCTGACAGGGGTGTAGGATTGATTTTCTTCACGAGGGGGCCAAGATCTTAGAGTTTTTCTAATTTAGCACGCGCTTTGGAGCTTTGGCCACAGCCTGAATTTCAAAAACAACAAAACGTGTAAAAGGCCTAGCTGAGCAATTTGGCAATAGAGATCATTTTCATACACAGTTTCGTTTTTCTGTTTCAAGAACGATTAAAATAATACAATTTTAAATGCATATTAGGGCCTGCAAGCAGCTCTTGCGAAATAAGGGTAGTTCGAAAAAGTTGTAAAATGATAAATCCAGCAAGATTTTGTTGTGCCAATTTAAGGGTCAAAGGAAAAGTCCTGCAAATTTTGAGGTCTCACTCTCAAAGAGGGTGCAACATGCAAGGAGGGAGAATCTGGAACAATTTTTGGAAAATTTGTTTTAAGGAATAAATTCTAGCAATGAGGAATGTAAATTTGGACTACAAGGAGAAAACTGTTGCCTGCTAATTTACTTGAAAATACTGAACACGGCATAAAAGAGTAATCAGTAATGTTATCTGAATTTTATAATCGCTTATAGCTTTATAGGCTTCTGAACTTCTGATGCATCCTGACATGCAATCACAGTGCTGGCATTTGGCAAGCACGAACGTTGCCCTTATACCTCCCATACTATTATACCCCCTTTACTGTTTCTTCAGGCATTAAGGCTCATTGGAAGTGGTTTAGCAGGTTTATTTTTAGTTTAAAACATTCTAATTCGATGACAAAGATGACAGGAATAAGATAATGTTATCTGAATTTTATAATCGCTAGGTTCCTGAACTGTAATGTAATATCAGAATATGTGATATAAATTATAAATTGATGATATTTGACCAAAACGGCAAACACTGTTAGCCGCAAACAGAGATGCCAGTGCCAGTGTCTCTCTTTCCCAAACAAAAGGAAATGATATTAATTCGAATAACCGTCCACAAATACAGAATGATACCGTACCGAGAATGACATATACAATTGTAATAGATTAAGAAGAACTACCCGAAGGCAGCTGTACTCGGCAATAAAGATTAAATAAACATCAGCTAATTCGACACTAACTACCACCCTTTTCCCGAAATACTAGGTATCGACCCGAAAGCAACCCAAAGAGATCCAAAGAGATTTTTACAGCATGTGATTGATGTAATTAATCGAAACTTATTAAAATTGGTAAGCCGTGAATGAATGGGAAAAGCGAGCGACATCTAGCTGCCCTGCAAAATTTTAGATTTCTAACTCAATTTCAACTTGGTGTTTAAGGCACCTGAATATGGCGATTTTGTGTTTTTACCGAATTTCGTATAACAGCGCTGGCACGTATTTTGCGCAAATTTCTTAAAAACCTCCACATAACTATTTATTATGGGGGGGGGGGGGGGGGGGGGGGGGGGGGGGGGGGGGTTCAGGCCATGACTACGTAATATTGCTGTCAGGAGGGGGAGGGGGGTTGGGTCTTGATTACGGTTGAATACGGAGGGTGAGGGCCGAGGGCCAGGGGGGTAAAAATTGCTAAAATATTGATTACGTAATAATATAATGTGAATAAGTAATATATAATGCCTATTGCTTAAAGTAGTCGCACTGATAAACCACAATAGTTACTCAGACTCTAATAAAAAACATCTGTAAAATAAAACCACTAACTAGTAACAATAAGTAAAAGATGGCCGTATAAAACATGCCGACGCAAAAGGTAAATTATGTCAAAACTATATTTTTGCAAATACTTCCTTCTTAAAAAAAGGGGCAGAATAGATGCGGACAACCAAATACCATGATGAGTATGTTTTATGTTAAAATCAAAATATAGAATATTCTGGATATTTAATACACTGTTATAGTTAATACAACCAAGTTGCTGTAAAAATGCACCTAACACCGTTATTAATCTCGCAGCTGGTAAAGTGGTATGAATGTCGTGGGAATTCTTACCAGCTGTAAGCCAAAATCCCGGTGACGGCCTTAATCCCGGTGTTAATCCCAGTCCAGAAATTTTCTCTGGTCCCGGGCTCCCGGTCAAGCCTTGATTCGTTCGAATAATACACTTACTTAACTTAGGTTGGATATTTTGTCTGCCTATATTAGTTTAATTCTCACCGTACCTCCAACACTAGGGCCAGGATTAAAAGTCTGTTTCCATATTTGAAGGTAAATTTAAAGTTACAATTTAAACAATATTTTACCCTGCTGACATAAAACAAACCAACATTTCCAAGGAATTGTAATCATTTTGTTGGTGTGCAAGGTAATCAGATTTGCAAGGTGTAACTTACAAAATCAAGTTTGACCATATCTTTTAAGCTTGGTCGAAATCACACACAAGGAATACAAGGAATACAAGGAATTATACACACATGTACGGAAGGGAGTCGCAGACCTTAATCCACAAAACAACAAGATACAAACAAGTAATGGCGAAGAAGGCAAAGTGCAATAAAGAAGTAATTATAAAGCAGTAACGAGTGTTAAGCCTCCAATATCAGGACATATATCGCAGGTTACCTTGGAGACGAGTGTTTCCTACCTAATATAACAGTTAATGCTCATGACGGATCATGGGTGAAGGTGACAACTTACTTCCTAATAATGACTTGAACGATTTAATGTGATACAATGTTATGAAATATCGTGGATGTACTGGATCTAGATTGTGTTTTTATTTGAATGTGATCCTTGACTGAACTAATTTTAAATTGAGCAGCAGTTGACAACTGTGTAGTGATTAGTAACCACAACAAACAGTTTCTACGTATCTTCAGTATTCACATATTATTTAATAATACTTTTCCGAGATTTAGCTGGCTGATCACTGCTTATACACCATTAACAACACTGCTCCTCCACAATCTACATCGTTATCAGACAGGGGTGTAGAAATGATTTTTTTCATGAGGGGGTCAAAATCTTAGAGTTTTTCAAAATTTTTTTTTTTTTGGCGCGTGCTTTGGGGAAGCCTGAATTTCAAAAGCACAAAAAGTGTAAAATATGGGGAAATTTGGGAAAAGAGATCATTTTCAACACATTCCCCAAAACGATTAGAAAAATGCATTTTAAATGCATATTTGGGCCCGCAATTTTCCCCGCGAAAAAAAGGGGGTCCCAAAAGGGGGCATATTGTTTCCTCAAAAAATTTAGGATATTGCTTCCAAATGAAAATTTTCAATGTGAAATGAAAATCCAGGATTTTGTTGGGGGAATTTGGGTGGAAAAAATTTTTTTTTGAAAATTATTAAAAAGGGGAAATGGGGGGGTTTGGAAAAATTTTTTTAAAAAGTTTTGGGGGGGGTTTAGTGATGTGTTAAATTGGTTTGGGGGGGGGTTTGGTTTTTTTGTTGAAAAGGTAAAAAATTGTTTTTTGAATTTTATAAATTTAAAGATAGGTTTTGAATTTTTATTTAAATTTTGTTTGGGTGATGTTGTGGATTGTGGGGGAAGGGGGAAAGATTTTTTTGAAAATTTTAAAGAAAGGGTTTGATTTTTTTAAGAAAGGTTTTGTTGTTTTTTTAAATTTTGGGTTTGGTTTTGGGGTTGGTTTTAATTTATGAAAGTGAAAGGAAAAAAAATAAAAATGTTTGTTTTTTAAAGGGTTTTGTGGTTAAAAAAGGATGGTTTAGGAAAAAGTTTATGATTTTTGGTTGGCCAATTTTTTGGGGGCGCGTCCCCCCCTCTTCCACATCCCTTTTTCAGAGGTAAACAGCTGGGCTAAGAGTGGAATATCCCCCCCATCATAAAAATAATGTGGATCAAAGGGGTTTGCCCCGGGTTATTGTATTCAATAATTTTCTTTTATATTTGGGAAATTTTAAAATTTTTAAAAAATTTAAAAAAAAATTTTAAAAATTTTTAAATGACGTGTTATGTCTGATATTAACAAATAAATACGCTTTAGATTAGGGTAGAAACTATTGCATAAAATTTACAGAAACATTAACATATCAACAAGCAATTTCAAAAGTTTCATTGATGATAAATTAAACCATTTTCTCATCAACTACAACTATTCAGGCGGTACAATCTCGAAACTGAACTGTTACCAAATTCGAATTTTAAGATTATAATACTGACCAGCAGTAGCAAATTTTTTTATATAATCTACCTCTAACGTTACACATTCTAGCAAATCAATTCAAATAGCATGCACAGTTCAATACTTAATAAAAATTTAGCAATCACAATTAATATATACAATACATAACAAATAGAGAATCATAAGTCTATTTCTTAGTTAGTTTACGTATTAACAAGTGAAAGGCTTAACTGAGGTCCACAATGTCTGTTTGTAACGTCCAGGAAGAAAAACAGTAGTGACGTCATAATGTGGTATTTAGATCCAAATGTAAGACTTTTTAACGTGTTCTGATCGAAAAATATCAGGTCAATCTTAAAACATTCTATATGGAGCAAAAAAACAGTCTGTTAAAAAAAACAAATCATATTAACCTCAGCCTCCGTTTCTCAGTTCTCAGATAATATGAAACACTATAAATCACTAAATATTCTCCATTCTAACATTAGTGCAGTGTTCTAGAAAGGCCTTCCGATGATTAATCACAACCACACTCCCCACCAACACAATACCACTGCTCAAGTAGAAGGCCCAGAAGGCGTTGCTAGCTTCGTACTCCGTGCTAACGCACTGCTTGAAGAACTCGTGCTCGCCAGGACTGCACCGTACAAACTCCCGCCGACCTGTACTCTGACATTCGCGCGGCGCAGGACTCTCAGCGGGGCAAATATCGCACTTCTCGAGGACTGTGCACTCGCAGTCTGATCCAAGCTGGTGGGAATTAAGGATTCAGATATTCAAGAGGAAACAAGGGAATAGTTTTTTGTTCCTCTTAATTTAACTTGATATGAATGAAGATGAGAAAAACAGTTAAAAGATTTTTTAAAAGAGAAATGAGAATCTATAATTATTACCTCTTTACATGATTCGAAGGCAGCTAAAGCAACCTCGTTGTGAATTTCCGGCGTTTTTATCCGAAACACTTCAGCTGTTTCTATCACACTGGAAAAATAAGCGGTTAAAATTCCGAATTATCAAAATTAAGATTAAAGTAGAGCTACAGTAAACTTCGAAATTCTCGTAATTCTTAATGAGTACGATCGTGAAGTTTTGAAGGTTTAAAGATAATGGAATCGTTTTTGAATTATGAATATTGCAGTATTAGAGAAAAACTGACACTTACTATAGTGCAATAGCAGTTAGGAAAATGATAGCAAACAAAGCGAACAAGTTCCTGCGTTGGCTAAGTTTAACCATAGCTTTCGAAAATTCAGCCAGGGTGTCAGATTTTCAGATTTCAGCCTTTATGTTCTCCTCTTTCATGAATCAGGATGTCACAAGGCTGCTCAGTGTTCACGGAGTTTTACATTCTGAACAAAATATTAATGAAATAACTAAAACAAAGACAACGTCTTTCAGAACTAAACATCTCACGAAGAGAGATGCTCGCACAGTAAATTCTGTGTGTGTGTTAAGTGTCTTATCTTATTTCAATACGTTATTATTGTATTCAATACGTTATTATTGTATTCAATACAAAGTCACAATGGTGGGGATACAACAGTCATTAATGTGCATTAATGGGCATAAATGGGCATAAATGGGCATTAAATGTATATGTATATTTCAGCAAAATTCTATAATACTGCCATATAATGCCCATACTTTTTCCCATTATTGCCCATTTTTTCTATTAAATATGGCATAATGTGCCATTAATGGGCATTAATGTGCATTATGGGCCATTAATGGTGCATTAATGTTGCATAATTTTGAAAAATACTGGGCCATGTATTGCCCATACTTTTTTCTCCGCATTTTTCTTATTAAATATGGCATGTAATGGTGCATTAATGGGCAATTAATGGGCATATATGGGCATTTAATGTGCATAATGTATATTATTGTATATTTTCAGCAAAATTCTATAAAACAGACATTGAATGACCGTTGTAACCCCCCCCCCCCCCCCCCCCCCCCCCCCCCCCCCGTCACAATTGACAAGATGTAGGCGTATATTAGATTAGTACATGAATAAGTATCATTCTGGAAGAGAAGGTAGCACCATCCCATAAGCGTATAATATGCGAGGCATCATGAAAATAGTCATCACAGTGATTGCGACAGTATAGCCATATTTAATCATTTTGGCGTATATATAATCTTACTATATATAAAGCGAGACGATATATATATATTTATCTGTGCCATTTTACTGACACCACGGCATCAACTTTAACGGTAATTTCTGCAAAAACCGTAAAAGATATACCACTGAAACTTTTTTGACTGGGTCAAATGCTTTAATGGCCTCCAAATCAGCATGAAAAAATAAAAAATTGGCCAAGAAATAGGAGTTTTAGAGCCCAAAAATTGGTACCCCAAGTGGTGTCAAAAACGCGAATTAAATAGGTAATAATTGTTTTAGTCTCTTGAGTCTTGACACCATTTTAGGGTTAGACAGGTTCCTGCTAGTAACTCTAAATGATGCAGATGAAACTGATATAATGGAGATATCTCTGACTTTTCAGATTAATAGTGTTCAAACAGTCAAAAGTTTTGGAATATATTTTGGTACTCATGCTCTAATAGGAATGTGAAAGTGGAAATCAATATATATATCACAGATAAGAGGAGCTCGCAGTAAAACACATCATTGAGAAAATGAAAAACATTTTATTTTAGGGATACTAACATCTCTTAATAATACAAGCAGAAAACGTTTTAGTGCAACTTCAAGCAAATATTTTGCCTGAAATTAAATGATTTTAAAATTTCAATAATATGTTGTCGCCACTGATTTAAAAGTTCAAATCTAGTTCCGTTCTATTTCGGTACGGGATTTTCTGCTCTTGAATTGAGTGCTTCACATTATTTTGATATCCTTTAAATCATCTAAAAACTACAAACAGATAGAAGAATATACAGTAAATTTAACAGTAACAGCTGGTATGTAAATGCACGATCAGAGTGTTTTTTATTATTCTTTAAAACATTTAAAAATATGATCGCTAAGTGACTGAATAAGTTATTAATAAGTTCAGCAAATTCTGATCTATAAGATTTATTTTGAAAACACAAACGTATACAATCACAAGCTTTTGGTTTTAAAGAAGACTCAAATGATAAAGAGCTACGTCAAAAATCACAGGATTTAAGAATTAATCAGCAAACTTGTATCACCGAATTAAAACTCAGTGGTTATAGTCACTGTTTAATAACAAAATTCGCGTCCATAAGCGCAGTTTTAACACGAAATAAGCGTCCACATTAGCGCAGTTTTACCAATACCATGCAATTGCACCATACAATAATTGTCCACTATTGCTACTGACAGACTCGTTTGCAGGATGTCCTAACGGGACATCCTGGAGTTGAGGATGTCAATGACCATGTTGATGTCTCCGTTCTTGTTGTGGAGAAGTTTAGCGAGCCATTCTCCGCTGTTAGTGTATCCCATCTCCAGCATGCATGACAGGGCAGCGTGGATATGGGGAGGCAGAGAAACTGAAATAGTCATGATTTATATGCCTCAAACTAGATAGAAATTAATTTAACACCCTCAATAGTTTACATAAATGGTTTGACACATCTAACATTAAAATGGCAGAATAAAGTTAATTTTGAGGTACTTACGAGAAGTAATGGGATTACGGGACACAGGAGCGGAAGGAGGGGGAGAGAAAGGAGCACGGTTAGAAGGAGCTCTTCCAGCACCACGTCCACGGGTAGCAGCAGGAGCAGGAGTGGGTGTCAGAGGAGGAGGGAGGATGGGAGCAGCAGCTGGAGGAGCAGGAGCAGCATCTTCCTCTAGAGTAGGGTAAACTGAAACGGAGTGAATGAACGGGATTTGAAACAACTATAACTACTCGTACATTGTCATCCAATTTCCAAATAATCTTTATTGTCTGTGGTTTTAATCAAATCTTACGTTTTACCATACCGGCTGAAGGTGTCACGTTGTAGACATTTTCGTATGTCTCAGTCTGGGAATCCTCAGTCATGTCTGAAAGAAAAATATTTACAATGGCTCAGATTGAAACTTATTGAGAGTAACACGCGTTACTCTCATCCCAGTTAATATTCGACAAACAGGGTGAAACCACACCAAGTGTTCATACTGATTCCTAAAACTTAAGCTCGATAATAAATTAGAATAACTGTTAAGGTGGTTTTAACCTGGAACATCAACATGGTCATTAGGGTTGAGTAAAACAAAGTCTCCTTCGTCACTGCCGGTAACTCTGATTCCATCGTCATCAGGAATGTGTACAGACTCAGAGTACACACTCTTAGTCACGGGCTCCTCCTCAGTAGCTATCTCTTCAAAAACCATCTCTTCTTCCACGACAACCTCAGCAGCAGGAGTCTCATTTGGGGGGCCGGTAGTTTCGTCTTCCTCAGGCATGGTCTTCTCGGAGAGCTCAGTGCTCAAAGAGTGGTTAGATTCATAGAATTGTTCTCCGATCAAGTTATCTGAGATGTACATGTCTGCAGTTTGTATTTGCAGCTCCTCCAGTTCAATTCTTTGTTTATCCGTCACTGAGTCATCTTTCAGCTCCAATTCAAGGACAGCACTTGGGAAGTGGATTGGCATCATCATAGGATTCATAGTGCCACACTGTCTCCCTGAAATAACATGCTTAATATGATAATTTATACAATTCTAGATCACAGACTATGGAGCGTAGGATGCTGGATGAATATTGTAAAGTATATTAATACACTGTAGAGTGAAGAAATATAATCAAAAAAATCGATAAACCTAACAACGAAACTTACAATTTCTTAGCCGGAAAGGAATCTTGACGAAGATATGCTCGGAGTGGATGCCTTTTCGTTTGCAGGGTTTACACAAATCAAAGTCAGGACAGACAGAGCACTTCCACCGAGGTCCCATGACGGGTCCCTCACAACCATCACATGTGACTCCAGGGTGGGTCATGCCAGGGTTCTCCCAGTTGGGGAGCAGCATACTTCCTCCAGTCTTACCTTTCTTCTTCCTCATTTTGTTGCAGTGACCTCCGAACACCTTAGCTTTACTAACCGTCACTGGAATTAGATTCTTATTAAACCTATTAAGGGGGCAAGGGGGGGTCTTTATGAAATTTCTCTCGAAATTGATTTTATAGTTGTTTCTAATAGAGGGGAGTGATATCTAACTGCTACTTTTGGTCCCATGGAAAAATATTGTTCCTAGACGAAATTATTGCCGGTCAAAGGTCAGCGCTCATGTGTAATTGTATTGCGCAAGCGATTTTTAATCGCACGCCCTGAAAATCGAGTCTAAAAATCTATCTCCTCCTACGTTTTTTGAGCAATCACCTTGAAACTTTCAGGATATGTTCTAAGGACCATTTAGAAACTTTTGCTCGTTTTAGAATTTCGAGATAGGCCTTTAAAAATTTTTTATTAGATTTTGAAAATCTTGGACCTCTTTTTTTTGACGATTTTTCCAGGTCCAAGATTTTCAAAATGGAATAAAAAATGTTTAAAGGCCTATCTCGAAATTCTAAAACAAGCAAAAGTTTCTAAATGGTCCTTAGAACATATCCTGAAAGTTTCAAGGTGATTGCTGAAAAACTGTAGGAGGAGATAGATTTTTAGACTCGATTTTCAGGGCGCGCGGTTGAAAATCGCTCGCGCAATACAATTACACATGAGCGCTGACCTTTGACCGGCAATAATTTCGTCTAGGAACAATATTTTTCCATGGGACCAAAAGTAGCAGATAGATATCACTCCCCTCTATTAGAAACAACTATAAAATCAATTTCGAGAGAAATTTCATAAAGACCCCCCCCTGCCCCCTTAAACATTAACCTGTTAAGGGGGCCGGGGGGGGGGGGTCTTCATGAAGATTCTCTCGAAATTGACTTTATAGTTGTTTCTGATAAAGGGGAGTGATATCTATCAGCTGTTTTTGGTCCCATGGAAAAATGCTGTTCCTTGCCGAAATTATTGCAGGTCAAAGGTCAGCGCTTACGTGTAATTGCATTGAGCGAGCGATTTTCAATCGCGTGCCCTGAAAATCGAGTCTAAAAATCTTCTCCCACAATTTTTAAGCAATCACCCTGAAACTTTCAGGATATGTTCTAAGGACCAGTTAGAAGAGATTGTCGGGCCAGAATTTTGAGATAGGCCTTAGAAACCTTTAATTCAATTTTGAAAATCTTGGACCTCTAAAAATCAAGGTCCAAAATCTCAGGGTGATTTCAGGGTGATTGCTCAAGAAATGTAGTATAGGAGAAGATGGATTTTTAGACTCGATTTTCAGGGCGCGCGAATAAGAATCGCTCACGCAATACAATTACACATAAGCGCTGACCTTTGACCGGCAATAATTTCAGCTAGGAACAATATTTTTCCATGGGTCCAAAACAGCTGATAGATATCACTCCCTTCTATCAGAAACAACTATAAAGTCAATTTTGAGAGAACTTTTATGAATACCAGCCCCCCCCCCGGCCCCATTAGAGATTAAATTAAATGTTTTTAAGATATTTTGATTGAGAGTGGAGAAGACAACTGTTAACTTCAGAGCTCTATAAGCCTACCTTTGATGCTCATCTTGAGAGTGGAGTTAGGAGCTCCTGGACACTCCTCCAGAGCAGCTAGTAGTTCACCGTTACTGCTCACCACAATATCGTCACCTTCATCATCCTTCCAGCTCATGCTGAACTCACCTGTCGGGAAGATGTCTTGTAGATTTGGTTAGTAGTGACGGCGAGCCCAATTTGTTTTCGAATGAAAGATTGACTCTTAGATTTGATCGGTTGCTGCTGGAAGCTGATTGGTTAACTGCTACCACGAGATGAGCGTATTGTTTCAACCATTTAAACTAAAGTTCAACCTATAAAGTGACGATTCGTTGGCAAAAGAAGGAAACATAAATAAAATCGGAATATTCCGCCTCGCTAATGTAAACTAACATGTATCGTTCTTGTAGCAGTCGATCAGTTTCGCCAACAGATCATCATAAGGAGTTTCCGAGCTGGGGTCCACCTTAAAAAGTCGTATCTCCTGAGAAACAAACAATTTTATGATATCAGCTTTCAGCACCATTAGAATTTTCTCAATATTATTCAGGGGTACATGAAGTTTAAATTTATCAAACGGTTAGAAACACTGAATTTGAAAGGGTTACCTCGGAAACAGATTGACCTTGTATGGTCACAAAACATTTGACCTTCATTGCTAATTCTGAGACAAGAGAGTTCAGTAATAATGGAGGAGTACAAGACATGGCGAAATGTAAAGGGAATTTCATTGCACTGAAATCACATAATTATACAAATTTACTCGTTCTGATTCCATCGAGTGCCAGCTGTTAAAAATTAGTATACAAAATTAGCCGAGAATGTTGTTATAATTATAAAATTACGGAAATAGCATAAATATTAATTACAAGTCATCAATTAAAACCGCATTAAATACGTTAAGCACACTATAAATTTGATAGAAATACAATTATTAAAAACTTACTTTTTTAACCAATTATAAACCATTATATCGTTTTAAACTCTTTTCACAATCGTATGAGCTAACATAAGTTTTACTTTTCCGTCAGATTGTACCTTGCACAGAACATGTATATCACACCACCTCCTCACCACTAAATTTAAAGGTTCTAAATCAAAACTAGTTTTAATTCTTTCAACACCCACAAAATCCCTGGCCTGTCCTCCGAAACAGAACACAGGAACCAGCTCTTGTGAAGAGTCATCCTGGACAAGGAACTTGAAGTAGAGCGTCTTTACAAAGTCTGATTCTTTGCACTTAGCACATTGCTCGTGCTCTGAAGTCTTGATAGTTTTGCACCGCTCACAGCAGCTCTTTATCATTGCAGGGTAGGTTTCGGGAAGGTGACTGTGGAGATAAACTCTGATTTTATAGAGTCCCTTGTTGGACGGCTCCTTCATAATCTTAGTTAGTGTAGTCAGGGTCTGTTCAGGATAAAGACACTCAGTTGGTGAGGTTTGGACACTTCTAGGTTCGTCCTCTGGCAAGGAAAGGTCTGCTGGAGAAATGTTTGTTTCTATTGGGATCTCATCTATCCTCTTCTGCATCCACTTTTCCGTCATACCTTCAATTTCCAGTTTCTTGATGCCTCTATTGTGACTTGTTCCTCCATGTAAAATTAACTCCGGTTGGCTCAAACCATAAGGGATGTAACAGTGCACGTTAGTCAACGAAATGAAATCACTCGGGAGCAAAGACTTAGCAAAATCCATGTGATCATCAAATATGGTGACATCAACCGTGTACTGGTCCAACTGTAACAGGGCATGTTGTGACAGATTACCCTGAATGTGTAAAGGGGAGATTTTCAGGGTGTTTATTTGTGGGATGGTTCCATCAACACAGCGCAGAACAATACTTTTTAAACATTTGCCCACACCGATCACTTGGAGGTTGAGATTACAGTACAAATTTAGTGTGACATCTTTCAAGGGTACGGGAAAGTCGTTGAATTTGTTAAATCTGTCTATTGGTCGTTCATTTGTGATTAAATCAAAGTCTGCTATCACTTCCAGATCAGGCTGTTCCAATGTATTGCCCGATTTTTCAGTCGCAATTTTAACTCGCTTAGCATGATGAATTGATGCTTCGCTCGATACTGCTCTTTTTTCTGAAACTGGATCTTTGGACGCCGTTTTCCAGCCAAAATTATTGGAATTGAAGGCAGGAGATTTTAACCAAGCTCTGAGTTCGGTGATCCTTTTCTTGTGTTCGTCTGATAGTTCACCTGAAAAAAAATGTTTTAACATTTTTGTTTACTTCTTACGTACTTGTAGAATAACTATTTTTGTGTAGTGCATAAAATTTAAAATTATGCACATAACGACTCGAAACTTAACCTAATAATCTACTCTAGGCTAGGGATGTACTTTGATTCGCCTCCATTTTCTGTCATCACATAATTTAGTCGGCACCAATGTAATTATTGTTTTACCACCGTGTTTTGGTTCAGCCGAAATAAATTTTACTATGATGTTCATTCCAGTTGCAGTCTGGTAATGTTGAGTCTCAGGAATATTATTCTAGCTCTCTTTTTCCATGTTTTTGCCTCACAGGAGATATTGTGGTCTTTTCTAAATATAACTGTAATACATTGATGTACAGTTTATTTGGATTTTGAAATTAAAAAAATTGAAGGAGTGCTATTTGTTTGTACAGGGTGTTTGGAAAGTCTGGAAATGATGCTCTTTTTAGATTTAACTTTTAATCTATTTGTCTAAATTTCATTTTGTAAAAAGTTATTGGTCATAGTTCTAACGTTTCATGGTGACTTTCGAACTACCAATAACTTTTTACAGAATAAAGTTTAGACAAATGGATTAAAAGTTATCTAAAAAGAACATCCTTTCCAGACTTTTGAAACACACTGTAAATCATTTAATTGATTGTCAATAATATGACGTCTCCCTCATAGGAAGTAGGGGGAGAGCTGCCCTGTAACGTCACGTGCTCTTGATATCACAACACGTGACTTCGTGGTGTTAAGTTTGACAGTTGACACGTGCAGCGTAGTTTATTATTCCTTAGTTTGGATAATTGTAGAGCCGGCTTTGTATTGATTTGAAACTTAATTTACCCGTTGACTGTAATCACATGATCTTGTATAGATAATTTCATTTGCTAACTTTTTCACCGTGTAGAGTTATCCGGTTTTAATCTCTTTAATTTAATTTCTGTATCCCAACCGAACTGCTGTTTATTGAAGAGTTTCTGACTTTGACATGATTGTAATTTGTTTAGTAACAGCTACTTATCTACTCTACTCTTCTAATTCCCTTTAACCAGAAGCAACACTTCTAGTAAATCAATTACTAGACATCGCGTCTACGGCTAGCAAGATTAGTGACCATCACGGCTCGGCTCGCTGGATAATCTCTCTAGAGTCAGTTGTTTGTAAGCTCGATCGATACAGTTTGCTAACTCTTAACTCAAACTTGCTCTTTACAATTCATATTATTAAACTCTAATTACTGTTAAACGAATTCATTTAATGTCACCTACTTCCGGACTTAGTCACCACTAAATGTGTCACGACCGCGGCTGCAGAGCCGTCTAGATAATTTGTAATCCCATTATGTTTTGAAAACTGTAATCAGGAACGGGATATAAATCTGTCACACGACTGACTATTAGCGTTTCGTTTTGTCAATAACTTTTTATGCCGTTATCCTTGCGATTACAGAAAAATCGAAGAGCTTGTAATCGTTAAATATCAAGTAAAACCCACAGCAAACTAGCAGGTATTAACTTAATTAATATCGATTTGTATAAACTAGACTTGGTATTTACGTTAATATAAGGGTTGTTATATATTATGTTTCTTTAAATGTCTTTTCTCTAATGAGTGTAAGGTCACACTTGTCACGTTTAGATTAACTGGCTGTTACAATACAAAACCTCTTATTATTACGTTCTTTCATTGTTACTCTTAACCAATAAATCCGCTGTGTGATTTATTTTTTATGCAGGATGTTGCTTTAAAACAAACAAATATACTAAGTTGTCTTGATCTGTCACACATTGGCATAATTATGTCATATCATCATGTTTTTGTTGTTTTAACACCATTTTATTACGCTCTTTCGAAGTTTCTCTTGTCCTTTGTGCAATTATACTTTTGCTTTAAAACAATAAAGGTTGTAAGACAGTGGGTTTGTAACGTCATTATATTATATAACAAACACTTAAAACGGTTCAACACTACAGAAGTCATTAGACTGTCTCGTACCAACAATATAGGTGTGACACAGTCTAATGACTTCTGGTCATTGTAGGTCCTACAATGATCTGACAATTACCCAAGGTGTGGACAGAACTTATGAGATATTTTATATTTAAATCTTTTAAGTGTTTACTTTTTAAATGTTGTAAGTGCTTATTAGCAGAGTTAGAGTTAGAGCTGTAATAATTCTGTTATTGATAGTTTGTATTTACTGCTGTAAATATTGCTTATGTTTCGAGGTTATTTTTATAATCAATACAAAGTTATGACTTGGTAATCTGTAAAACAAAGTAACATTTTTCTCAGCGAAAAGGAGGAGATGGCTGTTTTCAGTGAAGGAGGAATAACTTCACCAGATATTTACATAGGAGTATCCTGTATTTGTGTTGTTCTGATCTGCACTTTACTGAATGGATTGGTGTTTGTTCATGAGGCTCGCAAGAAGAACTCTTTAGCAAGGAGCTTGTACCTTACTCTATCTGCTGCTGATTTCATCACAGCATGGGTGCTAACAGCTAATTTCGCAATAGCCATCTTAAAAGAAAAAGAGGAGGAATGCAGGAACAGTGTTGAACTATCATGTAACGAGGAATATTACAAGAAAATAAGGATCGCCCATCTCGGAGAAAAAGTTCATGGTATCATTGGCTGGACAGTCGTTTTAGCACCGAGCAACGTAACAGCTTTTCTTGCTATGAGTCGGTATTATCAAATAAGGTATCCTCTCCAACGACCAAGAATAAGACTGGTAATGTCTGGATTATTCCTGTCACTGGTCATTCTTCCTGTTATTGCTGGATGTGCAATGCTGGATGTTCGTGAGTCTGAAAACTCAATCCCCATAGTACTGCCCATAACAAGTCTTGCCTGGAATTTTGATCCAAGAGTTCTAGGTATTAGAATAAGCAGCCTCACCTTTTTCTTTCTGATGACTGGGGTGACATGGGTGTTACAAGTAGGTGCAATTTCAACATCATTCCTTACTATCTACGAGCTAGTGCAATGTCATCTGAAACCGAAATCAGGTGGCCCAAGAAGACGTAAAACGAGAAGTAGCCTGAAGATTCTGATCACTAATGTTGGAAGTATCATAATACTTGGGTTCTATGCAATTATCCCTGTTAAAGTCAGAGGGAGTGAAAGTGGAATCGGTTTAAAGGAAGGGATTTCATATTTTTTGCTTTGTCTAGCTATTCCATCAATAATATCCACGCTAAATCCGATCATTTACATAGCTTTGACACCAAAATGTTCCTTCAGATACTTAAGAGTCAAGCGTGATCCTGTCAAGTCAAAGGTTGAAGTTAAGGTTCAGAATAATTCAATAGTGCTATAAGAATACTAATTATGTAAAGATTCTATGGTTTTAATATACATTTTGGTACAAATGCAATTTTAACATTACAGTGATTTCATAAAATAACTCTGTTTGGATCACAATTTACTATTTAGAATACAAACTTTAGTTACAATAGAGTAATAACTCTTTTGTCCTATTAATTTGATCATGTTATTGTTATCAATCACAGAATGTAAAATCGATATTTGAACTTGAATCTTTAAAACAATATTAATATAATCTGTTGTAAAATACCAAAGTGGGAATTTTAAGTACCTCCACATTTCGGACTTTGGTCAAGTGAGGTAAAGCTCTCTTCTGTAGGATGAAATATTGAGAATGAGTAGGCGTTGCTCTTATTAATTTGTGGACGACCTGGGAATGCATTTTTAGTTTTAACTATCAATATTTGAGTCTAATTGTGATTAAAAAAACAGAACTTGACATTCTAATGTTTATTACAAGTGGAAGATTTGAAGATTTAAATCCGTGATTTGATTTGAACCTTTCATAATAATAGAAATAAGACAAATGTACCAGCAAAATATTGAACTTTAACAGATGTAAGACGGAGAATGGATAACTCAGGAGTGACATCTCTTCTAGGAAGTGATGAATGATATCCAAATAACAAACAGGACAAAACGTTATCTGTAGAATCATCTATGAGTTGTATTCTGCATAGATGGTCACAACCTGAAATGCCATAATATATAAGAAACACATTTCTGTATGATTTTAAAAATTTATCACAATTACCACTGTAAGCTATCAATGATTACAAGCGCTTCTTTTTTCGTGAATGGTAAAATTTGTACACAAATCTAAAACTTTATTTTGTACAGTCTACATAATAATGAACAAGGAAAAAAAACACAAGAGAGTTTCTTCTTAAACACAATAAAAGGACGTCAAACCTTTGGTTGGAAAGGGGGATGAAATTGACTGAGCTACTCCTATCAAGTGTGTTGTCCCCTGACAGTCTGGTTTCAAATCATTAAGTTTTGTTAACAGGCTGTCAGAACCCAACATCCTGATGATGATTGGGTTGAGATTATAGATATTGCAGAACAGTGTGAATTCATGTTGCATTGAAAATATAATATGTTATCTTAATACTGTAAAATCCCCATTAACTGTATAACACCCTTAATGCACCCTTCCATTTTGAAAATGTCTACTTTTAAAAGCAGAAGCCTGGTTAACATAAGTAAACAGATTTTAGGACATAACAAGCGAAAATTTAGCACAGAACAATCTATGTATACTGTATGGTACTGTTACACACAAGGTGTCTTCTATTATGTGGTGAGTATTGAGATCTGCAACGAAAACTGATTTATTCAAAATTATCAGCGAAGAAGAAATAAGCTACAATCTGCGAACATGTGGCACAGAATCCATAATAGAATATGATAATGATGGACGATTGACAGTTCATTAGTACCGATTCATTCAACATAATAGTTCGAAAACTGATGCTAAATTACACATAACATAACATAACGTTATAAATAATGCCTCTCTGGGAATCTTAAAAAAAGAAATTCCCAGAAAATGAACAATTTACGTTTGAAACCATATAATTACAACAAAAAAAAGTAACTAAATACCTTTGATATTAACCTTCTTCCTCTTAGCTACCATTGGATTCTCTTTCATATAACTTACATAACTATTCCTATTAGACACAGAGACATCTGTCCTATCAAAGATGTCATATGACAGTTCCCAGTAGTGGCCAAGCTTATTTGCCTGATATCCATGAAGCCGAAAGGCATCTAATCCTCTTTTGAATCCAGTAACCGACTCACTAGCTTTCACAAGTGGTGGTAGACTGTTCCAGTAGCGCAAGACCCTTTGGGCAGAGAAGTCAGTCTCATTTGTGGTAAATCTGTGTGGCTTTGACCTAGCAGAGACAGTCCTACCAGCAAGACCAAATAAACCGGACCCATAATCCACAAAGCCTTCCTGAATCTTGAACATCTCGATGAGATCCCCACGGAACCTACGTTCAAGCAAGGTTGTGAGCTTCAAGTTATCCAGTCTTTCTCTGTAGGTCATGAGGCCCAGTCCATTGATCATACGGGTGAATGATCTTTGAACACCTTCCAATTCAAGGATCAGTGACCAGTTACCATGCCCTGCCATTGGAGCCCATGCCTGCGAACAATACTCTATATGAGGCTTTACCACTGACTTATACAAGCCCAGCATAACACTTGTTTCCCTCGATAAAATATTTCTTGTAAGCCAGGCAATGGTTCCATTAGCTTTAGCAATGCACTTTCTCAAGTGATCTTCAAATTTAAAAGCACTGTTAAAGACCACTCCAAGGTCTTTCTCGCTGTCAACAGACCTCAAAGGCACACCACTGAACAAGTACTGATTCTTAGGATTACCAGAGCCAATTTGCATGACCATACATTTATCTACGTTAAATTTTAAACACCAATTGGGTTCCCAAAGTTCTAAAAGTAGCAAATCAGCTGATAAATTATAAATAGGGTTAACAATCATTTTAACGTCGTCAGCAAATAGTTTAATTATACTTTTAATCCCTTCTGGAAGATCATTAACAAATAACAAAATGGAAAATGGAAGATTTTTATCAATTAGGCTGCGCTGAATCATTCGCATTAAGTCATAATCACATAAGTAATATCACACAATATTTAATTAGTCGTTGTACTGATATTATTATTATCGTTATTTATTATTTATTTATTTTAATATTTTCAACGCTACTTTATAAAATTTTTCAAACAGTATACACATAATGTCACAATGACCCTGTATAAAAAGAAAAAACTAAACCCTTCAACAACTCAAAGTTTTGAAAATCACCCTTGGCCTTGCGGCTCCAAGTTCAAATCTAAACTTCTATATTGACAAAGTTCTTTCTTGCCCCTCTGTCTCCCCGGAGAGAAATCACCGTTGTTCTTAAGATTTCAAACCGAAGGCGCTTCCTAATATATCTAACGCTACTTTAAAACAACTAATGTGAGCCTGAACTCTGAAAATGGCGTTGACGCCGAAAATTTGCCTATATTCCTAACTTCCTGTTTCATTTGTCCTGGTCTCTTTCAACCGGATATTATCCAACTATCAGTATTTCATCGTGAGACTAATAAACAGTGAACTGCTCATAGGGTTAAAACCCTATGTCATGGGGGGTGATTCTGAATCAGCGTCCGAAAATACATCGATTGAAGTTGGTTTCAACTGTTAATCTATGTAATAAGCGCCATGAGTTGGCACAGAATTTTTTGTTTCTGATTTTGATAAATTTTGTACCAAAAGTTGCCTCTACACCAATACAAGGGCAAGTCTCTCCCGAACACTGTGAATAATAAAGATTCACCGTGTAGCACATAGAGGCCAATAGATTTAAGATAATTTTTAAACTTAAGTAGATATATTTTTGATGATGTGTGATGATGTTTGTGTCATTATATTTTGATTTGATTTGATTTGATTTTAGCACGATAACGTCGAGCTGTATGTGGGCCTTTTGTGCATTGCAAGAGTGCACAAAGAACGAAAATAGGTAATTTATTGCTTAAAATGCCTATAACTCCTAAAATATTGAATTTTTTGAAATAATTCTTACAGGATCGTAATTTTTCAAAAATTTTTAAAAATTTCACACAGAATTTCACAAAATTTCAAATTAAAAAAAATTGAAAATAATTTTCCTTTAAATCTTAAAATATTAGTACTAAAAGTTTTGTGTTCAGATTATTGCTTTAACCAGAGCCCTCTCGCAAACAAGCGCGTCACGCAGTACGCGTATACACATGGCTATGTGAATTCAGATTAAAAAAGTTTGAAAATATTTTAAAATATTAGTACTAAAAGTCTCGTCTCGATGAGCTTGATTGCGATTGTTACAATAATTATGCGATAAAACTGAAAATGTGCAAGTTATAGGCTAAAAACTAAAAATTTGCGCGAAAAAAGCACGCGCGGCGAAAAAGATCCGTGTAGCATTTTTAGCAAAAATTGCTACACAGTGGATTTATTTTATTGCATTTCTAAACAACTTTTGGTACCAAATTTATCAAAATCGGAGAAAAAAGTTCTGTGCTCGCGCTTGGAGTTTATTACATTGACTATGTCTGAGGCGCGCCTTTATAGAACAATCTCGAAGATCGACTGTAAAGTGATTTAGCACGCTCGAGCTCATTCAATTGAACCAAATTTTTGCGGAGGAAATGGCGCGCCAAATAATTTCAAATTTGTGCTACTCTAATGTATGAAAGTGCCGCGCGCATTTGCAATCATTAAATCTGATTCATTTCATAAATCGAGCGTTTATCATAGTTCAAATATGAGCAAAACATGATTTGACTCTTTAATACATTGTTTTCAGTTGTAGTTTTTGATGCAATTTTTGTTTTGCTATTATATTAGAATTTTTAGTTTTGTTTTCAAGTACTTCAATAGCAAAAAAATTTGAAATTTAACATTCACAACATATATGTATATGTTGTGTTGTTATATAAATATGTATATATATATAATTCTAAAACTCTGGTCACAAGAGCAACTGCCTAAACGTGCAGAAGTGAAAACAAATAAAAAATTGAAAATACTAGCAGTCCTTATACTCGTAGATTCATTCAGTGTCATAAAACTCTTAACCAATAACCATACATGTGACCAGTAAATTAATTGAATTGGTCTACAGACTACTCTATAAAATTATCAATATAAACTTTATTAACAATGATAAATCAATTAAAAACAGACACCAACCTTTTGGTGTGTAAGAATGATTAAACAAGCTCTATTTGACACAAAATATCTTTCATAATATTAAAGTATATCGACTTACTCAACTTCGACTTAGGGCGGCTTCAACGTCCGAACAGAGATAGTTTTTTTTTTCAGATCTGTCTATCCAGCATGAGTTTGTTAATCTCCTTGCTGTCGTCAAGCCCCGTGTCCTTTCGAAGGATGTCAATATATGTGAGGTGTGGTCTTCCCCTTCGACGATTTCCCAGAAGGGGTTCCCAGAAGAGAAGTTGATGACTCAGAAGCTCTTCATGTCTGGTTAGATGACCTGCGAGTCTCATCCTCCGTTCAGCTATCTTATCAGATGCTCTGATGAGGTGTCCATATACCTTGGCGTTAGTCTGCCGCTCTTTCCAGTCTATGTTAAGTGCCATCCTGAGCATTCTCGTATAACATCCATCAATACGTTTTGCGAAGGTCTGGCTGACAGTCCATGTTTCAGAGCCATACAGTAGGATGGACTCAACTGTAGCCAGGAACAGTCGTATCTTGAGATCTCTACGCATATCCGACTTCCATACAAGCTTCATCTGGTGACACGCTTCCCATGCCTTAGCTTTCCTCACTCCAAAGTCCTTCTCCGAACTCTTCATTCAACTACCCAAATATGCAAAGTCATCGACTTTCTCAATGGTCTTCCCGCTCCCAGCAACCAGAGGCGGGTTATCATCATCTCTTATGTTGATTCCCATGTACTTAGTTTTCCCCTCGTTGAGGTGGAGTCCAACTGAGTTGGCGGCCAGTTCCAGACTCCTGAGGAAAAATTGTGCCTCCGCAACACTATCTGTTATAAGAGCAAGGTCGTCAGCAAAGTCCGCATCAGTGACCTTGACAGCCGGATAGCGTCAGCTTCTTCTAGGGTGTAGAGTAAACCCAAAGTCCCTACCCTCTAGGGACACCCCCATAATGTAGTCAATTACGATTATGAATAGATAGGGCGCCAAGGTGTCTCCCTGCATCACTCCTGCTAGAATAAAGAATGCTTCATTCAGACCATCCTCGGTAATCACACGAGCAAAAGTATCTGCATACATTCTTTGTATCAAGCCTACAATCTCCTTGGGAATGCTATATGCCAGGAGGATCTTCATGAGGAATCCACAGTGCACGCTGTCGAATGCCTTCTTGAAATCAATGAAGAGCATTACCGCGGTCAGATCTTTATCCCGGGCTCCCTCGAATACCCTTCTTAGGCCAAGAATATGACTAGTTGTTGACCTACTCTCTCTAAATCCGTTCTGATTGATCCTTAAGATGTCTTCCATGGCAGGTTTGATCCTGTTTAGTATCATCTTATTGAGAGTCTTACTCACTATAGAATATAGATGTCAGTGCAATACCTCTATAGTATAATATTAATACTGTTTAGTTGAGTTCAGGTAACAGAATTTAACTGTAAAAGTAAAGAGACACTTCTGCTTTCTTCCTACAAGAAGCAAAGTGTAAAGACGTAAGGATAGAACCAGCACTCCTGACAGTCCAACCAAGCTCATTCTCAAGGAAGACCAACACTCAGGATGAAGCCCGTCTTGAACTGCAAGACATTTCCTTCAACCTCATCCCCCAGAAGACGAGCTTTGAGGTCTCCTAGATTTTTAAATGTAAATATTATAGATATTATACTGCTTGGAACATTCTTTTTTTAGAACTTTTTAATTGGTTTTGGATCAAGATCAGAGCAAGATTCTGCTAAATTTGAGTTTAGTTAGCCATATGTACAATATATATGATGACATGTAATCTTTACAGCAGTGTTACTTGTATGATAAGAAAACGAAGTGTTGCCTTTGTGGGAACAGCATTTTAGATTGTATTTTTCTGTCTTTACCCTACCTGTGTATAGTATATATACCTGTGTATATACATATATATAATATTAAATCCTGTGACAACTCATCAGAGAGCCTTTAATTAGTTTACCTTGTGTTACCTTAAATAATTGCACATTGACAACCCCATTAACACTTCCCCTTTTCATTGGTGTATCCAGTATCATTCTGGTTCTCCACGATTGACATTGATTACTTTAACCAGTTGCTTCACTTACCCACTTACTTTAGTGTGATATGGTAGCTTATCATTTTTATTCGGCCGAATTAAATATTATATATTCAAGTTTATTTTTCTAGTTTATTCAGTTGTCATCCGGCCACACAGTATGCAACTTATATTGCAGTACTGTCTTTCCATTAGCAGTACTATATCAAAATAATGTCATCGTAATTTTGCATGGCTGAAATGTAACGCTTGATTTATGTATAGAATAATCAATTGGATTTTCAAATAAAAAACAGCCTCGACACCTTTTTCGTTGTCCCTTCCTTAGCTCTTAACACTTTGCATAGTTTCCAATTACAAATAAGTCACGTCTACATGAATTCTATTGATATACATTCTTTTTTATCACACTTCATATCGATCAAAACGCTAGAAGCAGCTTTGTAACATAATCTGGTTCCAAATACCGGATTACGACCAACAGGATCTGCAGCATACAGGTGCTGATTTCCTGGAATTCCACTTAGCAAAAATAAAGTCTCAATATCATTGTAAATAGAAAGTCACACAAAATAAGGCTCATGCTTAATCATTACAGAATGAACAAAGAGTAATGATTAGGCTTGGTAAAAGAAATAATTTTCTAAAGAAGGCATGGAACCATTCTCGCTTTCTCTCTTCAAAACCAAACGGATTTCTTGAGAAACACGAAAGGTATGACCATTAACTTATATTGCTCATCTCATACTGCACTAGCGATTCCAAATTAATGCCAGTCTTTCTTATTGGACAATGAACATACGAATTATTCGCACATTCCTCAGTGTTGAAACCAGACATGCAAAAGACAACGCTAATGTTGTAATAATTGGAGGAGGATGTGTTGGTACTGGTTTGGCGTATCATCTCGCAAAGTTTGGGGTGAAAAATGTTGTGCTTCTCGAGAAAACTGAACTCACTGCTGGATCAACATGGCATGCAGTAAGTATTGTCATGTGCATGAGATTTTACTGAAACATTCGAGATTTTCGTTTCTTTCTTTAATTACTATTTCGAAGCAATTTCTGAAAAAAATCTCGCAGGCTGGTCTCACTACATACTATCATCCTGGTATCAACATGCGGAACCTTCATTACGAATCGATAAAACTTTTCGAAACAATCGAAGCAGAAACTGATCAGGTAATTCATAGATGAAAGAATTTCAAATAAGTTTCACCATCTAAATTTTTCAGTTTTTAAAATTGTGAAGCTTTGCTCTTAACTCATTAGAGCTGAATTCATCCCTTAAGCTAACGAAAATATAAATTTCAGGAAATTGGATTTCACGCCACTGGCTCACTCCGTTTGGCCCATACAATGGAACATATGAACGAGTTCAAGTAATAATATTTATTATGTAGCAGTTTTAGATACTTCTATTCCAATGAAAGGAATCAAATTTATAACTTGATATTAATTATTAAGTTCCGAACATTTGACTGAAACTGTAATAATATACATAGTTTATGCAGTAATCGGTGACACAAATACAAATTGCATCTGATTGAATTCGTCTTGATTCATTTAGCACTGATAATGGTCATGATTACCTCTGAACCAACTTCTTGTTCAGATACATGATGACCCGACATCAGTGGCATCGAGCCAACCAGGAGCTAGTTGACCCCGACAGCATAGCGGAGATGCATCCTCTTCTGAACATGGATGGAATTCACGGGGGATTATACTGCCCTGGTGATGGTCATACCGACCCTTACAGTCTTACTATGGTGGGTTCTGTAGCGATAACTTATAGAGTAACACCATCAAATCCAAATCTTTATTACGTTTAAAACATTTGTTCTAACAAAAATGCGTTGTAACGAACATTCATGTAGGCGTTTGCTAAAGGGGCCCGAATGTATGGAGCAACATTAGTACAAGATTGTCCAGTCACTGGCACTAAACAGAGGGCTGACGGAACATGGGAGGTAAGACTTCTTGACCTTTGTTAACCACTCCAATTACTCCAAAATCAATCTATGGACTATCTCGTATTTTAGTGTATTTGTTTATTGTGTCTCTGCTATATGTGCTATTAATCGTTAATGATGACAACTTTGATAGGTGGATACACCTTCTGGAAAAATAAACACAAAGCAAGTGGTCAACGCAGCCGGATTCCACGCTCGAGAAATCGGGCAGATGGCGGGACTGGATCTACCTCTTGTTCCGGTACACCATCAGTACGTATTGGTTTTCAAATGAGTTAAAATTTATGACAGTGAAGACAAAATGTTCAATTATTAATGAGTGTGATTCAAAATTGTAGTATCATGTTGGCTTCTCATCTTCCAAATATTAGCGCACAATCTTACTAATTAATACTAATTAACACTAATCAACACTAATTACAGGTACTTGGTAACTGCAAGTGTTCCCTTTTTAGAGGACTGGCAGAAGAACCACAACGGTCGTCAGATTCCAGGCATTCGGGATCTGAGAGGTTCTTACTACGCGAGACAGGAGCGAACAGGTTACTATTTATAAGTACAATATTGTAATGTGTGTTATTGTTATTGTGAAATTGTTGGATAAATTAAAATCTCAATTAGCCTAAAGCTAAAAGAATAAGTTTTGAATTCTTGAATGTAGATCATGTCAACCAGAAATATTAGAGCTATGGGTCACTAAGAAAAGCTGCATACAATGTAGCACTGTACGTGTCTTTAGCTTGTGCACTAACCTGTTTGTCTTAAATGAAATTACTCTCTAGTAAAAAATGTTGGTAACATAACACGTACTGAAATAAACATTCTTGTATTTGTGTTTCTACTGTATTACAAAAGTGTGACAAAGTTTACAAAACCAGGACTCCTGTTTGGACCGTACGAGGAACCAGAGAAGATGAAGATTCAGGAGGACTGGTATGATAACGGCGTTCCTAAAGGCTTCGGTAAAGAACTCTGGGAAAGTGATTTAGATCGTCTTGATAAGTGCATAGAGCATGCTATGGACCTGCTGCCAATAATGCAGGAAACAGACATTACGGTTAGCTGTTAACTTTTTTTTGATAGTGAAATAAACTGGTTAAGTCCGCGTCCATGAAATTAAATCTTCCGGTTATATTATGATTTCTCTTGGAGAATTTCTCTTTAGACTCTTAACTTGCGAACAAATTGAAGCAGCAAACTTTAGGCTAGAAACTTTATTGAATTGAAATAATCATTCCACGTAACAACGTCTTCTTCAGTTCTGTAATAAAATTGTTAAACATGTGTAAAAATTAACGACGGAAAGAAATTTAAAATAATATTAAGACAAAAACAGAGAAATAAAATTTACGAAATATGACCCAAAAATGTAATTGCAAAAAATGTCAAAACAACAAAAAATACGACAAGAAGAAATGTAAGCTAATACAACTAAATACTGTACTACTCATGATACTAAACTAATTAGTAAACGTAAAACTGGTTGTTCAGAATTCACAGTTCATGTGTAAAAACTAATGATAAAATCAGCACTTAAGCAACGATAACTCGGTTGTCATGGTTACTAATCAAAAATTCCTATCAATACATTATTTACTAGTTAAACATCGACTAAATATTTGTACAAATAACTCAACTCAGAACGATCATTCATTTCAGGACTTAATCTCAATATATACATCGCTTCTACAATCTTTCTACGAACAGTTTTACTCTGTAAATCAAGTAACTTAAAAGATAAAACTGGGGTTCGGTTAGGATGTAGAGATGCGTAGTGCTGTCCAACCCCATTCTCTGGATGTGCTCTAGGATTCCTAGCAGCCTGTCTGTGCTCCATCAGACGAGCATGGAGGCTTCTCTCAGTTTCCCCACAGTATCTCTTACCACATAACTCGCAAGTAACTAAGTAAATAGCTCCTTTTGTTGAGCATGTTGTTCCTGTGAGTCTAGGGCAGATCTCACAATTGTTGGGGTTACCAAGGTCACAAGTCTTCTTATCCAGTGGACGAGAGCGGCAGAAGATGTCCTGTAACTTCTTACCAGGTGTAAAAATAACTCTGATGGGGAGTTTGTTAGATTTGATGTAGTTGCGAATCTTATTACAAACTGTTCCAGAGATGAATGGTAAGGTGAGTGGGACAGAGTCAGGTGTGGTTTGACGTCTTCTCCTAGTCCTCCTGTTCCTTGCGTTATGACTCAGAGGTTGGTGTCCATTTTTCTTTAAGAGATCATCGATGATCTTAACTGAATGATCGAGTTCCTGGGGTCCTGAGGAAGCAATGGTGGCATTACGGTAGAAGTTCTTCTTACACTCCTCCTTCACTGAGTCCGGGTGGTGTGACTTCTGGTGTAATGTTATCCCCTTGTTCTGGGTTTTCCTGTAGAATCTGTGGTGCACTTTTCCTTCCTCATCGATCCGGATTTCCGTACTCAGGAACGGGACAAAATCCGCAGGGGTAGACGGGAACTCGATCTCCCACTTGATTCTGTTATCGGGATCCTGGTCGGCTATGCGTTGTAACATATCCAGTGCTTCTTCTCTGGATTTGGCTAAGGAACCAGCATCATCTACATACCGTTTGTATAAGAACCGAACAGGGTTACTGATGTAATAACTGTCTAAATATATACTATTACGCTCGAATTTCCACATTCTAATAATCGCTACAGGAGGGGATGGTCTACAACCCATGAATAAACCTAAAAGTTGTAGTAACCATATGGAATTAGACTCACGTATTGAGGATTTATTTATTAGCTCGTACTCTACATTACCTACTATGTACACCCTGGTGAAGACACACAAGTTCCCACCTGATACTGACTACTCTCGTATCAACTTGGAGGATATGAAAGTTAGACCAATCGTATCGTGTTGTGGCTCACCTACAGAGAAGTTGGCTTGGTTAGTTACCGACATTATCAGTCCTTTGTTGAGAGAAGTACCTACTCATATGTACGATATCTACAGCCACCTGGACATCCTCTGTAGGCTACCAGAGAGTGAACTTAAAGGTTACAGTTCTTTACAGCGGATGTATCAGCTTTGTATACGAATTTGAATATCAATGAGTGTATTGAGACAGTTATTGAATTTGCAGAAGAACATTGGAGTAAGTTAAGTACGTATTGTTTAAGTTTATTAGAAATTAGAGGTATCTTTACAGTAGTTTTGACGAATTCTTATTTTACATTTAATGGGAGACTTTATAAACAACTTTTAGGTTTATTCATGGGTTGTAGACCATCCCCTCCTGTAGCGATTATTAGAATGTGGAAATTCGAGCGTAATAGTATATATTTAGACAGTTATTACATCAGTAACCCTGTTCGGTTCTTATACAAACGGTATGTAGATGATGCTGGTTCCTTAGCCAAATCCAGAGAAGAAGCACTGGATATGTTACAACGCATAGCCGACCAGGATCCCGATAACAGAATCAAGTGGGAGATCGAGTTCCCGTCTACCCCTGCGGATTTTGTCCCGTTCCTGAGTACGGAAATCCGGATCGATGAGGAAGGAAAAGTGCACCACAGATTCTACAGGAAAACCCAGAACAAGGGGATAACATTACACCAGAAGTCACACCACCCGGACTCAGTGAAGGAGGAGTGTAAGAAGAACTTCTACCGTAATGCCACCATTGCTTCCTCAGGACCCCAGGAACTCGATCATTCAGTTAAGATCATCGATGATCTCTTAAAGAAAAATGGACACCAACCTCTGAGTCATAACGCAAGGAACAGGAGGACTAGGAGAAGACGTCAAACCACACCTGACTCTGTCCCACTCACCTTACCATTCATCTCTGGAACAGTTTGTAATAAGATTCGCAACTACATCAAATCTAACAAACTCCCCATCAGAGTTATTTTTACACCTGGTAAGAAGTTACAGGACATCTTCTGCCGCTCTCGTCCACTGGATAAGAAGACTTGTGACCTTGGTAACCCCAACAATTGTGAGATCTGCCCTAGACTCACAGGAACAACATGCTCAACAAAAGGAGCTATTTACTTAGTTACTTGCGAGTTATGTGGTAAGAGATACTGTGGGGAAACTGAGAGAAGCCTCCATGCTCGTCTGATGGAGCACAGACAGGCTGCTAGGAATCCTAGAGCACATCCAGAGAATGGGGTTGGACAGCACTACGCATCTCTACATCCTAACCGAACCCCAGTTTTATCTTTTAAGTTACTTGATTTACAGAGTAAAACTGTTCGTAGAAAGATTGTAGAAGCGATGTATATATTGAGATTAAGTCCTGAAATGAATGATCGTTCTGAGTTGAGTTATTTGTACAAATATTTAGTCGATGTTTAACTAGTAAATAATGTATTGATAGGAATTTTTGGATAGTAACCATGACAACCGAGTTATCGTTGCTTAAGTGCTGATTTTATCATTAGTTTTTACACATGAACTGTGAATTCTGAACAACCAGTTTTACGTTTACTAATTAGTTTAGTATCATGAGTAGTACAGTATTTAGTTGTATTAGCTTACATTTCTTCTTGTCGTATTTTTTGTTGTTTTGACATTTTTTGCAATTACATTTTTGGGTCATATTTCGTAAATTTTATTTCTCTGTTTTTGTCTTAATATTATTTTAAATTTCTTTCCGTCGTTAATTTTTACACATGTTTAACAATTTTATTACAGAACTGAAGAAGACGTTGTTACGTGGAATGATTATTTCAATTCAATAAAGTTTCTAGCCTAAAGTTTGCTGCTTCAATTTGTTCGCAAGTTAAGAGTCTAAAGAGAAATTCTCCAAGAGAAATCAAGTTCAAATGCGACTCATAAATATAGCCCCCTTGAACTATTTATCCAACCCGGTTATATTATACCTTGAATAATTTTAAAATTCCCAGAATATTTTCCCGGAATATTTAAATATTCAATAATGTTTAAAATATCCAATTACGCATTGAACTCTTTACTTGAACGATTCTTTACTTGAACAATTCTTCCTAGAGATTCCAAGTTGTAGGTTTTTCCACCATTTCGAGGCGGAAAAAATGCAAAAAAACCACCTACACCAATACAAGAACCATCACCTTTATTACTATTTTTCACCTGCCTTCCTTATAATTCGGTGAAATTTTGAACTTTTAGAAATAACAAAACATTCCCGCAGAGCGTGATAGCAGGACCGATTACATATTCTCCCGACATATTACCGATGATGGGACCAACTCACCACTTAACAAATTACTGGCTAGCCGTCGGGTTCGGCTACGGTATTATACATTCTGGAGGTGCTGGAAAATACCTTGCTAGGTCAGTTTTCCCACTAAATTCCGTGCTATATTACCTGTTTTTGTACAGTTTGGATAGCTTAGCATGTAATTCAATCTCGTGGGTCTCATAATGTAAAATAAAACTGGTAAACATGATTTCCATAGCTCACACCTTGCAATTTCTCTATCAGATGGATGATGAATGGAGAACCTGACTACGACCTGATAGAATGTGATCCAGATAGATATTCGGACTGGACTGACCGGAAGTTCCTAATGGAGAAGGCTCGAGAGTCCTACGGAATGAACACGTGTCCTGCGTTCCCTAAAGAGGAGAGATGGGCAGGAAGACCTACAGAGAGGGTGAGCGGAGTTTACGAGGAAACTAAAGAAAGGGGAGCTGGTTGGTGCAGAGTTCCTCACTTCTTTCTTTAGTCTTTTGTTCACCCTAACTTTTAAATCAAGCGACATAATGCTCTTACTTAAATGTTTTTATCTGCAGCGTTTGGGTTCCATGCTGGATGGGAACAGCCGCACTTCTTTGCAACTAAAGGGGAACTCACGACCACACCAGTCTGTTACACCAGGAAACATTATCATGATGCAGTCGGCAGAGAAGTGGATCTCATTCTCAACGGGGTCGGTGTAGCTGATCTTACTCCATTCGGAAAGTTCGTTTTAGAAGGACCAGGTGCAACTAAGTTCCTCTCCTCGATGGTTGCTAATACTCTACCCAAGGTCGGTTTAAAACAAATGCTTTTATTCAAAACTGTACCAAAGCTTCACAACTCGAAGCTCATTATTTTTTAGCCACCGTTAATATTGAATTCAACGTTTATTCTCTATCAAACATCTGATGATACGAATATTTACAGCAACAACGAGTGAACATATCGCACATGCTTACTCCCAATGGTAAAGTCTACTCTGAACTAACAATATCTAGACTCGGAAAAGACAGATATTACATAGTGACAGGTTCTGGCAGTGAAGGACATGATTTCAGGTATTTATTGGAGCCTGGGTGTGATCTTGTTTTGTATTGGTCGATATATTTTAGTCGTATTTTCAAGACCATTTTATAGCAAAAACGCTAAATTCTTTTTTTGTTTTTCACTCACTGTAATGTCTACTCTCACTAGTGTATTAACTATGTACTTAAATCAATAAATGTTGATCCTATGCCAAATGACTTATGTAAACAGAATAAGTAAACAAGAATTGTTACAGGTGGATAAAGCAGCACATGCCTGAAAATGCAGAGTTTACACTGCAGAACGTGACCGATCAAATGGGAGTGTTAGCAGTAACCGGGAAATATTCCCGTGACGTCATGACCAAGCTTACTGACAGTGCTATGTCTCATGAAGAATTCCCGTTTTTGGAATGTCGTGAAATGAACCTGGCCGGATTTGGTGTTCAGGCAACAAGGATATCGTACACTGGTAAATTATAGGTAGAAGTTCAGGATGAAACTTAGAACTGAAGGAAATGATGCCTTGTAGAATGTACCTTTTACGAAGACTTTAGATTCTAATATTTTTGTAAACTCCAGGCGAGTTGGGATGGGAAATTCATCATGATCGAAACGACACAGGCGCCCTTTACAAAAGAATTCTAGAAGCAGGAGCTGAATTTGAGATTGGAGATTATGGTGCTTACGCAACGAACTCTTTAAGACTTGAAAAAGGATTTAGGGGATGGGGATCCGAGGTAACTTTTGAAAATTAAATCTTTCTCGGTTTTAATCGTTACGAACACATTTAAATCGGAATTGTTATCAAATACAGGATTGTAAATTCGAGTTCCAAAATCCTCGACTGTGCAAGGTTTGTCTGGATTGCGCAAACGCCGATTTGTATACTTTCATAAAGAGGCGGACACAGTCTACAAACATTATTATTACTTTGAGCGCGCGCTTCTTTGCGTGGCACTAGTCCAACTGGTTTGTCTACCTCAATCGAGTTTAACGTTAAGCCAGTTTCTGGTTTGGCAAACAGGAATTAGTTGAAGGAAACTAGTTTTTCTTAAATAGATCTTCTCAAGATATGCTAGTATAGGAAGTAGTATAGTGAAGGAAGCTAAATCGCATCAACTGCAAGCGGACACTGGTCCATGGTTGGCACCGGTTTTGGCTGTACTATGAACATAATAGCCAGGTAATTCAGGCCACAAACAGGATAAAATCTGGTTATGCTGTCTTGGAGACTGTCCCAATTTTGATAAATGCTTGGAAATCTTGCCATGATTAAAGCAGGTACCCTATAAGCTATTATTCAAAACGACAATGAGAGTTGTCCACTTCAGAAACATTTGGAAAATAACCAGCATTCAAAATACATGTTTCAATTTCAGATGAATCTGGATAAGAACCCATTCGAAGCTGGTTTAGGGCCCTTCGTAAAAACAAACAAAAAGACGAGTTTTATTGGTCAAGAGGCTTGTAAGGAATTGCTTGGTAAAGAGTTGAAGACTAAATTGGTGGCTCTGACTGTTGACACTCATGGTTATTTGGATCCGGAGGGTAACGAGACTATTTGGTTTGACAACAAGGTATATTCAAGAATTTAAACCTGTTTAATTTTTGTTTTTTTAAGAGAGGTTTGGCCTAGATGGCCCACATTTAAACTTGTTCTAACTTATTGCATTACAAACAGTAATTATCCTATTTTTCTTCTCAGTATGAATTTGTTATGTTAATAATATTTATTAAATGAATGAAAGCTAGCCGATATGCGATCCTGTTATTTAGTTAACAGTCGAATAAATGTGAAATAAAACAGGTCGTTGGTAACACTACATCCGGAGCCTGGAGTTATAACAAAAATACAAGTATTTGCATGGCATACCTCCCACCCGGCGACCTGGCTGAACTAGGTTCCAATGTGTACGTTGAACTTCTGGGCAAGAGGTAAGAAAGAAACCGGTTTAACTAGTCTTACTGTTTTGTGCAAGAGGGGCTGTAAATCTAGTATTTTCTAGTCTGCAGCAAAACCGGTTTGGGTCTGCACACTGCGTTTTGTTGTCAAGGAAAATCCATCTCTATAATATATCCAGTGTTTTAACTTGATCAGTCATCCAAAACCAGAACAGGGTAATTACTATCAAGTTTCATTTCAGATACAAAGCTACTGTAGTTAACGACCCCATGTACGAGACAGAGGCGGTCAGAACGAGAAATGCTCTCAAACAGGCACAGCTACAGGCTTGAGCTAGTTTCAGTTAGCGTCACTTGACTCAAGACATGAACAGAATGCTTGTGGCAGGACTCGAATATGTAAATACGCATGGATTAGATTATCACTTCCATCTCAAAAAGTGAAAATAAAGCAGAGAACTTGATATCAGGCCATTTTAATAACTCAGCATTGGCGACAAGATTGACTATCGTTTGTTGATATTAATTTTTAACCGAAGAGGGATATTCTAAGCTATAAATATTTTGACCATCGCCATAAGAACGAAATCTGGAGACAAATTAATTTATTATTAGTGAGAGTTGAAACTCTTAAGTTTGTTGAACAATAAAGATTATCACAGTTGTACTGTTCTTAAACAAGTCGAAAGAAAACATAACAAAGTATTTATCCTTTCGTACATTTTGAAACAAAACGCTTAAAAAATAAACTCAACGGGTTATAACAAAAATCTAATAAATAAAGAGCCCCGATCGAGAATAAAATAATAAATCATCTTAATTAATTTCTCCGCAATTTACTGCCATCTTTATTAGGTGACTACGTATAAAATAACCAATATATGTACTATCACCATAGTAATGTTTGAAAAGAGAAGAAAGCGATAACAATATTACATATAAATAAAATAAGCCATCAGCGATGATAGCCTCCAGAAGAATGAGACTGGCTGGACATGTAGCCAGGCATGACGACCTTCTGGCAAACCAACTTCTGTTCTGGGACCCTCAGCATGGATACAGGAGACCCATATTCAAAAACCCGCATTCTCGCATTCTAAGAATGTAGGAAATTTTTAAAAGTAGGAAATTTTTGACAAAAAGTAGGAAATTCGAGAGCCAACTCTGAGAATTTTCGATAATATTTCAGTAGGAATTTAAGTGAAAGAGCAGACTAAAAGTTGCTGGACCGTTATTTAAATGTCCTCAGTCAGGGATCCACTGATCCAGTCTATCAAATTTCGTTTCACAGACCAAAGTTTGTTGCTATTAGCTACAAAATCTGTGCATCAAGTAACCACTAACCAGATGCTAATTATTGGGGCATTTTCGCGTACACGACATAAATAGTTGTCATTATTACTTTATTAACATTTTACTATCTACTCATCTAGTCTATGAAACGGGCTTGAAAGCAGAAAGTGATGGTAGTAGATGAGAAAACATTTTTGCCAAAATTATAAACTCTTGATACTTCATGCTGTCTCCTATTTCGTGCTTTAGTTAAGCCAAGTGTTTAGGGATTCTAGAATCCAGACAATTTATCCCAATAAAAATTGAAATCAGAAAATAGTATGCTAAAATCGTTCTCCATTGTCAGATTCGTTCCAGGAGGCCAAATCTAGTTTAAATTTCCAAAATTTTCGGGGGCTTCGCCCCCAAAAGTAACCTAGGATTATCTATTAAAAAGCATTCCGGGCCAGGCACGTAGACAGGGGGGGGGGCTAGGGGGGGGGGGGGGGGGGGGCTAGGGGGGCGGCAGCCCCCCCCCCCGGAAAAAATCGAACCCCAGAAAAAAGATAAGCCCCCTAGTCCCCATGGTCGCCTGGTAACTGGGCTGTGTTTATGACTGCAGTCAGTCAAAGATTTGAACTGTGGATTAGTAAATATCTGTCATTAAATCCAAGCAAACATTCTAGAAGACTTCTATAAATAGTCAATAGTGTCCCCTAGACCGTAGGAAATGTAAAAATCTTAAGACGATGAGGCCTGAGTAAGTCGTAAATTCTGATTGGAGAATGCAGATTGCTGTTGTGAAGTTACCAAATTTACGTGAGTACTTGATTCTTTTCAATCCCAGTTTATTGCTGTCCTACAAATTTCTTTAATGCCAAATGTCGTCTAAAACACCCTGTTTCGCAAAAATTTTCCGGGGGGCTGCGCCCCCCTAGCCCCCGCCAAAGGGGCTCCGCCCCCGCCAAAGGGGCTGCGCCCCCAGACCCCTGCCACAGCTTGATCGCTTCGCTCGCTGCGCAGATGGATTGGACACGTCGGCTCGCCAACAGCCCCCCTCAAAGAAAAATCCTGGCTACGTCCCTGTTCCGGGCCCTAAAAAAGTAAAATTGAGAATCTGGAATCCACCATGAAAAATCTTTGAACCGCGCGAATACAAAGACTTTTTATGCGAGCGAAGCGAGTGGGCCACAGAAAACGAAAAAATTGAGAATGTAGGAAATTAAAATGTTTTTGGATATGGGACAGGAAGGAGACCGGGGAGGCCCCACCTTACGTTTCTGGATATGCTAAAGAAGGACACCAGCCTTTCCTGTGTTGAAGAGATAAGATCTGTTATGCTTGACCGCCACGTGTGGCGAGGAATTGTAGTTGCTCGGACCAAGAAGCCGACTTAAGTCAGTTAAGTCAAATAAAATAATGTTCAATGTTCCCACATCGGAATGCCGCATCCCATATCGAATGATCGTGAAGCCTAGATCCCACGCTCCATGTAATATCTCTTTTCAGTTTCACTGTTCCTGAAGTGGGAAAATGTGATAGCTTGTTTTTCAAATATAGCAAATATAACAATATTCCTGACCGCTTTAAAGTGATGATATTCATTGTACACGTTCTCTGGACAACGAGTAATACTAATAACTTTCGCTTCTACAAAATTGCTGTTGGGCGGCTTGGGCCTCTGGTGGATAGGCGGCAAGCCAATGGGATCACAAATTGTGTTTTTGGTCATTGTGACACGAAAGTCTAAACGTAGATGAAATGCATTTTCTCAAAACCGAATTCAGCCGGATATTCGATCGGCTCCTACATTTTCTCCATTCTCACAGTCACTATCAGCGCTCCCACAGTCGCACTAAATCGCTCGCCCAAATTTTTAAAAAATCTTGTGAAAAGGCCCTGAGGGTATGAAAGTAATCTTAAAACTTTAAAAGATGTATTTTAGGACGCTGATTCCGAATCACCCCCGGCCCCATGACGTAGAAGGGTAAAAATGCTTCCCTGGAGAGTTATGGGCAAAAAACTATTTTGGTCACGTGACAGTCCTGTAAAACACGAATTCGATTGTTTAGGATTAGGGTTGTGGTCAGGGTTAAATTATGGATAGCTTCGGGGTTATGGTTAGGATTAATATGTAAAACCGTATTGTTCGGCTGCAAAACCATAAAAACCAAAGTAACGTGATAATTTTTGGCGAGCGATTTAGTAAGATCCCACTATCAGAGTGAAATTTGAATTAAAAACTGTCGAAATTGTGTTGTTTTAGAGGGTGAAAATGAAACATTTGATCACGTAAAGAATAGCCATTGCGACTGATAGGTGCGGTAACAATAGGTTTACTGGGCCGCGCTCAGCCTGTCATTCTAATCACTATGTTTATGAACATGATAGCCTGAGGTCCCCATGTAACAATATAATAGGAAAAACTAAAATTCGGAGAAAGAACGTGCTAAATAAAAAGTAAATCACTCGACAGTCGATCTTCGAAATTGTTCTAAAAGGGCCCCCGACAGTTGAAACCAAATTGAATCGATGTATTTTTTGTAGGTTTACAACCTATGGAACATATATTTTAAGAGTATCACCCGTTAATGTATTTTCGGACGCTGATTCCGAATAACCCCCATGACATAGGGTTAAAATGCTCCCCTAGCGAGATATTGGCGCAAAACTGTCTCGATCACGTGATATGACCGTATAAGGAAGTTAGCCTAATTTCTCGTTAGAGTTAGGGTTCCAGCACATGCTTTTGGTAAGGATTGGGTTAGGGTTATGATCAGATAAGAGGGTTAGGGTTCCGAATAGTCGTTCAGGGCCAGCTATAGAACGGGTTGAGAAAGTCACGTGAGTCGAGTGTAGAGTGATTAATCATCATCCAAAATTCGGCTGCGCGGCCGGCTCCGAGTTTCGATTTCTTGTCAATGTCATACGTTGTATGACCCGCCGCGCACCAAGTGCGCGGCTCCCCCTGTATCGTCGAAGACGATATATAATAGTGAAGCGACAGTGTCACAGTGGGGGTCACCACGTGATACAATCGATTTCGGCGTACATTCGATCGATATACACAGTGGAAAATATCTGGATTTTATTCTTGCATAAAAGCGATAATGCAATTATCGCGTGTTTATCGCCCAATATGCGATTATCGCGTGTTTATCGCCTAACATGCGATTATTGCGCACGATTATCGCCTAACATTGGCGATTATCGCTAAATGCACGATAATCGCCATTAAATAGTGATAATCGCTAAAATCTGCGATGATAATGCAATAGTGAAATGATGAGTTAATTTTGACATACTGTGAGTCATATACTGCATCAACATTCAACACTGCACTGAATCAAAATTATGGTTGAACAGCAATAAAAAATATTATATTTGATATATATATTAAACCTTGTGCCTGACGCCGCGCGCAGCGGATCCTGCATTTTCATTTTGAGTTTGACCCTGGCCTCACAATTCCATTTTACAATCAAACTATAACCTTCAAAGGCGAAAGTAAACACAAGCATCAACATTTCATATTTCCAATTTCATTCCTCTTCCCCCTGTTTAACGGACGCAAACGCTATTTACGAATGACCCCTGGGCCCCTACGACAAACCCGAAACCATAAACATAAACTTCTATTCAATTTGTAATTCGAAAATTATCTCATAATTCCGTTATGGAAATAAATCTTATACATGAATAAGAATCTGAATCAATACATATTGTTCATTCTGTCTGCCGATGGCAATTATATCAATATTATATTCAAATAGTACACGGAGTTCATTACTGCATTTCAAGTTTGCCACGCGCGGTGAGCCGCGCACTTTTGTTGGATTTGAACTATACGAAAATCAAATTATGAATCGAGCGCTACTAGGGCGCTCACTTAGCGCTTAGTTACCAGCCAACTTTACTTGTTATGATTTGTACCTCTTAGTGTGACCTGGATCAGAATATTTTCTTCGACTTCAGTTTTCAAAAGTGAGAGTGCTTGGATCGAATATAGATATATCTCTGTAAGAGTGTATAAGATGTTACAACTTACACACGTGCGGTAATCGGTATCATGTCACCAAGTGACTTGTCTATTGTCGTTACCAATGGCCACACTATTCACCTAATACCGTAATCTGCTTGACAGCTCGATCGAATTAAATGATTGCATTTGTTGTTATAAAGAACGAAATTAAGCACGTTCATATCGATTATCACATTAGTGAGAACATGAGTGGAAGCAGGACAGAAATGTTCGCAGGGTTAACTGTAACACGACAGTTAAGACCACTTGGTTCCGATGGCTTCCGCAGGAGATGTTGGTTGTAAGTTATTATACATCGAACTTGTTTGTTTCCTCTTACCTACATTTTTGCTGACTCGACCTGCAATCTGCACGAGTTGTAAGTGAAATTATATAAATCTTCTAATTGTAGGTATATTAAAGTATATTAAAATGTAGGATTTTTTCCGATTTTGACCCGGGGATATACTTTAATATACTTTAATATGGTTGGCCCCCCCCCCCCCCCCCCCCCCCCAAATTTTACTCTTCAGGCACATGAGAGCCAGGTTCCCTACTCTCGAAGCGGTTCCCGAAATAAAACGAGCTGTGGCACGTTTCTGCCATATCGAGGGTAAATAAGTTTTTATCACTTGCCATTGCCTCACTTCTTATTAGGAACTAGAGAAGTTCTCGCAAAACATCATGGCTTAACAAATGACAACTATGATCGATATATCTTTTGTAAAAATCGTTCTTTAATCATTAAGGAGATGAATACATTTCAGAAAGTGGCGTACACTCTGATTGGGTGAGGGAGGTCCAGCTACGATATAAGAAATATGCTGTTGACAAGAAATGCAAGAGGAAGGGGGCAGCAGTGAAGCAGAGAGCAGCATCGGATCATCCCCCAGTTACTGCTGCTGGTACCCAGACAGATCCACTGCACGCATTGCACTGCAAGGTAAGCTGCACCTGTATCACATATGAACAATCAAATTTCATCTGTCATGATATGAGATCCACTGAATCCCTGTTGAAACAAAGCTGTTAAAATAGTGATATTCAGGATTGTGTGACCAATGCCATGCGGCATGTCCTGGACGAAAAGGCGGCGGAAATTGCGGAGATGAGGACCAATCTCCTCCTCCACCAAGCACCCTCTCCGACCCCAGCACCCGTCAGGTAGCATAGCAGAATAAATATGACCCGGTGTCCAATGTTTTTGAAATGGTTGAAAATCGTCATTTAGTATGCAGTTTAATTCCATTGTAATGTTATTGCCAGGGTTATGTAATATGTTTGTACCCAGGCTAACAATATTTAGTCAAATTTAAAACTGATATATAACACATCTAAATATTGCAGCAGTATCCTGATCAGAACCCCTGACCCCATCCGCTCTCGCTCGCGAACTCCCTCCGTCAGTTCAAATGGGCCAGGGTAAATTTTTAAGCCATAAAAGTAAATGAGTTAATGTATGTGGTGTTTTGGTAAGTCAACTAGTTATTTTATTGATAAGAAAGGACTCTTATGAAGATTGGCGATGCGTTATATCATTTGTGATGAAATCTTAACACCATATTTATTTCAGACCGTCCCGTTCCAGTCACGGTACACCAGTCTGTGCTGTGCAACCACGATCACGGATTAATTCAGCAGCATCCAGGTATTAGGCAGTGAACCCCCCTCCTGGCTCTCCCTCCCTGGCCCTCCCTCCCTGGCTCTCCCTCCCTGGCTCTCCCTCCCTGGCCCTCCCTCCCTGGCTCTCCCTCCCTGGCCCTCCCTCCCTGGCCCTCCCTCCCTGTCCCTGCCTCACTCATTCTAATTTCAGTATCAGTGCGGACAACTGGGGGCCCGAATCTGTCATTAGAAGCCAGAGTCCGCATGGCTGCTGAGAGGAAAAAAAAGGCCTCTCAAAAGAAGCTCACTGCGACTGAGATTTTCCGACAGCGTTGGGGAGGTTCAGTTTAACTATAAAACTTGTAAATACACTGAATTTATTATTAATTTTTGAAAAATTATGTGATGTTTGTTCCGTGATACTAACTTTTTTTTGTGACACTAATTCATTAACTCTATTTGTGATACTAATTTATTAACTAATTTTATGATACCAATTTTGTGACACTAATTTTGATAGACTGTGGGATACTGAAGGGAAAAGAAGCAGTTCTAACGAGCTCTTCTCAAACACAAGGATATATCTTGTGAACTTGGCTGGTATATATGAAACATTTGACACGGAGTTGTAGAGTGAGCTATGTGCCTCGCCAGGGCTAAAGTAGTGAATGACCTTGCTGTACGGCAAGTTAAACAAGGATCTGAAACTACTAGGTTCCGTACAGGCTCAACTCTACACCCGTGCCAATATGTTCATATGAAAGCCTCTTGATTTATACTAATAATTCTTTAATTCTTTTTGCTCGCTTTCTTTTCACCCTTCCCCCTCTCTCGATATTTCATCAATTATCACATCCCAACATTTGAAATGTTTTCAAGTAAAGTTTAGCCTCAAGGTTTCTCTTTCCCATAAAGCTGCAGCACATGATAAAAATGAAACTAAAAGTGGTGAGCTGTTAGCAAGACGTACCCCAGTAGCCTACTGTGATGGACAGGAACTGCTAACCAAAACACTTATAACCTTGAAGAATACCGGTATTTCAAATTTCTAGAGATTATAGAGCTGTTTACAAAAAATTAATTTGATTTAAATAGGTCAAGGTGGGCAGTTCTTTTAGCGGTTTTTATCACATAGTTCATTAACAGCCAGCTGAATTCTATATATTCCAGGCCAGTTAGATGTGGGAACTGACAAAACTATACATGTTAAGCTGTTTGTAGACGCAGACACGAGCTCCACTAAAGTGGCAGTCAATGTGCTAAACCAGCCTTCGTGTAACAGCTCGTATGCCCACCCAATGCTGGTGTACACCGAAGCTCCGGACCATCGCAGGAACATGGAGGTCATATTTAAGGTATTTCTTCATGAAATCTAGACTTCAACTTGAGCTTATTTGTATTAACAGCTTACACTTTAAAAACTGGACAGGCATGAGACAGATAACATTACAGGTGGTTAACCGGGACCTACCACAGCTCAAGAACTTTGTCTTCTGTGGAGCACATGTGAAGATGATTCTCTGTGCAGACACAAAGGCACTGTGGGCTATGCTGGGTATGGGCAGCAATGGGACGTTCCCCTGTCCACTGTGCGAGGTACATAAAGACCTGATGCAAGTACCCAGAAGCCAGAGAGCTCTCTGCAAGCCCCGAACTTTTGCGGGAATTATGCAGAACTTTGATGCTAATATGAGGTACTTATAAACTTATAATACCAGTCATTAACTCGCTGATTGCAGCTCCTTCATTTCACAAAGTACAAACATTTATCTCGATGTATATTGTATACCATGTATGTATTTCGATAGATGTATACCATTTCTGTAAACTGTTAGTATCGAGTTTTTCCACATCAGAATGACTCAGTGTAACCCGAGATCCCAAGCCCAGTTTATGAATGTTGCTTCACGACCCATCACAGACTGTTTCGGGGAGGATTCTGATTATCTCATAAACTGGGTCGCTGTTCCGTTCTTGCACATAGTAAGTGATCGAAGCTCACAGTTTTTTATTCGAACACCGCTCATGCTGTTCCTGATATGTGGCAAATAGAACTAGGTACTAGAATTATTTGACTGATTGTCATGACTCTTGATACTTCCTTTAGAACATCAAAGTCGGGACTTTTCTGTGGACAGAGTACGGTAAACTGTGCGAGGAGATAGACTTTGTACTCGCTTGCAATGTGGCAGACGGGTTTCTTCCCAACAGCTACAGCAGTACGACAGACTTTGGAGCCATGATTCTGCGCATCGAACAAGGTAATGTAGATTCATCGATGAATGTATCACTTCATTATTGAAAAATTGGAGGCTTTGCAAACTGATATATAATGAGTTGAAGAAAATAAGTGTGGCACTGTACATTTTAGGTAACCGTGTGGCCTCGAAGTGCAACAGTGGGCCCCTTTCCTCGAAGTATGAGCAATATTTGAGGGGCATCAATGTCACTCCTGAGGCATACCATGGTGTGTCCCTGACCGGCGTGAGAGCAGGATATTTGGTTAAAGCCAATCACACTCAATTTTGGACAGACCACTTCTATAAAAACGAGTAAGTTCTGTGAGATCAGTGCGATTTAACTCATGTTACTAATGGTTGTCGTTTATAGTGAAATAACTACCACTTTTTACTTGTGATTGAAGGCTAAAATTCTGTATTGATAACGAGCTTCTGTGACTGACCGATTCTGTGTTGACAGGAAGATAAGACCACAGGACAAGCTGCACTTTCAGCAACGGCTCCTTGCACTGGATCGCATTAAGTCCTCGTATAGAGATCTCTTAGTTCTCGGTGGCAAAAGTGGGAAAGTGAAGAGTCCCCGTGAGATCGAAACTCTTGTCAAGGCCAGGGACCTCTTCTTGGCAGAGTACCGAAAGTTTGGTCAGTCCACATCGGTGAAGGTATTGTTGTTATCTCTTATAGCTTTACCTGTTGTCTCCAACCCCTAAATAGCCTGGAAGAAAGTTATTTTCATGACATATTTATAAGAAACTCCGGCCCAACCGAACTCTTAAAATTGCAACATCATTTCAACACCACCTCCACCAGATACATCTCCTTGAAGACCACTTTTTGGAGCAGATACAGCTCTGGGGGATGTTTTCTGGATCTTTCAATGAGCAAGGTGGTGAGAGTACTCACTCCCTTTTTAAGAATCACGAACACATGACAAGTAAGAAATAACTTGGGCTTTTAGAATTAATTGAGTTTGAGATCAAATTTTGATTTCCACACGTTGAATAGTAGTGTGTAAGGGGTCGTTCATATATTACTTAACCATCGAAGGTGAGGGGGAGTACATAATATGTGGACGACCACCACTTTAATACAGAAATGTAAGCAACATAAATTTTCAGACCATGTTCGTAATGACGAAGACCGAGTTGTGAAAAAGTGCGAGCTAGCAACACGGAAATACCTGTTGAAAGTGAAATCCAAGCTGTGTGACTGAAATGGGTCAATCATGATGGATTTAGTGTTTGGGACAATCTGCTATATGCCTAAAATTGAAAGATTGTTAATTTGGTGATGCTTCACCCTCTGTTCATATTTTCTACTTGATCAATAATGATATTCGCCACATATTATGTAAAACGCCGCTTATGTTTTGCCATTAAAATTTTTTCGTTATAGTAGTGACTGCGACTGAAACCGCGCATCACGCAAGTTTTTGTCGCCGCGCGAGGGTGATTCAATTTTGTCCACTTCGCCATAATTCTCAGAGGATGTAATTTGACGAGTGCGGGACAATTTTGAGCGCAAGGAATCACTTGAATCGAAGATAACGATTGAGCTGACAATTTCTCCGGTAAAAATTAGACCTTAGATAACTGAATTGGGATGACATCGGAAATAACTCTGATGCGAGCAGGAATACACTATGTCATACTCATAGCAGTAATACTTAGACGTGAATATTAATATCCGATGGATCAAATTAGTGTATATGTTATCATTATTATATATATAAAGTGTGCCTCACTGGGGCACCCTTAAGTAACAGTTCCAGCTCGATAGGCCTCGTAACCGGGATGGATAGAGACAAACGAAATACATCATCTCGTCACAAGCAATCAGATCTAAGTTAAACGATAAGGCCAGGACATACTATGAGCATTGAATTAACTGTCAAAATGGTAACCTGAGCCCTAGAGGTGATCACATGCTATAAGCCTAACGGAAAAGTATTCTAAAAATATAAATCTAATCGTTAAGTTAAACACATTTGAAAGCGGCTGTCAGATAATATAAACGGTTCGGGATGATGGCTGTCGAGGTTCGGGCATGACGCGCCCGGCCGCACAATAAGCGGTGACTAGGGAAGTCACAACAAAAAGTCCCCTCTCAGTCTAATCTGAGCTCTCGATATTTTGGAAGAATTCTGGATTCTAGCTAGAAATAGGTAAATTAGTCAACGAACATGAGATGAATCATATATTAACTTAAAGATGAAAACCCGCTAATCAACGTTGACCAAAATTAAATTATGTGGGCTTACAATTGAATCATATAGAGTAACTATTTGATCATTTGACGTAGCCATTTTGTCAACGCAGCATTTTGTCAATTTGTCAACTCTAAATATTCGACTGCTGTTAATCTTTTAACTTTAATTATAAACTTATGTTACCACTGAAAATCTGAAATGGCTCCAGTAGATCTGTAGATGTGGCAGCTAGGTTCTCGTTATATACTGCGATAATCGCAAATTGAGGCGACAATCGCACGATAATCGCATAATGAGGCGATTATCGCACAAGGGGGGGCGATAATCGCAAAATGAGGCGATAACCGCGCGATAATCGCAAAATGAGGCGATAATCGCACAAGGAGTCGATTATCGCGCGATAATCGCGAGGGAGTGCGATTATCGCTGCAAAAATAAAATCTGCGAAATGGCCAACATTTTCCACTGTGTATATTCGGATACGGTGCGCGCCGCGCAATCGAGCATTTTGGCTCGCGCGAAAAATGAAAAGTTTGACCAACAGAATAGCTATGAAACTAGCAATAGCATCAAATAAGGAAGAAGTTTTACTTAGTTGATCACCCCCAAATCACTTGGTGGCTGGTTATAGTATGTTTTTATTGTTTATCATGTTTTTTAAACCGTTGCATGAACCGTTGTGAACAATCGCATCTGTGAGCAGAGGTTTCCGCATTTCTCCTTGGAAGTAGAACGTGTTGTTATTCCACAAACAGAGAAAACCTGAAAACAGGTCCCTTGTTAAAACCGCTCAGACAATAATCTGAAAAATTAAAGTGTAATCAATTATTTCATAACGCCAATTAAAAAGTTATTGAATTTTCGTTGATTGTATTATTTTCACAACATCATCAAGTGAACAAGACGCGTACACAGTAATAACATTTTTAAATTACCCGAAACAGATTTGAAGTTTAATTGTCTATGACCGTGCTGTTTAATAATATGATTGAGTTGTCTTCCAGTTGATCTCGATATTACCCTTTGCTTCTAATTTGGTATCTTAACCCGTATTATTAGCCTTGAGGAGAGAGCAAACAGGTTCCTTCGCAAAGTCATCCATCTCTAGAAACTGAAAAATTGTGGTCTAATAAAATGTCTGACTACTTTCCCTGTAAAACAGAAGCTTTCTGTGCAGATTTAGAACATAAAAGTCTTTAGTGCTTGAAACTGCCGATAGACAAAGTCGTAGAGTGCAAAAACCCATCAACTACAGAAACCGCTTGTTCAGAACCTACCTATTGAAAAGTTCAGAAGTGGGCATCTTCACGGTCATCACGCAAACTGCGGACCACCTCCTTGATTGCAGAGAAGGTTTCTGCAGTTTTATAACACCACTTTGCTTCCAAGGTAAGCTGCTCCATAAACTGAACAATATTTAATTACATAGGTAAGGGCGCAAAACAATAAATTTTAAATGTTTGCCCAATATTTGAGAAATGATTCCTGGAAAGAAATTCAGCAGTAGGATATTACCTATTCCATTTATCAGATTTCAATATTTGCTTGGTAATACTCCCTTAGATTACACCAGTACGGAAACAGATCTTGGAGTCGTTATAAATCAGGGCTTTCGTTTTGAAGAACACATAACTAAAATATTGTCCAAAGCTAACCAAAAATTTGGGCTGCTGAAACGCACTTGCTCATTTGTCCATGTGAGACGAAGAAGAAATCTATACCTTGCACTTGTTAGAAGTCGATTTGAACACTGTTCCCAAATCTGGCGTCCATTTAATAAAACGCAACTAGATAAGTTGGATGCTTTTCAAAAAAGGTGTATTAGTGGATTTTTGATGAGGAATTCACAAGATATCAGTCCTTTGAAAACTATACTTACAAATGTCATCAATTGAAAATCCTTCCTCTCAGCAAGAGGTTTGAATTGAATGACCTGACCTTGTTTCACAAAATAGTCAATGGTGTACCTATGCACACAAGAGCTTCCTAATTACTTACAACTATACAAAGGAAGCACACGCTTAAGATCATGTCACCATGACAGCCTAAGTTATGTAACGACTCTTGTTCAAACACTGTGTAATAGCAGTCTCCTTAAGAAATCATTCTTTTATCGGACACATCTGCTCTGGAATAAACTTCCTCTCGAAATAAGAGACCATAGCTGTCCTGATATCTTCAAGGCCAAACTTAAGGATCACCTATGGTCGGAAATGCTACCCACAGATCCAAACGATAGTCACGCTGAATTCTACCTGTCTGATAATGATTAGATGCATCTCATTTCTCCCAATGCCAATTCTCTGATCTAAAATAACCGATCCAAACTATTTAAGGGGTTAGGGGTGGGTTGGGTTGTGGGTTGGGTTTTTAAAAGTATTGTATGATATAATCTATTTCATTAACAAGTTAACAAATTATTAACATTATGATATTTTATGCACGCTGTATTTTATTATTGCACAATCATCTCTATTACAATATATCTTAAATTTATATGTGTTGATTGTATGAAATGTTTTGTCAGGGACCATATTTTGTAGGTGTAATTTTTGCACGAACTACGTTCTGGTTTCCCGTCATTATAGTACATAGAAATCACTTTTTGACCGTGTTATTTTCATGCAATTACATTGATGTATGTACTATTTTGAAAAGATTTTCAATAAAAAAATAGTTATAATAGTAATTTTCTCGCAACACTTGTGGTTACTATTTTTACCTGTGGTTGATAACGTCACTACCACAGGACTATTGAAAGACATTATTATTGAGTTATTTTTTAACTGTTCTTCCTCGGCTGTTCCGCACTGGGTTTACTCTCCTTGTACCAGAAAGTTTACTTTATTTCCAAATTAACAGGATCTTGTTCGAATCATCCCTAACATATTAAACTGGTCTTAAAGCAATACTATTAGCAATTAGCATGTCTTAAATTTAATGAGTATAATAAACTTGAATATAAAATATTAATATAAATGGTAAATTTTCATTGCTCGAACTGCGAAGGCTACTGAATCAGCAGATGTTTTCCCCGTTTACTAATTGCAAAAGGTTAATCGTCTTATAAAAAACCTACAAGATAGTAAAAATGGGACGCAGTGTTCATTTTAACATAATTCAGAATCGTATATAATATTTACAGCAACATACATATTACATACTTGACATATCACGATTACGATACAACCACAATCCTACCCATCCGAAAAATCTACGAAACAGCATGGCGCTTAGTCAAATAGAAAAATTGAAATGGCAAAGGTGTCGATCAAAGATATTTTCAATTACTAAATTATAATGAAATATATGAGTTAGCATCGAAAAAGAATGCTGAAACCGTGAAAATGTATACCAAAAACCGTGAAAAGGTATAACAAAATTGGTAACACAACTAAAAAAATTAGAATCAATTATAAATGTCCTTTTCATGTTCGTCTAGACGACACCACCGCTCTTCTCTAGTTAAACTGAAAGAAAAAAATTCGTTCAGTTTCAAGTAATTTAGCGAATTTAATTCTTCGCTACGGTAGTAAAAATAGTTTTCTTTCTCTGTGCGTCCACATTTAACTAGGTTTAAACTTTTGGCAATTTTTCAACAAATGGTATTATATAACATGCAGAGCGGAGTAAAATTAGTAAAATAAGTGCTTACAAAAAGGCGATGTACATAAAAAACAGGTTAAGCGATACACTTATAGAGAGCTATTATATTAATGGTATAGTGATCTGTAAGGAATGATACAAAGCAGAGGAAGGTCTGTTACCCCTTGCTAAGAGCTAATTGTATCATTATGTGATGTGATATTTCGCAAATTAATGAAGTTAAAATATACCTTTTTTATGAAATTTATTTTGATGTACTCACGTTTAATTTATGAAATCTGAAATGAAATGAAATGTAGTGAAATGAACTGAAATGAAGTACAAGGTGTCAGATTATCAGCTGTAAATTCAATTCGGCAATGGGAATAATGGTAATTAGTAAATTTGGTAATTGGTAATACTTAATGAGGTGCGAAGTGGATGAAAGGTTCGTTAAAAATTTCAGAGTCAATGGTCTTTTTGCTCTGATTAAAAATGCGAATATATGCTAAGTGCTTCAAACATAACATATAAATTATAAAAGTATTATAAACCAAACGTATAAAACATATTCAACTCGTATCTCTCAAGCCAACGGAAGTTTTCATTACTTCAAGCGAATGTGGGATTTAAAATGGGACACACTTAGACAATTATTTGATATGGAATATCTAAAACATGTATTTCTCACACATTTTTCACACTTGATTCACGACTCTTCTTCCTTCCATTCTCTGGCTGGCACAAACTAAAGAATGCTACATTATTCATTATTCACAAACCACTCGTAAACAAGTCTTGAAAGAAAAGATTTAGATGATAATGTTTTACATCACAGAACTCATTAACGTGCTAAAATGTATGAAACGGCTCAAAATGTAACACCAGCGAAACAAAATACACCTCCCATATAAGGAATAATAGCAACTACAATTCACAACTAGTAGTTATATAGTATTTATCTGGTATAATCAACTAGGATAGTTTTAAATATTTATACATAGTTGTTAGTTCTTACGTTTTTCAAAAACTCCACAGCAGAAATACGACCACGACCGTTGAGACAAAGTTTCATCTCACTGATCTCCTTATCTATCTCTGTCATGAACTGAAACGGGCAAAAAGTCGGATGAGAATTTTGTTTCATTAATTTAAATGTCACTCTATTTTCTGCAAGTGATTGAGCTAACTTTAGAATTATTGATATGGATATATTTTGATCAAATACAATATTTTTAAGCAAAATTAAGATTAATAACAACTTGATATTAGATAGAAATAATTCTCACCTCCATGACGAAATCTACGAGCTTATGTTTGTACATCTGTTCGGTGTGGTAGTTTGTTATGAGGAAACTGATGTCGTAGCCCTGGAAACATTGAAATGGTTAAGGGTTAAACTAAAGGTTACAATACAATAATACCTTGGCTGTTGAGTGCTACCCGCGATAATTCCCGACGCTTTAGCGGAGGGAACGCGGGGGCATGAAACTATTAGCCACGGTGGTAATTGGTATACCAGACTACTTTTTGAAAATTCGAATCAGGAATTCCTTTTAAAATTGTAAGACTCTTTCTAACCTCGATAGGCTTCCTTCGGAGAATGAAGAAATTCTCGGCTCTCATCATCATGAACCGCATGAATTTGTGGCACAAAATCTTCTCGATATCATCAGCCTGAAATAAAATGCATCAGCGATACCTGCAAGTTGTATTTATTGTTATACGGTAACATAACATGTCTCATTTATCATCTTTGATAGCTGGCCTAACAAGAGCATTTTTCAGATCTGAAGGAAATTTTCCATATTTCCATTATTATATATTATATTATAATAAACTAGAAAACCCGTGGTCACAGGGAGGAAGCTAATAGTATTTTTTGTAAGTAAGTTTAAATCGCGTCAAAAAATATCCTAAACAAACCGAAGATACAGCCGATTAAAATGTTGCTCGCACTAAACACAACGTAATATCATCAAAACCAATAAAAAATGTCGTTTTAACAATCTTTGCACGTGCACGTGCGTGTAACAACCCTCGTTACCATGGTTACTACGCAAGTTCATATTTTTCGTCTGATTTGCACGTGGGCGGTCGTACAACATAAATAATTCTCTGAATTATAGTAGAGATTGCAATTATTTTAATATGCACGTTATTACTCCTGATAAATTGTAGCGATTGTGTTACTATTAATAGAGTTAGCAGATCTAAAAGTATAGTGTGAAAATATCACAATTTGCTGAAACCTGTTTGATAGCTATGCTCATTCGAAGAGAGTTGATCGATCCCTCAATGAGGACTTTCTCTTTTTCGTTTCTACAAATCTCCAGCGGAGTAAACAGCACCTCCTTTGATGATCTGAAACATAATGGACACTTTAACTTTATTTTAAAATAACCTGCTTGGCTTTTAGATAATTAATTTTTTGTTTATAAATAGATTTTGTTACTATGATTTATGTGTTATTGTGTAAACTCCGTGAGTATTTCTCTGGAGCTTCCACATTGTGATGTCAAAATTCCTTTCGCGATTTGAATGTTATAATAAGACCCGGTTAAAGTTTTCGTATCTGAATATGGATTGACATGGTATCCTGGGCCTGCCAAGAACATTGTATAACCTGGTAACTGTATGGGATCTAATTGAGCACGAAGTTATCCTGTTGAGAAGTTATCACCCATCACTGCGCTCCCTCACGCAACTGCTACTTTGTTGGTTTGTAAGGTTTGTTAAAGAGCGCTCTCATACGTGTTTGTGGACATTTTTGTGAGCACTTGATGGACAATACTATCACCACACCAATATAAATACAATCTTCCGGTTTCCATTGTCCTTGATCCCCAGTATGTATTTTTAATTACGGCTGACCTCCAAGCAACGCAGCTCATGAATTGAGCTTATTAAAACTTGTCGATGGATTAGTTCTTTGCCCCGCAGCAATCCCATTGTCTAAAGAACACACATTGTTAAAAATCACTCAGGCAATCGTCAACTAAAATGGGTGCTCTCTGTGAACGGAGCGAACATTTGGGTATAAAAGAGCAGTGCAAGCTTCAAAGCACCAGTGTTCCCTTTATCCAGCTCAGAGACAGTTTACGGTTCCAGCGGTTCTACAAACACTTTACCAATGAGATTCAGCTTAACCACCTCCGTGTAAGTTGTACCGTGTCTACATTTGTTTTCTGTTGCTTTTCATTTTTCGAATTAAGTGGCCACGACCAATGTTTCAAAGATTCCGTTTCTTTAATAATTGAGTTTGAACTTTCTATAGTAGACAAAATATGTTAGATCGTTAGATCTGATTGCCATACCGTTCACAAATTTATAGATTTGTTTTCAGGACGTTACTGTTCATGTTGGCCATTGTTTTCGGTAAGGAACTTTTTCGAAGATACACAGGGTTTAACCGACAATTAATACAAATAAATTCTTGGATTTAACTCATTATGTTACATTAAAATCAATACCTTCATAATTTAGTTTAAAAACCTATGACTTTTAAATTTAAAACTATATTTCTTCAGTGAGTTCTACTGCGATTATGTCAGACGCGGAAGAACAGTGGCGTAAGTCTCACATTAATTTACCATTTCAATTTACCCTAATACTTGATAAAAAATCTGAATCTCTGAATCTCACTGAATCTCTCTTACGATCGAAATATAACTAGCCTGGGAGTTTCGTTCCTCTTTATGCCTGGTAAATTTCGACGCTTTCTTTTTCAGCCGGTTTTGGGTATTCCCGGGTACAAGACGAGATGGCTTTAAACGAAGAAGGTAAATTTATAATAGACACACTAAACTTCTTAACATGACCTCAATTTAACGGAGGTAGGGGGTTTAAATGGTTGTTACTTTTATAAAGAACGATCTAAAGAAGCTCAATGTAACATAATATATTTAATTATTATTATTGCAGAATTTGAACATGTATTATATAGTTATATATACTTAAACCTAGCATTAAACATGTTCTACATTCCTTTATCCCCATTGAACGCAAGCATCTGAAATATTCCACAATATAACATGTTATTTCGAGTGCATACTATATTTCTTATCTAGCCCAGCTCAGTAGTCAGTACTGCTTTGACCCATCACGAATTATCATTTTTCAGAAGAAGGAGGCCAGAGGAACTTGGTGAAGAGTCGTGAAGAAAATGAAGATTCAGGATGGGAGTCAAGATAAATGTAGACACCTCTGTGGCCTTTTCAAAAAGACAACCTTGACTTTTCATCCGATCAGTTGTTTGTAGTGGTGAAGTGCTCCACTTCTCGTTTTTTAAGAACTTCTCTTTAATTAGTTGGCGGCGCTCCTCTTTTCAGTACTGTAGAAATATCCTCGTTGATTCTTAGCTATTATCGTGTAGCAATGAGATTTTTGATTAATTCTTGGGGATATTTTCTTCCCGATTACCGGTATTCATTACAGTGATTATGCATTGAATTTTGTCGTTTTATTTCTTCGACTAAACAAAATACTTTAAAAGTTACAAACTTGGACGAGAAGAACCTCTCTAAAATTTATTGATAAACGTCTTGGGCTATATAAGGTGAATAACAACGAAAGTTAGTAACATACTCATAATGATCAAAAGAGATAAATTTGTTGTTGTTTCTTTTTTCATCAAAATATAGTTTAAGATTGCTGTAAAACTATTTGGACACGTTCATTTGAGTTTGAGGATATTGGTAAATATTAGTTGCCCTGTTAAGTGTTAAAAAGCACGGTGTAGTTGACTTTGTCACACTATGAAATTATTTAAACCCTTGATGGTTTGAGACGGTTAGGATAATCGTCTCATCCTCTAGGCAAACGTTGTCACATAACGATATCTTAATCAGATGATAAGATATCGCCTAAATACAGCCGGCACAGAAATGGTCACATTGTCACACTATAAACATTTACTCCGTCACATATGTGACGGAGTAAATATGGACCCCTTATAATGCATAGTGTGCAGTGCTTACTGCTTAGTGTATAATGCACAGTGCATAATGTATTTAAATGCATAATGCTTAGTGTGCAATGCATAGTGTGCAGTGCATAGTGCATTTAATGCATACTGCATAGTACATATTAGTACATAGTGCATACTGCATAGTGCATAATACTTAGTGCATAATACTTAGTGCATAATACTTGGTGCTTATATATTGCTTACCTTATCTCTACTTCAGGCTTGTTATGTCGCTCAACACGTTGAGAGTAGAAGTTCTCAAGACACATGGCAGCTTCAAGAGTAGTCCTAACTGCATTCAGATAGGGCTTCAATGTCGCGGCCTTAAAATAAACTTTCAAATATACCATAATATCATGTTTTCAAAAATTACATTCATTGTGTAAAATTCAAATGTAAATGTGTTGTATCATATCTAATTATTATATGTTAAGAATTCAAGATTTCAGAGCTGTTCCTAATAGTTCTTATTTTAAGTACTCACCATAATTGCAGAGTTTTCTCAATACAGCTATGCTAAAAATGAGAACATGGTCAAAGTTAGCAATGCATGCTTACAAAAATAAATCATGCCAATTAAATAGAATAATACTTGTGTCAAAGTGAAATAATCGAATTGAAACAGCCAATCCAATATAAATAATGAAACGCATAATTTTCACTACCATTGAATGAATCTTATCTATAATCGTAAATTAATCAAAAATTAAAATGACCAAAAAATTAAAATATTATAGGTTAACCGTACCTGGCAGAACTCAGCCAATGCAAATGTTTACTCAAAATTTAATATTTTAAAACGAGAGCTAAATCATCAAATAACTGAAATATGTGACTTGTGCCGTATCAGAGTACTATTATGATCTATACTAATAATCTCAATAAATCTGTGTGTGCGTCTGTTTGTAATTTATGAATGGCTAAATCAAGAAAACGGTAAGAGATATGGGACTGGTTTTTTTCGGTATAGTGCCGGGAAAACTCTGACGAAGCCAAATGATTAAGGTTTTAAATCGATCGGTGGTAAGTGGTTTAGTTGATCATTTTGTGACCCAAATGTGATACTAAAGTGTCTCACGTTCTCTCCCACTCTCGCTCTCTCTCCCCTCATAACAGATTTGCTATATAATACCTATATAATTAGGTAATTTGGCAGTGTACCTCAAGAGTCAAGATTGCTTTTCAAGTATTACTATTAGATACATGAGGGGCACTCAGAATTAAATTGCAGTCTGTTTGGACTGAGCGAGTTCATACTTTCGCACCGTTTTAACAAAATGTAATGTGTGTTTTCGAATATAATAGGCGGGTTTAGACTTTTGCATTTCAACTGCGATAGTGAAGTCCCGGCTGTAGAGTGTAGGCAAAGGTTACACTAGTATCATATAAATAGAAACGAAAGCAAAACACAAAAATGTGAACAATATAGATCTATAAATAGCTGTGTAAATCCTTACTTATATGTTTTGTTGTGGGGGGATTATCGTAGTGAAGTACTGTACTGACAGTACTATGAAGTGCAAGATGTTTTCAATCCACTTAATATAATCAAGCTCGACTGACGGCTCCCAAGGGTGTATGCATTTGTGGGTGTTGAATCGGCTCGATTAAGTTGATAGGGTTGGGCTATGATTGTATCGCGATGTGTACACTGTACTGTACAAGCAGGTATTCATAGGCCGGCATAGTGCCGGAGCGGGTATGATCCGCCTACTATACCTCCGAGTAACATGCTGGGTGCTCTACCAATCCTTACTTGGATATCTTACTTCCTTATAACGTCAATATTATGTGAGGAGGGGGTTTCTAAATGGTAACACTGTCATTTTAAACACAATAGCTTTGTATTATAGACGTCCATTACAGAGGGGGAGGGGAGGGGTTAAAAATTTGCCAAAAAGTGATTACTTAATAACAACGACCCGGCCCGGCCCCCATTGATCTCGTTTTAAATAAAGGTAAAAATTATCGGAATTCATGAGAATAATTATTGTTAATTTGACAACATGCATTTTTGATTTCTTGCTGTCTTAGATTAGCAGTGCCATGGAACATATACCCCATATATTATAATATTATAATGTGAACAAAGTAATTAGAATTAGAATTAGTTTTTCTAATTTTTCAGTGCACAACTGATAATTACCAAGGTATTATAATATAATGTGCTATATATTTGTTCACTTTATCTAAATATTCCTTATAATTGCTTACAGATTAAATCACGTACAAAAAAGGTTGAATCATACAAAATATGGTTGATAGATTAGAGTTTTGATGAGATTAAGGTACATGACGAAATAAACGTTAATTGTTTGTTTCAATAATATATAATTTATTGCACACTTAACACTGAAAATTCAACATGATTATATGGTTCTCAGGAATGATGGCGACCTAAAGAAAAATAGATTTGATTTTGAACACCATTATTATCTAAATTATCCTTAACAAAAACTTTCGCTAATAACCAAAGAAAAATTAGATCTGATCTAAAATACCATTATCTTCTATCTCAATCACAAACTCAAATAAGATTTGAATCGCTACCCAAACTTTTGGACCCAGTTTATCAATGCATGTTTAATGTTATTATATTTTCATGAGGAATGGATTTGTCGGAGGCAGTGCAACACTGCAATTTTTTCAGCAAATTTGCAAGTTCTTCATAAGCTTTAAAATCTGTTACAAATTTCCAGATCAGCATACCAAAGCCATATGGAATCTGAAGGGGAGAAAACTTCTGGTATTCCAACATAAAACCAGCTGTGTCTCCATAAGGTGATCCAGACATTCCCAATTTCTTGCAAGTTTCGGTCAGCGTTTTGTGATATGTTTCCAAATAGGATGTGAGGTTCTTACTCCTTTGCTGAGATGTAGTACCTTGACATAAGTATTGATTAACATCAGAACATCCATCACTATACCGAATCAATTGGTAATCAAAGAACTTGACTTTAGAATCTGACATAGCTATGTTCATAGGATGAAAATCTCCATGAATGAGAATAGATGTGTCTGCAGTTTCTCTTTGACGAATCTTTTTCATTAACTCTAAAGGATCACCGACAAGAAATTTAAGTTTTTCCAAAGCCTTCTGTATATCGGATACGTGGTTATCTGGCAGAACTAGTTTAGATTTCACCATCATGTTGAAGCACTCACTAGAATAACAATGCAGAACCACTTGTAATATTTCCCAGGCTTTATGAAATTCTCCATTGTAAAATGGTGCGACTAGATCAAAACTCTTTTTTTCAAGTAAGTAATCTTCGGCTAGAATGGGATATTCATCTTTGAAGTCAAAGCCACCAATGTTTTTCATAGCATGGAAGACTCCATGAAATTTAGCTATTGATGTTATGACAAGATGAACATGTGCTTCATCATGAAATGTATCACTAGCATCCACCTTAAACTTTTCACCATGGGTGTGAAAGAGATCTTGGAAAAGAAAAATATGATTGTTTGAAACACTACCTCGACCATAATAATGTGGAAACAATAATCTCACGTCAGAACAGAGCTGGGAGTCTCGTTCAGACACAAAATTTAATACACATGGGATAATTCTATCATACATATAATTGATTCTTTTTCTACAACATGAAGCAGTTTATACACTTGACTTTTCATATCATTTTGCTTTGCAAAAACCTTCTGACTATCTTGGTTGCCTACATCCTTGTCAATAAGAGTTATTTTGAATCGTAGCTGAGTACTTCCGAGTCCTTTAGTGTCTTTTGCAACTTCGCTTTCAACTTGGTATTCTTTCCCAAGAATATCTCCAGCAAGCTCGTCCAAGTCTTTGTAGATAGGCATGATAAACTGTGATATTAGGCATAAGGCCACAACTTCAAAGCTTTTAATTTGCGTGTTTGACTTGACAAAACAAAATCTGGTAGAAAGAATGACTACCTAGGTACAAACTGGATCAGATTAGAAGCAAAAAAAGTTGGTTGTTTAACTTATCAGCTCATTATTGTTCATCAAACTTCTTATTAAAAAAATACCGATTTTAATAAGCCTATAACGGATGATACTAACAGATGATACTAACTTGGACCACATTCTGCTACTATCCCCCAAAGACTTACAAGTACACCAAGGGAATGATGCAGCAATTCACAGAGCTGCTTAAGCAAGAAAGTCTACAAAACCTACTTCTTATGGAAGGATGGTCTGATATTCCAATAGTCTCGTGCAGCCCTCTTCCAATCCCCTTTGGAGTAAGCTGCGTGGTGGAAGTGTTGGTAATGAGTCTTATGTACAAGAACAATCTTTTGAACCCCCATCTCTTCAGAGTTGATAAGGCAGTGGCTTCTCTGCTATGTATTTGTGGCCTGGATGAGCAAACAGCTCTGCACCTACTTTCAAGCTGTGAGCTAGTAGATAGGAATCTACAGTGTCAAGCTGAACGCATCATCACTCTGTGTAATAGTGGAAGGTCCAATGTCGACTTAGCAGCTGAGCAGGCCTCTATCATACTGAACTGTGTTGATAGCCACCAAGACAAAGGAGGACTACAGCCAGGTGATGTGTAACATCAGGACACGCCTCAGCATGGATATAATGAGGAGTGTGCGAGTAGCAGTTAGAGGTGTATGTGGAAAGGCAAAGAAGGCATGGACTGCCCCTATATCCAATGTCTCCTTCAACCTGATACCTGAGGAGAAGAGCTACGACCTGGATAGATGATATCTATTGCTCAGGATTTACGATTGTGCTCTGCCAATTGCATCACTTGATTTAATTTATTGTATATATACTGTTTGACATTTCTTTTCAAAAAAACTGTTCCAGAGACTCTATTTTTATCAGTGTCTGTGTTGAAATTGTGGAAAGCCATGGACTAAATCTTAATCATAAGATTAATCTGTCTAAAAGATGAAGTTTTCTTATTCTTAGAATTTACGAGATTTATTATAGCATTAAATATTTTGCTATGATTATGTTACTTATAGTACAAGTATGAACAAACAAACATATTGAGGTGTAGATATTGGACTATGTTTACTTGACAAGAAACATCTTTAATTCAGATATTGTCGTAATATCAGGGGAATAGTTTTTCGATATGATCTCTTTAGTTCTCAGAAAAGCATTTATGAAGTGTTAAGAACTTACATTTTGAAATAGTTTCTTTCAGTAATCACAGAGAACCAGTGTCCTGTTGTAACTGCATTTCCACCTGAGTTTCATTTTGAAACTTCAAGAGACTGGTAAAGTCAAATATTTTGTTACATGAACATTTTTAATAGTATTTTGAAGGGTAGTAATTGTTTAGATCTTAAATTTTATACGAAACTATTAATGTTTTTAATAGCTATTTAGCAGGGTAGAATTTGTTAGGTGTGTTTTAAAAATTTTCTGTTGGAAATTAAAGTTTTTGATCTCTCCTATTTATTATAAATATAATAATCAATAAATTAGAATAGAAACTTGTCTTCTTTTCAGCTCACTCTTCTGAAACCTCTTCCTCTACATTCTCAGCCTCATCATCAACTTCATTATTTTCATCATCAACATCATCACCCCTGTCTTCATCGTTGGTGGTGTGTGCAAGATTTAGGTCCAGTTCGTCAACAGGTATTGCTTTCTCATAATACCGTCCTCTGTGTCCTCTCACTGCAATCAATACTGTCTTAAGTAGCTCAAACCTCAAACGACGTCTTAGATTTGCCATAATGAGGCTTTTGTCTTGGCTGGTCTTGGCTGCCAGAAGTGTTGCTACTCGTTTAAGGAACATGGTAGCCTGTGGGCCCATACCTCCGGTGGTCGAGAATACAAGGCCATTGCAGGTTCCTTTTTCAATTTGTACACAGCGGTCTCCATATTTCCTTTCTTTCTCTCTCTCATGCTTGCTGTACATCTTTGCTGGGGTGTTGTGATTAGCTTTGGATTTGGCTCCGGGGTGTAAAACCCTGATATCAAAAAATGCCATCTCCATTGGTGACCACAAACCTCTAGCTGCTATGTCGAGCCTTGCCCCATCATCCAGGATGGTACCAGGGCGAAGGCTTTCTCCAGTGCATGGCTGGAGTGTGGGCTCTACAACAACCTCATTACATATTTTTTCAAGAATGCTTGCAACAGTGTCTCTCAGTCGGTTGTGTCTGCTGTTGACAAAGCCTCCTTTCTTGCAAATAAGAATGTGGTTGTAGGTGTTATCTTTGCCACAAATGCATTTCTTGGCTATGTTGGCAATGGGTAGAGCATATCTCAATGCTATCGCGTCTTTGAACCCTCGCTTGTTCAAGACAAAGCCGTACTTCTCATAGGGAAGTCCGGTCAGCCAGCTTGATGCACCTTTTTCACATGCATGTGGGATCTTCTCACTGATCGAAGGTGGAAGATCGTTCATCAGCTGGTTTTTGAGTGACTCATACCTCTTGGCATTAGACAGGCTAATGGCAGACTTGACTGCTTTCCCAGCCTCTCTGTTGGTATTGAGAGTGGTGTGTTGCTTCAGGATGTGGTCTGTAAGCTGCTGGTTAGCCATGAGTGAGTTCTTGTACTCATTATCAGCGATTTCTACTGGATTGATGATAGCTAGTCCACCTAACTTGGCTGGGAGGGAGAACAGGCTGCGCTCAAAGTTGGACCTAATTGTGTGTCCTGTCATGTTGGGAATGAGCAAATTCCTGATCTTGTCCTCAATGGGCTGCAAGTTCACTGCTATGTCAGGGGTGGTCCTCATCAGGAAAGACCATCTGCGGGAGGAGCCATAAACAAAAGCGGCGTAAGCAAGGTGTGGCTCATGCTGTGCAATTGATGCCAATCCCTCGATCTCTTCTATCCATTCGGCACATTTGGCTTGGATGAACTTATTCTTTCCAGACTCTGTACCAATAAAGGAACCCAGGTAACGGCATCCTTCGGTGGTGATGTTGAGGTCGGGGAAGAGAGACTTGGCTTCCTCTTGATACTCCTCTTTAACTATAAGCCAGGTCTTGGAAGGTTTGGGAAAATAGCCATAAACGGGGCCAGATGCCTGTAGGGTATCCCACCAAATCTTCAGGGCTTTAAGCCTTCCTGCTGCTCCAGAATCATCTGCAAACCATATGTGTTTAGCAGCTTTGTTGGAGGGCTTATTTACCTCCGGAGTCCTATCTGGAGTTGTATCTGGCGGTGTCTCAATCTTATTATTCTCCTCTGGAGGCTTCTGGGGAGGTTTCGTGTTATCACAGACCACGGGAGAGATATCTGGTGGCTCTGTGGGGAGTTTGTCCATAAGGGGCATCAGGCTACAGGAGTAAAATGCAGAAGCACAGTTATCCCCCTGAGTAGTACCCTCTTGGGATAAAATAAACAATCCCTTGGAGTTTGGTATGTACAGTTTTGCTGCTTTTCTGTAGGTATTAACAAGATATTTATACAGCTCGGGACACATCACACTTGTGTTGTGGAGGGCAACTCTCCGGTTTAAACGGTTGATTAGCAGCTTCTACTCCACCTTCTAGGCCTGCTGACGCTTGAAGCGGTGCAGTGGCTGCTAGGATCTCTGGTTTAAGCAGAGTAGTAACTGACTTGCCGATTATTCGGCGGAGAACTTCACCGATCCCTATTGGTCTAACACCGGGCTTCTTGTCCAAAGGAATGAGGCGACAAGATATGAAGGATGCTAGGGGATCAGGGTCAACTAATTCAGTGCAAAGTTTCCTGGTTAGTAAGGCAACTGATTCACATAGTTCAGCACCACATGTCTTGAATGACTTAGAGCAAAGGATACGTTGCCAGCCATCAGAATCTAAGCCAGAGGGGCCAGCTGATCCATTGGTGTTCTTTGCTGCCTTCTGGATTGCTTCAATATCTATGTTTTCGAATATAACATTGTCTACTTTTTCCAGGCCCACCTTGCTGAGTAGACTGCTTACAAGGAAGGACTCTTCAGGCTGTGGGTCAGGATGTTTGCTCTCTAGCAACTTGATAGTTTCTGGTGTTGGCTCTAGGTGGCCCCCAGCTTTATTTGTCACCCATCTGAGCGCTGCTGACACCTTTCCTTGAAGCATGAGCTTGGAGAATACTTTGTGTGTATGTTGGGGAGTAAACTTGCTTGATGTTATACGCTTCTGAATAGCTTTACCTTCTTTGATGAGGCCCTTGATGTCCCCTTTTTCCCAAAGTTTGAGGCGATCTTCAAGATGTCTGACGTGGTCCTTTGTTTTGGATCGTTTGGAGGGTTTTTGAAGGAGCAGGGCTGGCATAACCATAAGTGCAGTCATGGCCACATTTTGAAGGGGGGAGTTATTAACATAATAGTTGATGACTTTAGAAGTCGCTTTCACATAGGCTTTACCTTGAGCACCAGAAGGAACCTTGAACAGGTTTTTCTTCCACTTGATTATTTCATCATAGGCATTGCCAAATGTCTCTTTAATAAAAGGTCCCTTGAGCAAACCCCACGTTGCGGGTGTTGAGTCAGCTGTCTTCACAAAACTTGGGAAGCCAGGGAAAGCCTCTTTACCATAACAAGAGGAACAGTACCAATATCCATCACCGACTGCTTGATCGCCCTCTGTAAGGCATGTAACATGGAACCATTTTCCACAAACACCGTCACATCCAACAACATCCCCTCCACGATCGGCTGTTGTGCTGCATGCTGGGCAAAGGATTACACTATCGTCAGTTTCTTTGTGTATGTTTACATCGTCTTTGGTTTTATTTACATCAGACTGTTTACATTTATTTACATTTATATATATATCGTTGCATGTTTTACACACCTCTTCTTCTCTTTTCTTCAGTTCAGCACATTTAACATGGTACCACTGTTTACATGGCCCAAGACACAAAAATCCTCTAGTTGCTTTGACATTACATGTATGGCACACCTTAGTGACAGATGATGAAGGCGCCACAGTAAAAGATGACATTGTACGTCTTCCTAAGACTTGATTTCCTTTCCTCAATAAATGTATTTAATTGTAGTTGTGAAAACAGTTTATTGTTAATAAAATGCTCATTGTAGCCAGTTATTTTTAAAAGATTTTCATCATCATACTAACTTAATCAACTTCTCACAAGTTAACACAATATATGATTCACAGTTTCACCCGATTCAAGCTCTCCACTCAAATCATTCACAACATAAGGCAAGAATTTGTGGATCCTTAGAAAACTGCGAATGCATCCTTGTCAAAACTAGAATTCTACGATAAAATTAAGCAATATTATGAACCAGAAGCATGATGTTCAATATACAGCATAATAAGGCTTCTTATCAGCTGCCGATACGAAACCCCCATTGTGTCATGAGAAGATAGATGGTGCACTTATTGCTTCTTTAGTGATGAAATTCATGTCCTAGTAGACTGTTTGCTCTACTCCTCTCCAGAAAGTTGAGAACTTGCTAGGAACCAGCAATTAGGGACACAATTTTGCTGAAAAACGGATTCGTGTGCTGAAAATCGAGACGCAATACTAAGCAATGTGTCAAATTTTGATGCCGATAATAACCTTTCTAATAGACAGCAATATGTTTCAGTACTTGGAGAAGAATCCGAAAAACTGTCTGTAATATTTGGTGTTCCTCAGGGGTCAGTATTAGGTCCCTTGCTTTTCATTATCTACATCAATGAAATATACAGAGTATCAGACCTAGGTAAGTTTATACTTTTTGCCGATGACACCAACATATTTGTTGTAGATAAATGTATAAAAACACTTTACTGCAAAGCTAATAAAATTCTTAAACTTGTTCATCAGTATATGAAGAGTAACTTGCTGCATATCAACATAAAGAAATGTTGTTATATCCACTTTAAGCCGAACTGTAGAAATGAACCAGATCCAAACACCAATGAATTAGAACTGACACTAAATAATATATAGTAATTAAAAAGGTGGAGGAAACTAAGTTTCTTGGAGTCATTATTGACCAAAAACTGAACTGGGATGCTCACTTAAGAGCGTTAAACCGTAAATTGAAATGTGAGATAGGTAGACTATGTGGAATTAGACGCTGTGTACCTAAAAAACTATATAAGGACCTGTACCACACCCTTTTTGAATCACACCTATGTTATGGAATATCTGTTTGGGGAGGTGTATCAAATAATAAACTAGAAGCCATATTTAAAACACAAAAGAAATGCATAAGAATTCTCTTTGGTGATAATGATGCATACTTCAATAAGTTCAAAACATGTGCCAGAGTAAGGCCTATCACTAGGGATAAGACCGGTAAAGTTATCAAGCAGATGTTGGGCAAAGATTTATTTGAACTAGAACACAGTAAACCAATCTGTAACGAGTATAACTTCCTGACTGTCCACAATCTTCATAAGTTGCACTGTTTACTGGAAATGTTTAAAATTAATAAGTTCCAATCACCAGTCTCAATGTTCTCTTTATTCAACAGGTCACCAAGACGAGACAACTACTTCATCCCACCCACTCCATCCTCACTATTCATCTATCAATCAACTAGTATTTGGAATCACTGCCGTAAGTCAACAAGTGAAATAGACTTCTCCACTCCCATCAGTATATACTTTCAACACTACTATATAACAAATAATTTGAGGACCCCAAACTCAATTTTGATTCTCTACTGACTCTGCTGATCTGCACTGTTTCACTTTGTAAAAGAAGTGCGCAATGATCGGAGAAGGTGGTTTTGATGATGAGGGTAACAGGTCCTCAATCTCGTTACAGGATGATACGCCAAAGAATGACAGGAATGTTAGCGAAGATATGTTATCCCCGCAACGTTTCACACCTATCCTGAACTCATCCACATCCTCTGAAAGTACTCAACAGCGACAAGGTAACACTCTTCAATACCAGTTTGTCTACATCAAAGACGGCACTTGTAACACCTGTAATGATGTTCAAGCTAATGACACTGCTCTTACCTGCTTTTTGTGTAAATCGTCATTTCATGCTGTTTGTCGAGATGCTGATAAAGATAGGATCAATAATGCTGTAATCTGTCCTCGCACTTTCTTCAAAGCATACTCCGACAGAAACGCAACCAAGGGTGTTAACAGTTCCAGATTTGGGACTTTTACGTTTGTGTGTAATGTCTGCAAGACACACTCTGAACAGAACTCCGCAGTCAGTGCCGAAAGTAAAGTCGACCTGATTGACAGGCGAGTAGATAATCTGACCCAATCTATGGAGGACATGAAGGGTTTACTTATGAAAGTTGTGAATATGAAAACATCTCCGGACAAAACTGAAATTTCTTCTCCTCCATCTCCAGCACCAGTTGCCCCTTCATATCGCTCTGTATTAATCATGTCCAGCAAAACACCAGAAAATCAAGCAAAAGATCGCATTCATGCTGACAAACGGTATGTCAACAAGAAAGGGGACATTGTGGTTGTGTGTCCGACAACGGCTGACAGGGAAAATCTTGTCAAGAAAGTATCCCAGCAACTTCCAGATATGAAAACGCACCAGCCACCAGAACGTTTGCCCACAATCTCTGTTGCTAACCTTGCTGATAATTATTCTGAAGAAGATCTAGAAGACCTGCTCCTTCAAGCTCACCCCAACATTAAGGCATTAAAATCCCAGGGTGAAACATTTTCTGTACTAAAAGTTAAACCTCAGATCAAAAACAGCAGCAAGCATCAAGCTACTATACGAGTTAGTAACAATATCAGGAAAATCATAGAACAACAGGGAGATCGGCTATACATCAGTTCGTTTAGTTGCAAAGTTTATGATCAATTTCATGTAAAACGATGCAACAACTGCCAAGGTTTTGGACACTACAGGTCGGAGTGTGAATCAGAAAAAGCTATTTGTGGTTATTGTTCCAAGAATCATACGTCAGAAGATTGTCCAGAAAAGAAAACTAATAGTATTATTTCATGCTGCATTAACTGCTCTAAGGGCAAGTATCGGGATGAAAGAAACACACACACGGCATTTGATAGGACATGTCCAGCTTATGTTGCTGAACAGCAGCATCTCCGCAAAACTATCAATTACTACAGTTCAAAAAACTTGTAAGCAGTGGTCTGAAATCCTCTCCGGCGGAGATTCTTGGCTGTTGCTGGAATGTGAGATCTCTCAATAATAAGATTCAACCAATCATGGAATCTATAATCGACCAAGGAATCTCTGTCCTTTTTGTCACTGAGACTTGGCTCACCAGCATGAAGAATGATGTTACTGCTACCATCAAGTCTTACGGCTATAACTTGATTCACTACATCAGGAAAGACTCCGCTAAATGCAGAGGCGGAGGAGTTGGAATTATTTACAATTCAAGTGATTTGAACCTTACTCCTGTGTTTGATAAGTGTGGAGATACGTTTGAAGCAGTTTTAGGCAAATTTCGAGACTCATCGGGTGATACTGTCCTCTGTGCTTGTGTTTACCGACCAGGGTCATTGACTGATGTATTTTTTGAAGATTTGGATGAGTTTATTGGGAACATATTCATGAAATACAAGAAGTTTTTAATCTGTGGTGATCTTAATATTCATTTGGATGATCATAAATCAAGAAACACGGCCAAACTGACTGAAGTATTGGCCAGCTATGGACTGCATCAATACGTGAGAGATCCAACTCACAACAAAGGACATATTCTGGATGTTGTAATCTCCTCCCATCAGATAGTCAATCCAAAGAGTGTCACAGTAGACTCGCACACCTCGGAAATGTTCCCAAACTGTGACCATTTCCCGGTTACTTTTAGCCTCACAAAAACAGTTGCAAGCAATCTCAACAAGAAAAAAGTTATCACATTCAGAAATGTCAAAGAAATTGACAAAAATTGTTTTGCGGATAATCTTGCTGAGGAATTGGTTACTGTAATGGATCCTGAGGGTCTATCACAAGCTGAAATGCCGTCATTTGAAAGCCGCATCAGCCTATACAACTCTAAGTGCCTAACTGTGCTGAATAACCATGCTCCTCTCCTCACAAAGGAAATCAAAGAACGTAAGTCTGCCCCTTGGTTCGATGGTGAATATAAAGCACTTAGAAGCCAAAGAAGAAAAGCCGAGACAAAGTGGAAAATCTCCGGATCTTTAACTGACAAGAAACACTATGAATCAATCAGAGAGCAGTGCACAGAACTCTCAGACAGGAAGAAACATGAGTTTTTCAAAGTCGAATTCATAAAGCATTCCTATTCTTCTAAGAGTCTTTTTAGATTTGTGGACACCTTTCTTGATCGGGATAAAAGCATTGTGTTGCCTTCGTCGGAGTCTCTCAAGGACACAGTCGAAAACTTTAACGTATATTTTCAGGAGAAAATAAAGGCAATACGAAATAACTTTGATCATGTGGAGTCTGACGATCAAACGCCCTCTTACTGCGGAGAAAAACTAGCTGAGTTCTCTCCAACTACTCTAGAAGAACTAGAGGAGATAATCAAGGCATCAGAGATCAAGTCTTCTTCAATTGACCCTCTACCTGCAAACATCTTTAAAGAAAACCTTGAGGTTCTACTACCCGTCTTAGTTGACATAGTAAATGCTTCATTATCTTCTGGCAGTATTGATGGCGCTAAACTAGCTCATATCACACCCCTGATCAAGGGCCAGGGATTAGATAGTGATAATCTCAAGAATTATAGACCAATATCTAACCTTAGTTTTGTGGGCAAGTTGATAGAAAGAGTAGTGCTCAGGCGTCTAAATGAACATCTAGAAAACAACAACCTGAACATCCCACAGCAGTCTGGATACAAATCAAAACACAGCACCGAGACTCTGCTTGTGAGAGTTGTTAACGATCTACTCATTGCATCTACAGAAAGCAAGGCAACTGTTGTTCTTCTCCTAGATCTCAGCGCAGCTTTTGATACAGTTGACCACTGCAAACTACTGAACATCCTCAGAAATGAGTTGGGAATAACAGGGACAGCTTGGAAATGGTTCAGCAGCTTCCTCACAGGTAGATGTCAAACGATTAAAGTTGGAAATGAGGAATCTTATGAGATAGTGATTAAGTTTGGAGTCCCACAGGGCTCTGTGCTGGGTCCGGTCCTGTTCAACATCTACATTCGCTCTTTGTACTCAGCAGCACATGATTTGAACTTCTCCATCCAGGGTTACGCCGACGATCATCAGCTGTATAAAAGTTTCAAGCCAAACGAGGAGCCCACCGTCCTTATCAACGATGTTCCCAAATGTTTCCAAGAAATTAATGACTGGATGAAAAAACATTATCTACAGCTCAATGCAGGAAAAACTGAGATTCTTGTCTTTGGGACACCGCTTGTTCTCCAGCAGCTGTCTATAGGGGGCGTGTTTGTTAACTCTGAGACGTGTGTCAGGCTGTCACCTGTTGCAAAGAACCTCGGATTTCGTCTCGACTCTCAACTAAACTTTGGTGAGTAAATCAAGCAACTTAAAACATCTTGTTTTCTGAAACTAAGAGACCTTGCTAAGATGAAAACATTCCTAACAACCAAACAGATGGAAACACTGACTCAAGCAATTGTAATCTCATCGCTTGACTACTGCAATGCACTTTACTATGGTTGTAGTCAAGCCTCAATTACGCAGCTGCAGAACATTCAGAACCGAGCATGCCGTCTGGTTTTTGGATTAAAGAAGAGAGACTCAGTCGAGGAGAAGCTCAAATCCCTTCATTGGCTCAAGGTGAAGGAGAGGATTGAGTTTAAGTTATGCTTACTGATTTTCAAAGCAGTCAATGGTGTTGCTCCTGCATATCTGTGTGATCTAGTAACATTTGTTAGTTCGAGTAGCAGAAGAACTTCCTCCTTACACCTACCCGTCGGATCTACAAGATCACACCCAAGAGCGTTTCAGACTGTTGCTCCGAAAATCTGGAACCAACTACCAATTGAAATTAAGACTTGTTCCGATGTTGATCTGTTCAAAACATTATTAAAAACTCACCTGTTTAAGAAAAGTTATGGCATGAGCGATTAATTGACAATATAATAACTTTATGTTATTTGCTTAAACTGTTTAGGATGCAACCTAATGTCATGATCTTTTTGAACTTATTAGCAATTAGACTGTTAGCTCGCTTCACAAGCATGTCATCTTCGTTCCAAAACTTTTTATGTCCTATGCATACACTCCTTGATAGTTATCTTGATCTAGTATCTTTGTTTCACACAATAGAGCATAAGTTTTGTGGTTTATCCACTGGGCTTAGAGTTTGTGTTTAAGCTACCAAATTTTATTATTATTATTTATTATATTCAAGAATAATCTTAAGAAAGCTTTGTTAGAACTATTATCTAAATATGACCGACAACTTTGGTGCAGTTACAACTTTGATGCAAATGAATTATCATTGAAATAGTTTGATTTAGTAAACATAATCATATGAGTAAACCACGGTGTTATTGCAAAAAACCATGACAAGGGTATCAGACCTATATTAATCTAAGAGACGACACAAAACGAATCATCATACAACAAATTTTAAAATCCTGCGGCACAGGATCCTGTTGTTTTCCTACTCTACCTCTCCCAAACCCCTCTCTCCTTCTCCTCTCTTCAGGTTTATTCTTCAATTTAAAAAAAAAATTAGATAGCAGATATATTTTCTTTTAAATGAAGTAATGGCATTATACATTGTTTGTAATCGTATGTATGTTGTGTATAGTGTTTGCTGACTGGGTATATGCTATATATTTTGAGGCTCACGACGTCTCGTCCCATGGGTGGAGTTGTAGGCTGAGTATGTGTTCAAATCTCCTTACTTCGTATGGTGAAACATTGAAAGGTTTGCCTTAGCCTTTGGGACGAGTGTTTGCCCACCGGGGATCCAAATATATGATTATCATGGACATTACTTTGACACATAAACTAATCAAACGACTTTAATGATTCCAGAAAATTTTACTAACTGCATTTAGCTAGTTTATAGTAAATACACACGATCGCAGAATAGAGGAGCACAATTGGGTTCCTTGTTCTGCGACTGTGTTTCCTCGGTGGGCCGACAGGTTTTTGTTGTGTAGTAGTGCTGGGGAAAAAAACGCTTTAACTATCAATGAGAGTACAAATTTTTAATTCTTGACCTTAGTGCCACAGTTTCTGTGGTAAAAACAAATTTATAGTTAAACGTTATATATTGTAGAAGGGCATGATTTACTCACATCACTAAGCATCTGGATGGATAATTAGCACACAAAGATAAACTGACCTTTAAACATGACCACCAGCTATACCACGTAACCATAGCTCCGAAATAAATAAATTGCTCTACATAGAAACATCTGGCCTGATCCTATCACATTGTGGTCCCCAGGGGTTCGGTAAAGCCCTTACAGGCAACTGGGTCCTTTTACCAGCCACAATAAAATTGATCATGCCAGTACTGTCATAAACTGTAACCAACTATTTAAAAATTAGATATCTTTTGCTAAATTTTAAATTTTAAGTCATAGAGCAATCTTCTCAATTTTAAAACTTTTAAGAATTATATTTTACCCTAACTATGATGTGGTGGCATTTCATACTTAACTAAATTTCAACTTTGAAAGTAAATAGATTATTAGTGACAACAAAATTATAGTTTAAGACATCCATTCTGCATTGTGTTTCCAATATTAGAATTTATGATATGTATTGATTGAATAATTGGTAATAAATTTAACTTTTGTTTTATTAAAGGAAGCGAGTGTGAAAAATTCACTGAGACAAGGAAATTTATTTGACGTCTACTTTTTGTTGTTGTTGTGTGTAATCACTGAGCTGAGCGGGAGGACTTTACTTAATGATTATGTTTCCAATAACCCAAGGGTTATTTGAAAACAATAAAGTTATAAAGTTATTCAAACAATATACACATAATATAGCAATGACCCTATATAAAACAATACCCATAATGTATATAACAGATACAACAACAACAGTCACATGTCAGGGGGTATGACCGGCTCTTACTAATTCGCTCGCCCAAAAATTTCACGTGACTTTGGTTTTAATGGTTTTGCAGCCGTACAAAACGGCTTTACATAAACCCTAATCACAACCTTAACCCTAACCATAACCCCGAAGCTATCCATAACCCTTACCACAACCCTAACCGTAACCCGAACCCTAAACAATCAAATTCATGTTTTACTAGCCTGTCACGTGACCAAAACAGTTTTTTGCCCATAACTCTCCAGGGAAGCATTTTTACCCTACGTCATGGAGGGTGATTCGGAATCAGCGTCCAAAAATACACCGATTCAGATCAATTTCATACCCAAAGCTAAGGGCCTTTATACAAGAATTTTCTTAAAATTTGGGCGAGCGATTTAGTAGGAGCGGGTATGACCCCTTGATGTGACTGTTGACGTTGGACATGGTTTGACAAACTTTGACCAACCCGGAGTTTTTGAAATATCGCGTCGTATGCAAAGCCGTACAGAACGTAAAGGGACGTGAAAACACCAAAGAAATTGTGTTTATCAAGAAAACAACAGAAAATAATGTCGAGAATATTACAGCTTGGGGCGTTATCACCGGATGCATCAAATAAAGGTAAAATATAACATATGTTGATTTAGCGCTCGATTTTCATTATTCCCAAATTCCGTAAAAAGTTCGAAACTAACAAAGAGTTGCGCCGCGCACTGCTAACTATCTTTATTAATTTGTAGGTTTACAACCTACCAGGACGCGCACCGAGTTGGACTCGTCGACGGTCTAATATATGGAACAGATATTTTATGTTTTACGAGTATCACCCGTTAAGAAAAGAATTTTATTTTGAGTATTCACTTTGATTAGCATTATTATTTCAATTTAATTGAAAAAATTTGTTGTTTTGTACAACACTAAATATTGAACAATTTTGTGATTACATAGATGCTGAAATGCATTCACAATTCATGCATGCAATCAAATTAGGAGAAAATAAACAAATAAACAATTATTTTAATTTTATGTACGCTTACCGTACCCATGACGGCATGACAATAAAAGCCGCGCATATTAATACAATTTGTATCATTTATCAAAACACCTCACATTTCAAATTAAAAGATTCTTTGGAATTAGATTTTCGAAAATTTATGAAGCGAATTTTTCCCGAACTGAAAAAAAAAAGTGCCAAACTGTACGAAATAGCTTCACCGAAGATATGCGTCAACGTAATGGTAATGCAAATGCACGAAACTTAAACAATTTTACTATCAATTTGGTGGGACTGAGAACCTCGCGAATTATTCATAATTAAGGTTTAATGCTAACCGGAACCCTGGCCCTGATTTCAAATAAAGCTGAGAATGTTTTTAATAATTTATTTGACTTACCCAATTCTGTAAACAATTGTGACGGTTTCAAACAAAGCTGAGAATGTTTTTAATCATTTACAATTTATTTACCTTCCCAATTCTCGGCAATTCTGTAAACAATTATGACTCAATGAGTATGACGGTTAATTCACGATAGTGGACCTATAATTTAATTCCAACCCTGTGTAATCCCATAAGTAATCCGTACGGGTCATCCGTCCAGGCCACTCAGTCCAGTTAGGCCAAGCGCCCAAGCGACTTAACGCATAATATAAAGTAGACTGGTCGCCTAAGATTTCTTTGCGCATTGAAAGCAAGTAGCAACCTTTAATTAAATGTGCAACCATTAATTTGATTCAATCCACAATAATTAGTTTTAAGTTGTTTGTGTCTAAATCAACCAGGAGGCCAACGACAATGCAATTGCAACAATGCTCGAGCATTCATGGGCTACTCCACGAGAGTAGTTGTGGTTGTCTCTGCGTTCAATCTCATCTTTTTCTGATAGGGGAAGTAAATTTAGTAAAAATTAAATAAAGAGATGGCCCTTAACCAGGAAAAATAACGGCACGATTAATTTATGATTTTATGGTTGTATAACTATATTATATTGATGGTATTGCATATTAAGTTTGGCCTTAGGAGTACCTTACAGAATACAGTAGTCCCCTAATAATTCTATAACGCAGTTTTTGGATGAACATTTTAAATAACCGCGTTGACGCGTTGTACTTGTATGTACTTGTACAATGGAACCGCGTTATAATTATAAATAAAATGGGGTCACTAATAATAGTATTTTGCACTTAAATCAATTCTAGGACGCGAATTAAATGTCGTACGGAAAGATTTAATTCCACCCAGAAATAATAATTCCACCAGGACGCAATCCCATCCAAACATAATCCCACTGAAAACTAAATATGTTTCATGACTTTTTGGTCCGCGATCAATTAAACAGTTAACTGGCACGCCAGTCCCTAGGTGCTATTATTATATGTGCGCGGCGCTCTTTTCAAGCTTCCTTCAAGCTTCTCTACGTGAGAGAAGCGAGCAATAGACTAGCAAGCTAGGTAACGAAGACAATTAAAGTGTCAGGCTAAATTTAGGGGAGAACAAAACCAATATTCTGTTTCTGCGGCCCTAACTCAAACTGTTTCATTTCTGACTCTATAAGACATAAACCGAGAACTTGGAGCTGATAAGGTAAACTGGCTCTTTTTATTTTTAAAATTTCACTATGTAGTATTTACTTACCGACACAAGGTTTAAGGTTCACATCGTAAGCTCCTCCTAAATTACAATTCAATGTCTGTTCAGTTTCACTATCTGTTCCTGCAACATGATATCCTTCATTACACGTGACAGTGACTATCGTGTCTGGGCTATAAGGTCCTGTGACATCAGCAGCTGTATTGGTAAGGGCAAGTATAGGACACTTAATTAGAGTACACAGGCTTGGATAATCTGTAGACTTCTCATGACCATCAATACAGACACATTCTCCGCCTGAGCATGTTCCTTCCGTACATTCCACTTCTATATTACATTCTGAGGAAAGTAAAATATCATAATCAAAAATCAAATATCGTTGTGAACTGTTTATTGTACCTCTTAAAAACTCCCTGATAAACACTCATCTATCTTAATCTAATAAACTGTAAACTGAGCTAGAAATACGCATATCTAATAAATTAAGCTACAAAACACCCTGAGTTACGCTACAAAAGATCTGCAGGCTATTAGACCAAGCAAGAAAGCACTCACCAATGAGTATGACCTATCTATTAAACCAAGTAAGAAAACACTCACCTATCTATCAAACCAAGTAAAAAACACTCACCTATCTGTTAAACCGAGTAAAAAACACTCACCTATCTATCAAACCAAGTAAAAAACACTCGCCTATCTGTTAAACCGAGTAAAAAACACTCACCTATCTATTAAACCAAGTAAGAAAACACTCACCTATCTATTAAACCAAGTAAGAAAACACTCACCTATCTATTAAACCAAGTAAAAAAACACTCACCAACACATCCAACAGCTCCGCTAAAATTCTCCAGTAGTGGCTCAGAAACCCAACCAGTGCCTCCACATTTAATAGTTGCACTGTTATCAGATTCAGATGCTGCCCAGGAAATTATATAATTATTTACACACGTTAGTGTGACTCGATCTTCTGTAGCGTAACTCACTAGATCGGGAACCATGCTGCTGACATTGCCCGTTAGTGGAGCACAGGTCGGCGCTGCGGATATGTAAGTTATGGCAGGTAATTAACTTTATCTTTATCTTCTTAATCTTATATAATGTGCATATATTAGATGTTGCTCGTCCTTGCCTGTTTTTAAGAAATACTTAACAGATAACTTATCAGTTATATACAACTGTATTATATATATACCGTTCAGAAGTATATAAATACTTGTGCGACACTGTGGTAGTGTTTTTGGTCAGTATTCACAATGAATATATGCTTATATTTGTATGACACAGTGTTACAGCTATTTACATATGTTTTGCCTTGTAGCCTTCTACGGTATGTTGTTAGGATCTCGAAATAAGGACTGATCTTTTTCGCTGTGAATTCTATCAAATTTTGATAGTTGGCGGTGAGTTATAACGACAATAAGTGTCGTTATAACTCACCACTACTCACCACTACTCACCACTAATCACCACCACGCAACCAGATCAATTATTAATCTGGTGATATATTTAAGTATTTTGTGTTCTTTACTAAAATGAAATAAAAGTAAAAAGAGCACATCAACTAACGCCTCTGTAGTTCGTGTTCATCTTTGGCCCACGGTCTCCACACTCCATCGTCCATCACAATGTCATCTCTCAACTGTCTTCGTTGTAAGGGTACCACTTTAGCGAGATAACCCTGTCTCTTCGCAAGGAGTTTCAACACAATATCAGGATACTGACCGGCAACATTCCTCTCCTCGCTAACATCAGAAGATAGATCAAATAGAAGTGTTCCAGATACATGACTTCTATCAATTTTGTCCCCACTTCCGTCGGATATTCCTATGTACCCATCTCCATTGTTTTTTGTGGTCCAACCTCGCAACTCGAATGTGGACCCCGCGAGAATCTTCCAATTTTTCCATCGCAAGGCTAAGAAATCTTGTGCGTTAAACGTTAATTCCCCATCTTTAAACTTGAGAACTCCTGATAAATCGAAACAATTTTCATTGTCACATAAATCTGTTTTCGGAACGTCAGAAACTGCATTTAAATACTTAGAGGAATCTCTAAATTCTAATAGAACTTCCTCCCTGCAGGGCAAGTCGTTATCTATTGAACTCCAGATGTCCACACCGTCGATAGGTAATTGGGTTTTGACGTGTTTTTTGGGATTGTCACCGGCTAGGTTCTGGAATGTTGCATACCAATCAGAGAAATGATGAAGATTGGTGTTTATATATCCAGTCTTTTGTATAAGAGGACTGTTAACAAATGCAAGTGACCTTACTCCTCCTTCTAGAAATGTTCCCTTATCTCCTCTTAAAGGAAAATTACTGCCCTGACTCATACGCCTAGCTCCGTTATCAGATGTGAACACTATGATGGTGTTGTCCATCATATCTCGGTCTTTCAGGGCATCAGCTATCTTACCAATCCCGTCATCCATGATAGAGATCATAGTCGCATATATTTTTCTGGAGTCTTGAATTGAATCTGAGTTATAATATTTTTCAATATCTTCCAATGGAGCTTGGTACGGTGTATGGGGCGCTGTGTAGGCTAAATATAAAAACAAGGGCTGACTTTTGTCATGGTTCGAAATCAATTCTAGTGATCTGTCTGTAAATAGATAAGTGTTGTAATGTCCATCCAAATCGTCTCTAATATCGTCCACAAATTCACTATCTGCATCATGATAATCTTCTCTGAAATCTAACCATGAACCCCTATGGTGCGTGTAATAGTCCTGAATTCCCAAAAACAAACCAAAGTACGTATCAAAGCCTCTCTTGGCTGGGGTATGGTCCCAAGTGTAAGTACCACAGTGCCACTTACCTACACCGTGAGTAGCATACCCGTTTCTCTTCAACATCTCGGGCAGTAGAGTCTCGTCTAGACCCAGCCCGAATTCTTGTGTTGGATGGAGGTTACCCTGCCAGAACCCAGTTCTGATAGGGTACCGCCCCGTCATCAGAGTTGCCCGAGCTGGAGCACAAACTGCCATGACGTAGTGGTTCTCAAGAATCACACCCTCCCTAGCCAGTCTGTCTATATTAGGAGTACGAATGTTTGATCCTCTGAATCCTACATCCTGATATCCCATGTCATCAGCCACGATAAACACAATATTGGGTTGTTTTGGTGTGGAACTACGAGATATAGCCAGGAACCCACTCGCTAATAACAAAAGCAACGTTGCAGGGAACTTGATCATCAATTTAAGTTTTAGGTAAAACTTAAATAAAAAAAATTTCGAAAGGATACAAATTTGCGAAAAGATGAGTTTTGAAACGAATTTGTGAGAGATAACTGAAATGTAAGGTATAACCAGCATTTTAAAACCGATTGCATCTAATTTTGCTCCTTCATAAAATTAAAAATTAAAATTTTCAATTTGGACACGAGTCTCGAAACACCCTGTATATCCAACTTGGCTCCAGATTATGAACTTTATTAGACTTTTAAGGAATTGAAAACTAAGATGTTCACACTCACAGCTCTGATGGTCTGTTTGTTTTCTTGCCCTAAAATTATCCATCTCTTTAAAAAATCAAAGCGAAAATTCAGCAATCAATGAAACGTGTAGAAACGGAAATATGAAACTCTGCCTGAAAAAAATAACAATGTCAGGAATCACTTAGATCACTAACTACTCAATTGCAAGTATTAAAAGTAAAACCAAAAACTCAGAAATTAAAAAATGTTTTTCTGGAGATCACATTTTTCTACGTTTCGTGCTTCCATAATCATTAGGAGCTGTTAATAAAGTGAGTTATCGACAATAATATGCGGTGAAATAGTGAATATGCTTTCTTGATCGGAGCGGATTATGATTATAAAGGACGACACAAATGAGTTTCTCAATTTTTTGCAAAGATTTTGGCTTTGCGGTGTTATTATTGCTGAATTGCTCTAACCAGAGCCCTCTCGCTTGCAGTAGCGCCGAAGGCGGTATTCTATTTCTATTTGTGAAACAAGCGCGTCACGCAGCAGACACATGGCTATGTGAAGTGTTATTAGTATTACGTCACCCTAGGCCTCGTCTATACTAGTACTACTCTAATATGATCAAAGAACAGAATTTCTAGCGTACACACAATGACAAAGGGAGATATCACACACACACACACACACACGCAATAAATTTAGCGTTGCACGCAGAACGTTCCTAGTTTGGCATGTTGTTGCCATGTTGTTGTATAGTGTTTATGTACTGTTTGCCTTGTGTTTCCGTTCGTTAAAAGGCTCAATACTTCATTTTTGTAATGTTTGGATCGTTAAATTCTTATTGAACAATTTAATTGTATGAGAAGGTTTTACATTGGTATTTGACATAGAACATAGACTTTAAAACCGGAAGACTTTAAAATCGGAAGACGAAGCAAACCGTATCAAGGACAAGATCGAACTACTCGGACGATTACAGCTGTTAAATAGTGTGTTTACACAGTGCTGAGGCCTGACAGGGCAGTCCCTTTGAACATAGGAACGTTCTTCGTAACGCGGCACTTTCTTAATTTGGCTGTACTTGTAGCAAGGCGTAGAAAGTATATAAAAATTCCAAACTTTCACAGAGCAGTTACAATTACATATGACGCAATACAAGCATGCCTTAGATACATAGTACAAGGTAGGTAGCATTACGTCATCCTTTAACCAAATCTAGTGTCGAACTTCCGTACGTGTCGAACTATAATAAGTATCACTATCTGTATACTACGTGTACCATTAGAACTAAGAAAACATAACCTATATGCTATAAGTATAACTATAAGCTCGAACGCGTGTCATCTGGTAATATATAATGGTATCTAACCCTGGTCATTAAAAACATCCTAGAGGCTAACCACCTTTTGAAAGGGTAAAATTATTGATCTTTGGTATGGTCAAAGCAAAAATTAAATCTTACAGTAAACAAAATAAACTTAAAGCATTCAACATCAAAACTACGACTACATGTATTTCAATTTTGCCGCAATAATGCAGCTCAGCAAAATTGAAATCGATATGTTAATTATATAATTATTACTGAATACTGGGCGGCGCTCAGTCTGTCATTACTGGGCGGCGCTCAGCCTGTCATTCCGCCGAATCTTTATTCTTTATGAACATAATAGCCTGGGGTCCCCAGGTAAAGTCTGTCATTGACATTCCGCCGAATCTCTATGTTCATGAACATTATACTTTTAATTATTATAGCCTGGAGTCCCCGACCCCAGGTAGTACTATAGTATTAGTACTACTAGTATACTACTAGTAGTAGTATAAATTATAATTAAGGAATCTAATATTGATCCATAGATCAAATTAAAAGTCCAAATTATGATCTCTTTCGCAATTAATGGGTTGAACAATGTCACAAGATAGTATTCGACTTGCTACACGTTATATATTAATATTTAATACCTCTCAGTGGTGTAACGAAGGGCCCCGCCGACACCGCTGTGCGGGGGGGGGGGGGGCGCCAAATCGTTGTTTGAATGTGGGAAAGTTTGAAAAAAATTAACTATGCTACTAGCAAAACTGCACGTTTTACTCTAGAAACACACTTTTTTTTTAATTTTACCGGCGCGTATCCTCTAAAATCATCTAATTAATAATTTGTTCAATTTTAGAGAAGGGCGCCAAAAGGGTTTCCGAATGATTACGCTAGTGTAATACTAATATTAAAACAATAGCTATACTATATGTAAAACTGATTACGGAGGCCGGGGGCCGGGGGGGGGTAAAAATGTTCCAAAAAATGATTACGTAATAATAATATTAATATATGATTTAGATCAGGCGATTTTTTGTACCAATTTTATCAAAATCGGAGACAAAATTCTGTGCCAACTGATCATAGCGCTTATTAGTATTTTACTTGTCATACGTTGTATGACCCGCCGCGCACGAGTGCGCGGCTCCCCCTGTATCGTAGAAACTAAGAAACTCTATAGTCAAACTCAATAGTGAAACGACAATGTGAATGGGGGTCACTACACGACGTAATACAATATTTTACCTAGCTTGCTAGTCAGAGTCTATTGCTCGCTCCTAATAAACAAGTATTCTCATTACATATCTGTTTACTTTATACATATTATTGTCTCTGTCAAACGAATGGATTTATTCTGCCAAGTAAGTGGTCGTTCACATATTACGTAATTAGCTGAGGGGGGATGGGGGGGTATGGGGGCTTCCAAATGCTTACGGTTGATTAACGGGAGGGGGGCCGGGGGGTTTGGTCGCTGATTACGTAATCAAAATTTTCTTTTTTATCCTCTAGAATAATAACAATTTGACAATATTTTAATTCAAATTCCACTAACTTTCACTCTGATAGTCCCGATAGTGATAAAATTTAGAAATTGATCGAATATCCGGCTATAATAGTATGTAGTTTAGAAGGTGCTTGGCTTGATATATCATAACAATGATTTCGGCTCATCATAATCAGGGTAGCATGAAACGTACAGAAAAGTGTTTACTAGGGAAAAAAGTCAAGGGGGTCAGGCCATGATTACGTAATATTGCTGTCAGGAGGGGGGGGGGTTAGGTCTTGATTATAGTTGATTACGGAGGGTAGGGAGGGGAGGGGGTAAAAATTGCTAAAATATTGATAATGATTACGTAATGATTTGATTTTGTATTAACCCTTCGGGGCTTGCGTGACCCTTATCACAGAACTGGTTTTCAGGACTGGCAGTCTGACCTATTGCCTTGCCAGCATAGGTGTACTTATATAGTTTTGCATGGTTCAGTTGCATAGTAGTGTCCGAATTGCACTGATTCTAGCCCGAGTAGTGTTCGAAAGGGCGCCCTGTTTTGACATACCTCCTGAGCCGGTACTCATTTCCTCTCTGAGCTAGCTAGTGTATATCAGTTTCTTGTTGGTGTTTTGTCTGTGTTTGTTTGTCCGTAGTAGGAATTTACTGTAACTTTGGAGACTGGGCGCAGTAATGTCCCAGAGGGTTTGTAACATCATGGATGCTGACTAAGCTTACCTGATCCTCTCCAACTTGTATTAGTACACTACTTCATTCACACCAGTCATTTCACTACATTAAACTGATTGAGGTTATGCCCTTTGTACATGCTGAAGCGATATGCTATGATGAGTGGAATATGAGTTAGGATCAGTTTGGTCCGTTTCATGGCAAAAACATTTATTGATTTTGTATTAACCCTTCGGGGCTTGCGTGACCCTTATCACAGAACTGGTTTTCAGGACTGGCAGTCTGACCTATTGCCTTGCCAGCATAGGTGTACTTATATAGTTTTGCATGGTTCAGTTGCATAGTAGTGTCCGAATTGCACTGATTCTAGCCCGAGTAGTGTTCGAAAGGGCGCCCTGTTTTGACATACCTCCTGAGCCGGTACTCATTTCCTCTCTGAGCTAGCTAGTGTATATCAGTTTCTTGTTGGTGTTTTGTCTGTGTTTGTTTGTCCGTAGTAGGAATTTACTGTAACTTTGGAGACTGGGCGCAGTAATGTCCCAGAGGGTTTGTAACATCATGGATGCTGACTAAGCTTACCTGATCCTCTCCAACTTGTATTAGTACACTACTTCATTCACACCAGTCATTTCACTACATTAAACTGATTGAGGTTATGCCCTTTGTACATGCTGAAGCGATATGCTATGATGAGTGGAATATGAGTTAGGATCAGTTTGGTCCGTTTCATGGCAAAAACATTTATTGATTTTGTATTAACCCTTCGGGGCTTGCGTGACCCTTATCACAGAACTGGTTTTCAGGACTGGCAGTCTGACCTATTGCCTTGCCAGCATAGGTGTACTTATATAGTTTTGCATGGTTCAGTTGCATAGTAGTGTCCGAATTGCACTGATTCTAGCCCGAGTAGTGTTCGAAAGGGCGCCCTGTTATGATTACGTAATACTAATAGGTGAACGACCCCTAAGTACATATCTTTATAATTATATGCATAATGCATATTGAATATTCAAGGTCCTTATGTTCTGATGTAGAGGACGGACACAACCAGGTTAATTAGCCAAAATATGACAGCTACTATAGCCATCACACCTGATGTAACATTATTGAACCCTTCCACCACTATCTGCCCGTAAATGAGAAACACAAGGCCCAGAGCAAAAACAAGGAGAGAAAGAATGATCAAAATGATCTTGATGATGTTTCCCTTTGCTTCGAAAGTTGCCTTAAGAACAGTTTCCTTGACTGTTCCCAAACAACCACACCAACCCATCTCAATAAACACGATAGGAATGTAGACAATTAGCAGGAGAGCTACCAGCACAAATCCGCCCACCATGTCCATAGAATCATCAAC